TCTTTGTGTCATTGCACCTCACATCTGCTTTCTTTTGGTAATGGACTCTTAGAATACAGCAGACTGCTACTGTGCCCAACTTGTTTGCTACAGAGGAGACTGGAAATACTTAAGTTAAGTTTGAGGTGCAGAATTCTGAGAGTCATCTTTTTATTCAGAAGCTACTTCCCCAGCACCGTCTCTGTTCTTGGCATTGTGCTCAGCATGGTGTGGGGAGGTAATTCATAAGAAAATGTTAGACAATGTCCCTGTCCTCAAGGTGCTAACAATCTAGATGGGGAGACAACACCCTACATGGAGAAAACCCCAAATTAAGTAAAGAACAAGTAATCCCATAGGGTGTGATTAATAGTAAACCAGACTGTCTGGAGACACTCTCACTGTTGCTTCTTCCAATAGCTAGATATATGGGGAGGTATTTGAATTACGGAATTGAGCAGATAAGACAGGAGGAATTGTTAGGTCTTTGAGGGCAATCACTTCCGTGGCTTTCACCTTGTTTATCAAGGGATTTGAAGTCAGATAGCTGTGGGTTTGAGTATCAGTTCTGCTATTAGAAGCTGGGTGACCTTGGGCAAATTAACAGATATTTTCTCCTGTATAAAAAACAAACCTGAGATAATGATGCCAACTTTATGGGGTCATTGTGAGGGATTAAAGGAAATAATGTGAAAAATCATTTAGCACACTGCCTGGCACATAGTAGGTGCTCATTATGTATTAGTTTCCTTCCTTCTAGTTTGGATAATAGCCAAGACCTGAGCCTTTCGCCTGATGGTTACAGACTCTAGTCCAGATGGCATGAGCTTGAAGTCCGGCCTTGTCACTTACTGTTACATGACCCTGGGGAAGCTATTTAAATGCCAGTGTCCTCAATTTTAAAATAGGGATTAAAAGAGTATGTGCATATACATAGTGAGTGCTTAATAGCACTTCATGTCATTAGTCATCCTATCTTCCTATGAAATCAGTGATTGCAGGTTATTAGGAGCTACCTCTTCCTACGTTTCCTTCACCTCTTCTCCCCCAAAGGACAGAGGAAATCCAAGGGTGCCTAGGTTGTATAAGCCACCAACATGATCACAGGTTTGAAGACAAACCCTGTGATTGGGGAGGGAGCTCTAAGGACGTCTACCAGCTGTGAGCCTGCTTCCTAAGTTCTTAGAGACCTGAGCTTAGCCTTTTAAATCCATAAACCCCTTTCATAAGTGATTTTTCCCCAACAGTGGGATTGTTTTTGATCCTGAAGGTCGGCTACCTACTTAATCCTCAGTTGGCCTTTACAAGAAGCCCAGGGTTTGGATTTGGGGATTCCACAGATGTAGTCATCTGAGCAGGCTTTGCATGTGCATTGTTGCTGCTGTGGAATATTCCTGGGAGCTGTGTGCATTCCTAGGTGACTGGGGGCTCATTTGTATGATTAAATGGCTGTTTAGCTTCAAGTTTCAGTGCCCTGGCAGCCACCTCATTCTCCTTGCTGCTACTTCTGGGACATTCCTAGCCCTGATTTGGTGACCTTGCCCAGGGGAAAGGAATGAGGTAACTGGGGCCCAGCCTTGGGGCTGAGAGTGAGCTTATCTTTCTCTGAATAGCGGGTATGCCCAGGAGAAGAATGGGCAGAGGAGAAGAGAATGGCTGGCTGAGAACCCATTTGCTGAGGTGGTGCCTCCTGCCAAAGAGAGCAGGGTCCACCTTGCCTGTGGCCTATGAGGATGAGGTGCCTGGTACCCTAGCAGAGGGTCCAGATGGGGACCTGTGGTTCTGTCCGTGTTCCAGTAGGACTGAACACCCCACCATGGTGTTGACAAGAGCAGCCTGCCTTCTGTGGAAGCCCCAGGGTCCTGCCTTGATAGTCTGGGCATATTCATGACCAGGCAGTATTGGAAGGGCAGTTTGGTGCTAGGGTTCTGATTCACTCATGACTTGGGGTTTTTCAAGTGCCCCATTGTGGATGGTGATGGGGACAGATGTTCCATGGTTCTCAGAGTGGACATAACACATGTGTTATGGGCTGTGCAGGCATCCTCCCCAGGTGCAGCCTGGTGGTTTGGGGGGCGTATTTTTGCTATGCCAAATGCATGAGCCAGAGTGACAAGTGCTGCATTATAAGGATGGCTTCTTCCTATTACTAGGAGCCCTCAGGCTGCACAGGTGTGTTTGTAACTGGGACATTTGTTCTGGAAGTACTCATGACCACTGGTACTGCAGCAGTGTTTAGATATCATCTTCAAGTTTGCAGAGGGACAAAAATAAAAAATGAAAATTAAGTATCCCAATCTGTGTCTCCATCCTTTTATTCATCAAATTTTTGTTAAGCACCTTCTTTTGGGGTGAACCATAATGATTAGGCACATAGGCTCTGGATTTGGAACTGCTGTGTGTTAAAACTCAAACTCTGCTACCCATAGCTGTGTGACCTCTGGCAGGGTGCTGACCATCAGTTTTTCTCATTTCTGTTTTTGTTGTGAAGTTTCTTGGATTCAATGGGAACGATAAATTATATTAGAAACTAGTGCATAGTAGATGCTCAAGAAATGGTTGGCCACCTACCCTCCCCCTCTACTCCCCTATACACATCTTTTTTTCTCTTACTACTGTGAGTTCAGTGTGGTTGGTAGAAATAACATGGACCCTAATGGGCAGATCTGTGTAAAATTGCCAGCTTTGTGAAGACAAGATCTCCCACCATCGTTTATCCGTCCATCTGTCCAGCCAGCCAGCCTGACTGAGCACCTCCTAGGGACAGACGGAGGAGGTAGGAGATGCACACACTCATTGCATATGGCTCTCAAGAAGCAGGAAAAAAATAAGTCTTGAAAAAAAAAAGAGGCAGCAATTTAGAGTCCAATTCCTATGCTCTGGCTTTCTACACTGGGCACGGAAGTACTACCAAAGCCAATTTCCACCTGGAGAAAGGTAACCTTGAAGTGGACCCCACCCAGCCAGGGTCACCACAGTCCCCTGTGCTGCTGCTGGCTGCAGAAGGTGTCAGTGCTGCTGCCTGAGATGGGTTGATCAGCACTTATTCAGGCTTGGTATGTGCAGAAAATGGCCTCTGGCCTCTGAGGGGTCAGGTGTGTAGTGTAGAAATAGCTGGGAGGACTTACTTCTTGAGGCAAAAGATCAGTGGGGCTTAGATAATCCTATATCAGGGTCCTTTGGGGAAAGAAAGAACCACAGGCGCCTTGGATGACGTCTTGATATCTTATCATATCTTCTCTCATTGTTTCCAGGGGACCCTCTAAAAAGAGATTAACTTCTAAATCTCAAATTCTAAAGGGCTTAGGAGGCCAGATGTGGCCTGCAGTGGGCTCAGTTTCCCAGCTGTGGAGGCTGTATTTGCCCTTCTGTCTATGGCTGGTTCTTTAAAGTCCTAGAGATCTGTTGAGATCATTGTGATCTGACATTGACAAACCAGTGTGACTGCTCATCGATTATAATGCTGCGATGACATGAAATCTCTTCTCTTCTGGAGAAGCCTGCTCCCTTGGGCCTTTCTCAAGGCTCTTGGCACAGGCACATGACCAGGCCCGTGGAGTAGACACTGAACTAAGGGGCCAGGAGGTCTGTGTTCTCACCTCACCTCTGTGAGGACTCTGTGTGACCCTCAGTAAGTCACCCTCTAGAGCTTGACCTCACTCAGCCTTCATTTGGCCCTCTAGGAATTGGGTTGTAATAGAGGATGACAAAGGGCTTTCAAACGCTAAGATTCTATCATTTCAACCCACAAGCATCACCATTTGTGGTATCTTTTGTATTTGTTTTAAATACTCCCCATCCCACTAGATTACAAAGCTCCTTGACGGCAGTAACCTTGCCATATACACCTTGGTGCCTTCTGAAGTATCTAATGTAATACTTTCACATAATACATGCTTTAAAGATCTGTTTGGTATTTTGATTATATACTGGCATACATTGGAAGAACCTTATTCTGAACCTATTGATGATGACTTCTGTGAATATTCTAAAGCTTAGAACCACTACTGACCATCCTGAGTGGCTGTAACTGATAGGCTGGAAAACCAATCAAGATGGTCAGCAGATTGGCAGCTGAGGAATGGTATTATAGTGTGGCATGGAAGGAGATTGCTTCTCTACCTGTGGTTCCTTTCAATTACAGTACAGGAAAAGCAGTACTTTAAGACAAAAGCCTTATTCATCTTCCTTCACTCTTAGAATTTGAGGCTTGCCTGAGTTCTCAGGCTATTTTTCCAATTACTGACTTGGTGTTGCACATGGCAGAAGGGCTTGGGGAGCCATATCAAAGCTAATGATTACTGAATCAAGGCATTTCTGACCTCAGAAACACCTAGGTCACATTATCTGTTAGGTCACCGGAGTTTGAACTCCAATACAGACATGAGGTGTACAAGTTTATTGATATGTGCATGTATGTGTGCATGTGTATTTATAGCCAGTCTGCATATCCCCATGCCTTTGTGAATAAATTTATGCAGTTTCATGTGACTTCACACTACAGGTGCATTGTAAATTACCAAGTTATTTACACAGTGAATTTAAGCTTTCATGTTTGTAAATGTGGTAACAACTTGAGGCTTCCATCTCTTACTGAATGCAAGTTCTTGCGGGTGTAGGATATAGAATTTTTCCCTCAGCTGGTCTAAGCTCCAGGTTAACAGATTCAGTGAAATGAAGAATTTAAGTGGCACAAAAAAAATCAGCATTGTTTTACTCTGCTATAGAGATGAGAGTATAATGTGATCATTAGTTTGTAGCTAGAAAAGAGCCAGCCTGCATTGGAAACCCCAACGGTAATTTTTTTCCATAGGTGCTTATAGCGTGGTCAGGGGAGTATGAGTTGACCTGTCAATCAAAAGAAAGATATCTTTGGTGTCTTGGTGTGTGGGGGGATCAGAACTATTGGGTTTTAAGGACTGGGAGTCAGGGATTATGTTTCTTAATAGGAGTCTCTTTAAGTCTGTGTTGTCACTTTCTGGCTAGGGGTAACTGTGACTGATTGTCCCTGTGTTCTGTAGCTTGGAATTGCACTTGGGTTCTTGATCCCTCCTGTCCTGGTACCGAATATCCAAGACCGGGACAAGCTCGCCTACCACATCAGCATCATGTTCTTCATAATCGGAGGTGTGGCCACTCTGCTTTGCATCCTTGTCATCATTGGTAAGGTCATTAGTTGACTGATGAGGAATGGGGAGGCAGGGAGGTTCTGCTGACTTGGGTGGGAACCTTGTGAAGGTGGCCTTAGGATACCATGGACATTTATAGGAATTGGAGGCCGGGCTTCTAATGGTCTTCAAATGTTCAAGCCTGAGCAGTTGCCATCAATACAGTGCTAGCTGCTCCTGTATACTTTACTTTGTAAAGGTTTAATTGTAACTAACCAGTTCCCCAGTATGACCTCACTGGAATTAACAGGCAGGCTGCTGATCCCCCAGATGAAACCCTAGTGGGGCTTCCTGTACCACAGGACTGTGCTAAGCATGCCTGATGTCATTTAACCCTTACCAACCCTATGAGTGAAGGCACCATTATCAGTCAGTCCCATTTAACAGAGAGGAAAAGATGGCTTAAGGGGAGTTAAACAAGTTATTCAAGACTAGATAGCTAGTAAGTAGCAGGGATTGGATTGCAACCTAAACTTGTCTAACTAACTTTGAACTCTAAATTGCTGGAACAAAACAAAACAGAATTGACCCACAAACACTAACACCCTCATAGAGTCACCTGAGAATATGTGGGGACCACATTTTTGTAATGCTTTTTAAAAAATTATACAAGTAATATATGCTTATTATGGAAAAATCTACAAAGCATAAAAAAATATAAAGAAAAGAGGGACCATTAATTTAGCCTTGTACCAGTTAATCCCAAACACTGATCTCAGATAATTACAATTAATTTTATATACATGTACACTTAATCTTTGAGACATTTGGTTAGTACAGTTTTATATACTTTTATCCTCTGAATGGTATTACATGGGCTGTGATACATTCAGAAACAGCATAGTCAGGGTTTTCATTTTCAGCTAGTCACCTGTCTTTAAAGGTTAGTCAGCTTTCCTCCTAATATCTGGAAGTTCCACTTCAGGTGGTAAAAGTTTTATTGCTTCCTGCTGGCCTTACCTCCAGAGTCAAAGCAGTTGGATAATGATGTCTGTCACTCAGCTGTTCTTGCTGTGTCATTCCCTCCCCCGGGGCCTGAGCTGAGGAAGGGCTGCCTCATGGCTTTTCAAAGCTGGCAGGGTGTCTTGGACAGAGGATGTGGTGGTCTTGGAGTGGTGGAGGGTGTGGACCTGTGGATGAGAGCAGAAAAGAACCATCCAGTCAGGGGCCCTTATTCAGCCAGACTAAGTTTCAGATTGTGTTGTGCCCAGTTCAAATTCTTGTGTTTGTAGTAGATGAGGACCAGTTCTCTGTAGTTAAAATAGTGGAGGTAGACCCTTACTCCATTTGGGCATTTTATTATCAAGCATTGGTAGTAGTTCATTGAGTAAAGAATTGAAAAAAAAAAAAACTGAATTCTGGTTTGTGGTTGCCAAGTCCTTGAGCAAACACCTGCTATTGCAGAGATAAATAATCTCTTGCCTTGCTTTCTTTCCCCAGATGGAAGGGGAGGTGAACACGCAGGACAATGGGTGAGAGGTTCCCAGTGGCGGGAAGTTATCCAAGACTATTTTCAGAGAAGGAAGAAGCAGGGCTCTGAAGTCAGGGTTGGAGGGTTTTCAAGGGGTGGAGGTGTCCCTTTGATCTTTAAGAGAGTAAATCTCATTTCCAGAACTTCCTCTAACTGGAGGTAGTCTACTGGCTTTTCATGAGTGTTCTGGGGAATGGGAGAAGCCACATGGCATTTACTTGGACCCAAATGGGGGATTAATTACACCAAACAACTGGTTAAACTGATCTCTGCCCCCAGAGAAATGAGCAGCAATCATGCAGTCAAACTTACTGCACCAGAACATAAAATGAATGGTTTTCTCCCTTTCGTTCCCCAGTCCTTCACATTGGAGTGACCACTTACAGGAGTGTGTGTTAATCCTCTTGTCTCTTTGTGAGGCAGATGTCTGGTTGAGTCTTTGAGAAACTAGGCATGGACTCAGGTTTTTCCAACAGAGGATCCTTCCACTTATCCAGGGAATATTTATGGGCTGCCATGTGCCAGAGCCTTTGCTAGGCATAGACAAAACAGTCCCTTCCCCCTTGGGAGGAACTCTGGTGGTAAATCATTAACTGAGCTCACTAATCCCAAACCCTGAGCCCTCATTTCCTTTCTCTCCATGTCTGTCACTCAGCTGCTCTGTGGTATTTTACCTGCTGGTTATTAGGAGATTCCCTGATCATTGAACACTGCGTTGGTGGCCCAGTGGCTGCAGCCATCCAGAGGCTGTTAAGAAAAAGTAATCAAAGAACCATTCAGCTCAGACGGTGAGGGGCAGCTTCAAGAACATAGGCAGTGATGGATGTTAGCTGAAGAATTAGTATTTCCTTTTGGAGCCTTAGCTGCTTCTCAGATGAGAGAGCCAGCTCTTGTCCATGCATCAGCTCTGCAAGGATGGGACCACAGGGATTTGCAGTGATCTCTCTGTTTCTTTCTTTTCAGTATTCAAGGAGAAGCCTAAACATCCCCCCAGCAGGGCCCAATCCCTGAGCTATGCCTTGGCGTCCCCTGATGCTTCATACTTAAGTTCCATTGTCCGGCTCTTCAAAAATCTCAATTTTGTGCTGCTTGTCATTACCTACGGTAAGGTACAGATGTGTCCAGGAGTGTACTTGAACTGGGAACGCAAGACAAGAGGCCTGTGTGCCTGTGTCTCTTACTGTTTCCAAATCCTTACCCAAAGTTGGGTAAAGTCAACCAGAAGAGCCAGCTGTGCCCTGGGGCCTTTGCATGTTCTACAAAGTTCACCTGGAAAACCATTCCTTTCCTTGTCAGTTTGTAAGATATGTGCCTGTTGATCCTCCAAGTCTTATTTCGGTCTTACTGCTGTAAAGCATTATTGGGTGACTTTCCTTTTTTATTATGTAGTTCCTGGTACATCTTAACACTTACCATTTTGGAAAAAAAAAAACTGATTCCAGGTCCATCTTTCCACTAGACTATGAACTCCTGAAAGCAGGGATTTATGTCTTTTCATCTTTATAGTTCCTTAGCAGTGGCCAGTCTGGAGCAGCTACTCCCATACTTATTGAATGAATGAACGTATGAGTCCTGCCATATGAACCAATCCTCCTTCAACCAATCTTCCTTCATCTTGTAATACTGACTCCTTTTTTACCTGAATGCAAGACAACATCCGTCCTTCGTTTTATTTGCTTGGTCTTGGTAAGATACATTTGAATATTTATGCTGATATATTGGCTTGCCTTTCCAGTGGTGCTTTTTGCATCCTCTTTCCAACCTTTGATAAGGATGTTGGACCAGACAAGGGCAAGGACAGAGCCTCATGGTTTTCCATTGTAGTATCTTATAGATCTACCCAATTGTATTGCTGTTCAGCCTACATTCAACCATTTAATCCACCAGTTACTTTGATTAAAATCAAGAAGCAAAGTGTGGAACATGCTTAGTTACCATAAGAAAAAAAGAAATGAGATTGCTTTGATATGACTTAACTCTTAGTGAAACCCCAGCTGGCTCATAACCTCATGTTTTCCCTAGATTCACAAATCATTTATTTTATAACAGCAAAAGCATTTGCTATGTGCCAAGACTTTTCGTATATGATTTCATTTAACTTCCACTACACCCATGTGAGGCAGGTATTATAGTTATCCCCATTTAACAGATGGAGAAACTAGCTCAACAACACATAGTTTCTAAGTGGCAGAGCCAGGATTCAAATACAGGTTTGTCCAACTCCAGTGCCTCTTACACTCTTAGTGCCTGTTCTGTAACTGCCTATACTCCTTCCTAGAATTGTGCTAGAATGCTCTTTATCTGCTGAGGCATTAGATAAGAGGTAGTATCATCCACAGGAAAGGCATGCCTGTCTTTCAGGCATACGCAGAGTTAGGTAACCTCTCACCTGGAATAGTGCTAATTAACTAGATTCCTCTTCAAGGTCTTGCATCTCCATTCTACATTCTTTCTAGTTTCTCAGTGCTGGGTATGTCTCTGCATTCATCCACCATATAAAGACAAAGTTTCCAGTACTGAAGATGTGCAACTCAAGAAGTTGTGAGTTGCCCATCACAGAGAGGTAACACAAGCATGTAGGAAAACAAGTGGGGATATTGTGGGAAATATTAGGTGATACAGGTGGATAATGAAGACAGATGACCTTTGGGTTGCTCCCAGACTCAGGATTCCATGGCTCTAAGAACTTATACTTTTTCCTAGAGTTGAATACCCTGAGTGCATTGACCTTTGACCACCATAAACCTTATTGCATCTGACCTACCTTGGGTATATGCAGCCTACCTTGGGATTCTAGGGCAGATGAGTACGTAATAAATATTTTCTGTGGATGAGAATGGTGATGGTGGTGGTAACTAGGCAATGGTCCCATTCCAGAGGCTGTGGTCTTCAGAGTTGGAAGCTCTTGATGGCAGAGTAAAGTCATTGACCTGTGGAAGAAAGAATGAAATGTATCAGAACAACATTGCTCCTGGTCATTGAGGGGCTTAGCTCTGCATCATGCTGTGGGAGCAAAGGAACTCCTTCCATCCCCTCTTGTATGGCTGGTTGCTTATATGGTCTTTAATCTGGTAGAGTGGTTTCAATCCTGTACTTCTGGATACCCTGTTTGGCTAAACAATAAACAGGAAATAAATAGAGAAACACTTCTGGAATGGTGGAGTGAGGACCTTGGATCATTTGTTCCTCCACAAAGCAATAAGAACACTAGGAAACATGGTCAAATCAGTTTTTTCAGAACTCTTAACCAAAGGCTTATAACACTCCAAGGGACATTTATTCAAGGAAAGTGGCTAAATAGGTAAGAATAGCGAGCTCTGTATTCTAACTTGCCCTATTCCAGTCCCTCTCTCCTAGGCTCTGTGGTAGCCGTGACCACAGAGCAGCCTCACAGCCATGGTAGTTGTGAAAACCAGTAGACTTACAGTCATGCTAGTTGTGAAAACTAGCAGCTTCTCAGCCGAGCAAAACAGTTTGGGGGCTCCCCCAAAGCCCCATCCTTAGGTCACTATTTGACCTATCTGGCATGTCCCTGGAAAAACCCCATTCAGAGGACTCGCCCTTCTTTGACCTTACTCAGAGCTTGCTCAGTAGGAAAAGCCCTATTTTCAGGGCATATATTTGTCATTGAAAACAATCACTATTTGATGGCACAGCTTCCTGAGGTGGTAATACCAGTTGGGGTAAACTAGAAGCTGACCTTAAATTTTGAAAGGAAAAATCTGGAGAATGAGTTCATGAGGCTTTGAAGAGCTCTGAAATATTCTTTGGAATCTTGAAGTCCACATGCACGTGCAGAGCTGAGCACATGCCCAGGAAAGACCTGAGAAAGCTCTCACTTCTGGTTGACCTTGAAGTTCTGTGCAAGCAGTAAGTGAAGGCTAAGGCAGAGTTGTCCACTGCCTGCTGGAACATTGAAGGAGAGCACCAATGTATACACAGAGGAGGTCCCTGGCAAAGGTGGGAGACTTAATGGTTTAAGGTATCTCAGATAATCTCTGTATAATCATTAATTCGGCACTCAGCTAATGGAGCAGAAACTTTAGTGGCTGCACATGACAAAGAGTACAGACTTTACAAAATGAGCCCAGGAGAGTCACTAAACAAGCAACAGCAATAGCAACATATCCTGGGGAAGGTGGAAAATCTCATTTCCAGAGTTGACATGGTATTTAAAGCATCCAGCTTCATTAAAAAGGTTATGAGACATGAAAAAAAAAAACCTGGAAAAGTATGGCCCAGACACAGGGAAAATGAGCAGTTAACAGAAACTGTTCCTGAGGAAACCCAGCTGTTGGATATAATAAACAAAGATTATAAATCAACTACTATAAATATGTACAAAGAACTAAAGGAAACTCTAAAGAATGAAAGAAGAATAGAGAACGATGTTTTACCAAACAAAGAGTATCAATGACAGAAACAAAAAAAGAACCAAACAGAAATTCTGGAGTTAAAAATGTAAGAACTGAAATGAAAAATTCATTAGAGGACTTAATATCAGATTGGACTTGTCAGAGGAAGCAATCAGCAAACTTGAAGACGGGTCAAATGAAATTATCCTATCTGTGGAATAGAAATGAAAGAGAAGAAAATGAGCAGAGCCTCAGAGACCTGTGGGAGGCTAACAAGCATACCAACATATGCATAATGGGAGTCCCAGAAGGAGAGGAAAGCAAGGAAGTGATGGAAATAAATTGTCATTTAAGTTAAGATAGTGCTAACCTGGAGAAACCATTCACTCCGGAGTCTCTGAAAGCATTTGATTCCATTGTGCACAGATAGAATTTATGAACATTTTTCTCAAAGGCTTGGGATTATCCCACTGAGGGAGTTAAACTAATCTGGATGTTTGTATATATTTTATTATACTCAGAGAATTGCAAGCCTTATTGCTATGGTAGAGAATTGGACTTGGTGACAGGGCCTTTTGCCAAGAAGGAAATGATTCTTAGGCTTAATCACAGATTTGAAAAAAGTTTTCTTGAGCCATTACTGTGTGCCAGGCACCATGTTAAGTGCTTTATATGCATTTAGTCTTCATTTAGTCTTCAAAGCAAACCCATGACATAAGTTCTTAACTCCATGCCATTTTATGCATGAGGAAACTGAAGCTCTCTGTAGTTCCTTGCCCACCATTGGACAGCTAGCAAGCAACAGAGCTTAGATTTAAACTTTTGTCTGATGCCAAAGCCCATCTTCCTGACCACGGTGCCATTTTGTCTCCCCGTGTAGAAAGGAGCCTCTTGGAGACAAGGGCTCTTTTCTTTGCTCCATTTTGCCTTAGTGGTCCGGGAGTCTACCTAGGGGAGTATGTTTTTCTTCAGATTCAATCCTCCGGACCAGTTGCCAGGGGATAGCTTTCTACCAGGGTGTAGGACTAGAGTTCTAGGGGTTTGGAAGCAGGATCAGGTCACACTGTCCAGCTGTCTTTGGGATTTGGGAATGATGGGCTGTCAGCCTTAGTGTATCTAAGTTTACAGGTCATATGAAGGCAGTGTTTGGCATTCAGTCCACCTAAGAATGTCTTTTTTTTTTCCCATCAAATATTTGCCCCAAATGAAAAAAAAAACCCTTCACAAATTAAATTAGATGCTTTGAAACCCTCCAGAATCCCCCCATTCTTCCCCCTTCCTTCCTGCTGTTTCAGGTTGGGTTTGGAAGAGGGAGATGTTTCCTACTTTTTATATTGTACATAGAATGTTCATATTTTCCTCCAAATTATGTGGCTTAAGGGCATGTAACTGGGTATCAAGCAGATGATAGCTTTTCACAGGCACATTTGCAGGATGTGGGGGTGAACATGTGTTGGGGTAAGAGCCTTGAATGCCAGACCAGTGAGCTCAGAGTTGGCACATAAAGAATGGGATGTCTGTTTTGGTGTCAGCTCTGCCAGTTACTGAGTGTACTACCTTTACCCATCCTTTGTCTAGTTACTTTCTTCTCAGAAAATAGTAACATTTGCTTGTCATTGGAGTGCTCTCCATGAGAACGAAACCTTATAAAGCAATTGTAAGTGAACACACTGCAGCGGCATGGTGGTTGTGTTGGTGAGTTTGCTGGTTTCCTACATTCTTTTGTTGGTCTGCATTAGATTTTGAGGCTTTCCAAGTGCTCTTCCAAGCTGCTGAGCCAGCTGCCCAGAGCTGAGGTGCAGAGATACAGTAGAGCCTTTGCAGGAGTTCCAGGGTACCAGTGTTCCTGTTTTTTTCCTAGAGGTTTCTGGCCACCCCCTTCTAGACAGGTTTGAGAGGTAAAGTAAGAGCTATCCAGCTACATTTGAATTTCAGATAAACAATGCATTCTTTTTAGTATAAACACATCCCACACAATATTTGAGGCATATTTTGCTAAAAAATTACTTATCTGAAGTTCATTTTTAACTGGATGTGCTGTTTCTTTTCCTAAGTCTGGCAGCCCAATGTACCGGGGAGGAGGTGCTGAGGCTGGGTTTGTGCTTGATGTTGATGAAATATCACAGGCAGGAGAAACTCTTTCCTCCTCTAGTGAGATGCCCTCCCTCCTCCCAAGTCTGGCAGTGCAGGGGGGTGCAGGACTTGGCCCAGGTCTCCCAGGGTGTGGGAGTAGGGCAGGTCCTGTGATGGAACAGCAGAGGGGGTGCAGTGGGGTGCAGGAAAGAACCTTTCTTCAGCTACCTTCTTGTGTCTCTAGGTCTTGTTTGCATGTGGCCTCCTGTGCTATCTTTTAATCAGTGGTATAACAACTGCCATGTTAAAAAGAACTATTGAAAAAGGCTTCTCTTCGAGAGACTGCCTTCAAGGGGAATAATTTTCCATATTGTCACCCAGCCTTGTCTCCATCTGTGCTTCTGAATAATCTTCCACTTTGAACATCTCTACTCAGAGACTCAGTAGGTGGCCTGAGGACACCTTCCCTTGGGGCTTTCAAGGGCTTTACTGCCACCCCACTTACATGGGCCTAGGATGGGGGCTGTGTGCCCTCTCTATAATCTTGGCTTAAGAGTGGGTTTAGCATCCTCCTGATTCCCTAGAGCTTTGCTGAGGTCAGGCTGGCCCTTTAAAACAAAGGCTTGCTCTGAGTTCAGGAAGGACCAAGGGGAAATGAACACAGAGTAATCAGCACCTAGATATAGGATTCAACTAGATGCTTTCCCAAGCTTGCCTGATAATGGACTTCCCTGGGGTGCTCGGTTGAATGTGTGCATAGATTTCCATGCTTCTCTTCTGGAAATTCAAATTCAGCATCTGGGTTGGGGCCTGGCAGTCTGCTTTTAACAAGCATTCCCGGTGATTCTGTTTTGATTCACCTCTAAACCAGGTGTGTCATGGGTCAGTATCATGGGAGAAGCCCCTTCCCATCCCAGCTGCCTCCATGTTAACCCCAGCACCTGAGAGCCTGCGCCTGGTCTTTGATCTCCCATATTCCTGAAGCCATTTGTTTCAACCTCCAGTGGGTTTAAGAAATGTTCGGAGGTTTTGTTATTGTTTATAAAATGAATATTTCCAGATCCATTCCTTGAGAATCAGATTTATTAGGTCCAGGAAGGAGCCCAGGAATCCTCATTTTTAAACTCTAAGGACTTCTTATGCCAGTGGTCTCTGGACCACAGTTGAAAAAGCTGGTCTTCACAAAGGGGAGAAACTCAGTGTAGTAGCACATCCTTTCTGCCTTCCTAAAGCCTGCCTCCTCAATGATATGGGCACTTTGGCACTTCTCCTGGGTGACTGATGCCAGGAATGACCAGGCTTCACAGGAGTATGGCCCCGGCTGGCAGGCTTACCTTGCTGGCGATAATCATAGCCAAATATAACACAGTGACCTGCACTTCTCGAAGAGGTCCTCACACACAGGGAGGAGCAAGCCTTTCATTCCTGCCCTTCAATGTGGGCACTGAACTCCTGGGTTTTGACAGTGGAGTGGACTCATGTCATTTAACCATGCCTGGTAACCTTTGACAATATGGGAAGTGATGTCTAGGTTAAATTGATTCAGAAACCATGCCTAAGCTCCTAATTCCTCTAGGGCTGGACTATAGAAACATTTGGAAAGAATGGCAGCCTTCCCGAGTGAACCCCTGCCCTCCCCCTTCCCCTTCCCTCCACCCTTACCACCCTTGCTTCCCCCCATCCCTGCCTTAGCCCTGATGCAGGCTCCTGTCTGGCTGGGAGCCGGGCTGGCTCTTAGTAAACCACACTAGTCTAACTGAGCCAGTGGGTCTCAAACTTGAGCACTATCAGAATTATCTGCAGGGCTGTTCAAACACAGATCGTGAGCCCCACTCTGGGAGTTTCAGAGTAGGTCTGGGGTCAGGTCAGCAGTTTGCACCTCTACCGATAGACCGCAGACCACACTCTGGGACAGATTTCCTTCAACCATGGAGCCCCAGAGAAACTGCTCAGCTTCTGTAGCGTGGGTCAGTCTGCTTCTGTTTCTGTCTTTTTCAGAGCCATAAAAGCTTCTCCATTTTTTGTTTATTTGTTTATTTTTTGCCTCCAGTCCTCCTGGGTAATTTCCCTGTGTTTCCTGTGGCTTCTGTTCTCCTTGTTCATCCCAGTCGGGCTGCAGGCTGAGCGCAGCGGCCCCACCTGGAGCTGAGCATGGCGAGGAGGAGCGGTCCCTTGCCCGTTGTGCTGGTGGGCTGGCCCGGAGGCTGAGAGGGGCGTGAACAGCAGGAAGAGGGGCTGTTTTCATCTTTCTCCTCCCCATCCACCTTTTCAGGAATGCACCTCCTGTGAGCATTCTTGATTCAGGAATGGAATTTCCAAGTGGTCAGGTGTGTGGTATAAAGCTTAGTCAGGTATGCTGGCTGGGTAAGAAGTTACCGAGAACGTCCAAGTCCTCACCATCAGCATGACATTGTAGTGACATTTGGTGGCACTTCCAGGTTTGCCAGCCCATGGTGGCTCTGTGCCACTCAGGAGGTGGCTTTGAGCACAACCTTGTTGCATCTCTGAGGAGACCTGCTGGGAGAGGCTGGGACATGAAATGGCCGGTCACCTGAGCTGGAGAAATCTTTGGGAATCCAGTTGGTGAGAGTGTAAGATAGAGTGATGAAGGTGGAGGACTTTAGAGCCACACACCTGGGTTCAGTTCCAGCCCTGCCTTATACTATCTGGGTGGCTGTGGCAGTGGTAAAACTCCTTTGCCGATCTGCATGAGAATCTGACCTTCACTTAACTTTGTGTCTCATTCCTTTGGGAGCCTGATAAAGGGGGTAGGGCAATGAATTTAGGCAACACTGCTTATGATGAAGTGACCAGTTGTGATGAAAATGACTACAGCTGGATGGGGGGACCTTAGCATATCTGGTAGGAAGCCATTCTTTGTGCTTCTCTGAGCATGGTGACTGCTTTCACTGGCCTGTCCTTCATGGGGACCCTGGAAGTACACCTGTAGAGTCGTTACAAGCAGTAGTGGCTCCCGTGAGGTGCTAAACCAGGGTGGTCACTGTAGTCCCCTTTCCCGGCACCCGACCCATCAGCTTGAGGGCTGAAGAGAATGGCTCCAATGCTTGATGGACTGGGTTCCTGTGGCTTGGTTCCGTTGAAGAGGAGCTCCTGAGGCTGCCCTGCCCACAAGCTCTGTCCCGTCTTAGCGCCTTCTAAGTGGACCTAATGTCAGGTGTGCTGGCGGTAGTCTTGTGAGCCTCAAAATCAGTTAAGATTAAAAAGATTCCTGGTGGGCATTACAGTGACCTCTGTATTTGTTTTTAAACTTTGTGCATTTTGCTCATCTATACAATAGAAACAGTAATATGACCTACCTTCCAGGGTTGTTATAAGGAATATAAGGTGTTCCAATGGGGTCTGGGACAGGAGTATGTACTGTGGCCACTGCCGCCATCATTATGAAGGGAGGGCAGGTGGCCCTTTATGCTTTGGGTCTTAGTTACTGACTCGCTGTAGGGCTGTGGACAAATGGCCTCATGCTCTAAGGACACAGATTCTCACAGCATATTCTAGGTGCTCCATTTATTTGCTAGCTGAAGCCATGAATTAGGAGAGTCAACTAAATGTTTTCAGAATCCTTTCTGACCTCAAATACAAGATTTTGTGTGATATTGAATCGGAGAAGAAAATTGAAGGAGGAATGGTAAAAGAGGTGAGAAGCCCCTTGCAGAAGAAATGGTGTCAGGGGTCAGAGGTCTGAAGCATCTGGAGAGGGGATAGGTCACCAGGAAGAGGTAGAAGTATCCAGGAGATCCATTGATCCCACAGGTCAATCCTTAAGAGGAATGTGGATGATTCTGACTGGGGAGTAAAACTTTCCATAGCCTGGGTTCCCAAGGCAGGGTTAAAAGGATCAGAGGGCAATGGTGTGTAGCTAAGAAATGGTTAAAATGGTTACTTTTTGTTGTTGGAGTATTTATTGGACAACTTCTTGGGGGAGAGGTCAGCAGTGGCCCCAGCAAAAGGCTGACCCTAATGCTGTGTTTCTCCCTCCCTCCTTCAGGTCTGAATGCTGGTGCTTTTTATGCCTTATCCACTCTGCTGAATCGCATGGTGATCTTGCACTACCCGGTAAGGGAGTTCCCTAAACACGCTGGATCAGAGAATGAGCTCTCCAAGTCCGTCCCAGCAGGAGCTAGGGCAGCCGTGAGCTCTTGGTGCCCTGCAGTTCTTGGCAGCATGCTTATGGTGGTGTGCTTATGGGATTTGGAAGGAGATGGCCCGGAATCTCAACCCCAGCTCTAGTGGTACTAAACTATATGATAAGCTGGTTAGGCCTCTGAGCTCTCATTTTGTCTTTTCTGCAAAGAAGCATACTTTCACTTGTTGAAAGATTATTTTTAGGATTAGAAAGTAAATAATATGTGGTGTATATATATTCATATCTACTATATATATAAAAAACATAGCATGGTGCCTGGTGATACAGTAGGTAATACACATACAGAGAATCACATATGAAATATTTAGTTTGCAAAATTATTTGTAATTGTAACATATGGGCAAGGCTTAATTTTGAACTCTTAGTTGCTCTACTGAAAGCATTTTTTAAATGTTTCTGGAATGAGTGAGGGCTGGATACTGGGAATGGGTACAGAGGTTCCAGGAGTCGGCAATCCCAGGTCCAGCCATCTTTGCAAAGGGTCTCATGCTTACTGAGGTGGTGGGCCACTGTGGCTAAGTGTTCTCATTTTGGACTTGGATGGCTCTGAGTTCAAATCCTTGTTCTGCACTTAATAAATGCCTCATGACCTTAGGCTAGGAGGTTAATCTCATTGTGCCTCAGTTTCTTCATCTGGAAAATAGGGAATATTGATTCCTAACTTTATGGTGGGGACTTAGGAGAATAAATGAGATGATAATGTAAAATCCTCAACATGGTACCTGGCTCATAATAAGCACTCAAAAATCGAACTATTATCTTCCTATTGCTTTTGATAGCTTAAAATACCTAAGTATGGAATTTTGGACATACATATTTCAGTTTCCCCATCTCTGAAATGGAAATAATGACAAGATAAAAGCATTGCTATAAGGATTAAATTAAGAAAAAATCTACTTAAATGTGGCTCTAAAGACAGACCTTGCCTCACCTCAGCATCCAGTATTATGCGCAGATGTCAGGATTGTGTCACGTCGGGACAGCTAATCTAGGATTTGCTCCCTGTTGGCAGCTGCTTACAGGCCACCTTGCCCTGGTACTTTCTGAGAATTGGCTCTAAGGGGGCCCTGGTTACTTGCTTTGCCCCTTTACCTCATGGTGTCTGTGTTCTGTCTGGTGTCTTGTCTTGCTGCTGGTGGTCACTGGGGCTGTGATTTTTCCAGGGGGAAGAAGTGAATGCTGGGAGAATCGGCCTGACCATCGTCATTGCAGGAATGCTTGGGGCTATGATCTCAGGAATTTGGCTGGATAGGTCCAAGACCTACAAGTAAGTGCCTTCCTCTTGGACTGAGAACTGAGGATCCCTGTTTTGGAAAGACATAATTCATTAGCAATATGGCTACAAAGGTTTGTGTGTGGCGGCCGTGGTGGGCAGAGTAGTCAGATGGTTCAAGTTTCTCTGAGCCTCAGTTTCCCCATTTACAAAATGAGGGAAACAATACCCGCTCTGTGGGGACCTTAGGAAGATCAGAGAGGAGGACATGAGGCCTGGCAAAGTGCTCCTCCTCACCTCCACCCCCCACGTGGCTGTGGAAGGGGCAGATGAGGGAGAAATGAAAATGGATGTTGAAAAATGTCAGCTGGGAAATTTGTGGAAACTCCAAAGAGTGGAGATGAGTTTCAGCCCCGTGGGTTGGATCCCTGGGGTTAACAAAGATGCTCTGTGTTTCCTCTGGTTTGCATTGTATTATCTTGCAATTGCTTATGCCTCCTTGGTTAATATTGTGATGTGTCTTGGGCCTGAATGCCCAGTGCATTTCTAAGAGCCTAGAGCAATCTGTCTAAGATTTTAGCATATGCCGGGCTAATCCAGAATGCTTATTAAAAATACAGATTCCTGGGCCCCACCCCCTTGGATACCAATTCAGTAGGGGATTTACATTTGTTAAAGCAACCTGGGCATCTTGATTCAGTAGCCAGGCTTGGAGAAAAGTTTCTGTAGAACAGAGACCCCCATCCTTCCCTTCTTGCTGCATCTTTCCAGCGCTCTGCATGCACTGGGATGCTGCTTGGTAGGGTAGCTGCCGGGGCTGCCCTGGGCTGGGGCAGGGTGGCATTCTGGGCTGCTTTGTTGAGGCCTCCAAGTTCCCAGTGTCTGGAGGCAACAGACAGTGGCAGACCTGTTCTCTGCCACACAAGCCCACTTCTGTGGGGCTCTGGTCAGACCAGGTCTGTCTCTGGATGCCCTAGTCAAAGGCCAATTGAGGCTGTCCCTGGGATGTGGCTGCCTGGTTAGACATGATGAGGAGCCTGGCTCAGCTTAATTACTGCTGGTGGAGCTTGGCCTCCGTCTCGTGTCTGCCGTCTGTCAATTGCTTGCTTCAGCCAGACATGAGAGCAGTGAGGACTGGCCACCCCCCAACCATTGAACAGCAGTGTCCCTTTTTCCAGGACTGGCTTTGTGGCAGGAGAAGGGAGGGATTGGAATGCTGGCTGGGCTGGGATGTGGGCAGCCAGATGATTCAGATGAACTAGAAAATATCATACAAGGGTTGGAGAGGATGCTTCAGAACCTAGATGTCATTAGTTCCTAGTGTCCTTTGATGTCTAAGTCCTATGTCAGCAAGAGACATTTTCCTCCCCGCACTATTGCCCAGGTAGAGGAAGAATGAGAGACCTGTGGGATCTGGTCGTTTTGATGCCAGTCTGTTATCCCTAAGGCTCCCAGATTTGTCCCATTTGGTTTGGAGGCTGGAAATTGGGTGGCAGGTCTTTTATCACAGATAGTTTTTCTAGACGGGTCAGTGGCTTAAGATGAAGCTATGGTTAAACAGATAAGGCAAAAGATGAGTTTGTGGTAAGGTCAGCAAGAGCCTGGTGCCCAAGGAATTGTCCTCTGCAGGGTGGGTTAGACTAGGTGAGGGGAACAGGGTGGAGGAAGAAAGAAGCACCTCTACCCTCAGCAGCTACTTTGAAGCACCAGGTGGGGTCCTTTGGAAGCTTGGCCTAGAGTTTTTTGAAAGATGCCACATAGCATATCCCGGTGCACAGTACAAGAAGGGGCACAGCTTTCAGATTCCAGCTCTGGAATCCCAGCTTGGCATTTACTCAATGTGTGACTTTGGACAAGTAACTTAACTGGTCTGAGCCTCAGTTTCCTCTTAGTAAAATCAGGAATAGTCATACATTTCTTGCTGAGTTTTTGTAAGAGTTGAATAAAATAATAAATGCATGTAAAGTACTTAACAGAATCCCTGGCACCCAGTAAATGCAGTTTTAGCTCATGTCTGCTGGTTTCTGGCTGTGTTTCTGGCTTCAGGGGAGACGAGTGAAGTCTTTAACTTCCATTGTCCTGAGTCCTGATGTTCATGGCAGGAGGGCAGAGGGATGTGTAGAGCTCATGCCCTACCACAACTAGGACATGGAGAAGGATGCAGGTCTATCTGCATGAGGCAGGGTGGCAGCAGAGTCACGAGTGGGCACCAAAGAAGGAGAAGTGCTACAGGGGTACAAACAAGGTGACCCTGACGGAAACCAGCATGTTGCTGATGGTCCTTCTGAGGGGATGCACGGAGGGGAATATAACAGGGAGTGGGTGGAACTTTCTGTTTTTGGCTTTGATGTCAAGCACTTAGTTCAGGGCTGGAGAATGTTCTGTCTTAGTTCCTACTGTCTGGAGCAGTTCAGATTCAGCTGTGCTGCACCTGTACACATGGCAACAGGATGAACTTCAGGAAGGTGGAATCTGAAAGTCACATCACTGCCCAGCATTGGCATGCATCTTGGGCAAAAGCAGACAAACAGAACTGGACTGCTTCTGGACTGGTCCTGCATGCCACTGCCAACTGATCAAGGCTGATGTTTGTCCTGTTTATTTTTTTGGTGGGGGTTGAGGAGAGGAGAGGGCTGAGCCCTTCTTGCTTCTGGGTAGGGTATAGTGCAGCTTGATAGGATTGAAAGGGTTCTATAGGAGAGGAACACAAATGCAGCCAGAGGGTTTCTGACCCTCCTGGTCTTACCTGTTGTAGCACTGACCACAGTATAATTAAATAATCATTAGTGTGATCATTGGTTCAGTGTCCATCAACCTCATGGACAGAAGTTCTATGGTAGCAGATGTCCCAGCACATAGCACGTGCCCAGTAGATACTTAGAGTATGAATGAATGAATGATTGATCCTATTAAAGTCAGAAGCGTGTGACTGACTACTTTGCCTCTGCTTGCAGGGAGACAACCCTGGTGGTCTATATCATGACTGTGGTGGGCATGGTGGTATACACATTTACCTTGAACCTGAGACACCTGTGGGTAGTGTTCATCACTGCTGGCACAATGGGGTAAGTTTCACCTCTAACTTACTTAAGTGGAGAGCACTATCCCTGGCTCCAAAGCTTCCCACAGCCTAGGAAGCAATATTGATCCCTTTGCTGCCTTCTTACTGACCTCTGGTGATGTGGAAATGGTGCCCCAAGGTCTTGTTTACTTGTGGCACTTCAAAAGACCGCCTGCGGCTTCCAGGCCCATCCATGCCGTTGGGATAGAGTATGTCCTTCACAGACCTCTGGGAGGCCAGGAAATGTTTAGTCTTTTTTAGCTCTGCTTGGGAGAACATGGGGTCACAGAAAGTACATGGGGCTTAGAATCAGAAAGTCTGGGTCCTGGTCTCAGTTCTGCTGTTGACTGTCTATTAGACCACAGGCATGTCACTTAACTGCTCTGAGCCTCAGTTTCCTCATCTGTAAATGAAGATAAGAGTAGCTTGTCTTGTAGAGGTGTTGGAAGGCTTGAAAGAAATAACAGATGTGAAAATAGGAAGAAGTGCGGTGCTGATGTAAGGATTAGAATTGGAATTTTCTAGACCTGTTATATGAGAAAGTGTAGGAAATAGTAATGAGTAGTAATACTCTTTCCACAGGGTACTCAGCTTTACCTCCTAATTATTTTCCTGTGGGAAGTGTGTGTGTGTGAATGTGTGTATAAGAGAGGGTGTGAGAGTGCATGAGAGAGAGAGAGTGTGTGTGTGTGTGTGTGTGTGTGTGTGGTTGTGGGGACAGAGACAGATGCTCTTCTCATCTGCCTGCTCTCTCATGGGACAGAAGAGGATTCTGAGCTCCTCCCTCCAGGTCCCAGAGAGCCATGGAGATGCTGTTCAGTAGCTGGGGATTTCCTGCTCCCAGCCCAGGGCCTGTGTACCCACGGCTGAACACTCCAGACATCCCCACTCCTGTGAATGCTGACTGTCTGTAATTGATGGCTGGAGGAGGAGAAGCAAGGAACCCCCAAAGGCCTCCAAGCACAAAGCCTGCATATGAACTTCTTCCTGGCCTGCAGGGGTTTCTTTCCTACAGGGATGGCTTGATGGCTCAAGGGCCTGGCATGTCTTGTCAGGAGGAAACAAAACAGGAAAAGGAGTTCTAAGGGAGCGGGGGACGCCCAATCTTGTTCTGGAAGTTCTCCAGCATCTTGTTTCTCTGATTTGGCCTTCAGCTTCTTTATGACTGGCTATCTCCCGCTGGGATTTGAGTTTGCTGTGGAGCTGACCTACCCAGAATCGGAAGGCATATCATCTGGCCTCCTCAACATGTCTGCCCAGGTAGGGCTCTTACTTGCTGGTGGTCCCCAGCAGGGACTCTACGTTCTCTGCCTGGCTTGGCTAGCTCAGGCATTGCATTATGGCGTCACAGTTCCCCCATGGGCTGGTTAGCTGGGCCCTTGTTTCCCATCTTCTTTGTGCCTTTTCAGGTATTTGGGATCATCTTCACCATCTTCCAGGGCCAGATCATTGACAACTACGGAACCATGCCTGGGAACATCTTCCTGTGTGCATTCCTCACCCTTGGGGCAGCCCTCACTGGTGTGCTGGGGCCTCGGGACAAGATGACACTCAGGCTGCTTGTGGGCTGGGGCTTTTGGCAATTTGGGATCCCAGTGTCTTGATTGATCATACAAATGGGGGTCACATGCAGGGAGGCAGAGGCGGGGCTTGTCAGGAAATCTCTTTGGGAGGCAGTAGCATGTTGGGTGGATTAAGTACAGGCTTTGGCACCAAAAGACCCTCATTTGAATCCTCGACTGTGAGGCTGACCTCCAAAGCTCTTTGACCTTGGGCAGGTGAATCAGCTTCTGGGAGCTTCTATAAAATGGAGACTGTTGTGAGGATTAGAGCAATGTGTGCAGACTCCCTAGGAAATAAAAGTGATCTACAATTGATGGCCAGTGTCATCATGGGACAGGCATGTCAGGGACAGCAGCATCCCCAGGCTTCATCAGGTTGGCTGCTGGCACCCTCAGCTCCCTGGGGTATCTGAAGTAGGTATGGGATGCCTGTGACCTGCGGGAAAGTGAGGGCTCTCTCTCGGATGAACGTGACCACTGGTTTGATAACTGTGTCTTTGTTGTTCTTCCTTCTTGATCCCTTGACCTCAGCATTCATTAGGCCAGATCTCCGGAGGCAGAAAGCCAACAAAGAAACTTCTGGGAATGTGAGTACGCGGGGGCTTACTGGGCTGAGCTCCGGGTCCCAGGCTTTGCCGAGGATGTGGCAGTCTGGGTGGGTTGAGGGGGCTCCCAGAGTGGACTGGCTCTGTGGTGGCTATGAGACCAGCTCAACTTGCAAAAAGCCCTGCTTCCTTTCCTTCTAGCCTCCCTGCTCTGGTTCCTAGAACACATCACTGTTGTCACAGCCTGCTGAACAGCGCCCACCCCTTGGATCCCGACGCAAGTCCTGAGTCCCTCGTTCTGCTGCTTCCAGCCTGAGTCAGGGTTAAGAGAGGAAGGGTGGGCGCCTGTCATGGCAGTGGGGGCTCCGAGGCTTTAGCTCTGCTGTCAAGTGACGGCCCCTTAGGCAGTGCTATGGGCTAGAGGGAGTGGAGCCAATGTATTTCCAGCTGGGCTCCGAAAGGACAAGTCAGGACACAGGAGCTGACGGTAGAGGGGGAGAGGACCAGTAGTATGCTCTAGAACAGAAAAGTGTTCTGTCAGCTGGGAACTTATTTATTTATTTAATTTTAAAAAATAAGGTATCATTGATATACAATGTTATAAAGGTTTCATATGAGCAACATTGTGGTTATTACAGTCACCATATTATCAAGTCCCCCCCCCCCCACCCCATTGCAGTCACTGCCCATCAGCATAATAAGATGCTATAGAGTCATTACGTGTCTTCTCTGTGCTATATTGCCTTCCCCGTGACCCCCCTACCTTATGTGTGCTAATCATAATGCCCCTTAATCCCCTTCTCCCTCCCTCTCCACCCTCCCCACTCCCTTCCCTTTTGTAACCACTAGTCCCTTCTGGAGTCTGTGAGTCTGCTGTTGCTTTGCTACTTCAGTTTTGCTTTGTTGTTCTACTCCACAAATGAGGGAAATTATTTGGTATTTCTCTTTCTCCGCCTGGCTTATTTCATTGAGCATAATACCCTCCAGCTCCATCCATGTTGTTGCAAATGGTAGCATTTGTTTTCTTTTTATGGCTGAGTAATACTCCATTGTATATATATATACCACATCTTCTTTATCCATTCATCTATTGATGGACACTTAGGTTGCTTCCATGTCTTGGCTATTGTAAATAGTGCTGTGGTAAATGAAGGGGTGCATATGTCTTTTTGAATCTGTGATCTTGTTTTCTTTGGGTAAATTCTAGGAGTGGAATTTCTGGGTCACATAAATTTCTATTTTTAGTTTTTTGAGAAACCTCCATATTGCTTTCCACAATGTTTAAACTAATTTATGTTCCCACCAGCAGTGTAGGAGGGTTCCCCTTTCTCTGCATCCTCACCAGCATTTGTTGTTCCTAGTCTTTTGGATGTTGGCGATCCTAACTGGTGTGAGGTGATATCTCATTGTGGTTTTAGTCATTTCCCTGATAATTGGCGATGTGGAGCATCCTTTCATGTGTCTGTTGGCCATTTGAATTTCTTCTTTGGAGAAGTGTCTGTTCAGGTCCTCTGCCCATTTTTTAATTGGGTTATTTGCTTTCTGGGTGTTGAGGTGTGTGAGTTCTTTATATAGTTTGGATGTTAATCCCCTATCAGATATCTTGTTTACAAATATATTCTCCCATACCGTAGGATGCCTTTTTGTTCTACTGATGGTGTCCTTTGCTGTACAGAAGGTTTTTAGTTTGATGCAGTCCCATTTGTTCATTTTTGCTTTTGTTTCCCTTTCCCGAGGAAATGTGTTCAGGAAAAAATTGCTCATGTTTATATTCAAGAGATTTTTGCCTATATTTTCTTCTAAGAATTTTATGCTTTCATGACCTACATTCAGGTCTTTGATCTATTTTGAGTTTACTTTTGTGTATGGAGTTAGACAACAATCCAGTTTCATTCTCTTACATGTAGTTGTCCAGTTTTGCCAACACCAGTTGTTGAAGAAGATGTCATTTCCTCATTGTATATCCATGGCTCTTTTATCATATATTAGTTGGCCATATATATTTGGGTTTATGTCAGGGCTCTTTATCCTGTTCCATTGATCTGTGGGTCTGTTCTTGTGCCAGTACCAAATTGTTTTGATTACTGTGGCTTTGTAGTAGAGCTTGAAGTCAGGGAGCATAATCCCCCCAGCTTTATTCTTCCTTCTCATGATTGCTTTGCCTATTTGGGATCTTTTGTCGTTCCATATAAATTTTAGAACAATTTGCTCTAGTTCATTGAAGAATGCTGTTGGAATTTTGATAGGGATTGCACTGACTCTGTAGATTGCTTTCGGCAGGATGGCCATTTTGACAATATTAATTCTTCCTATTCGTGAGCACGGGATCTATTTCCATTTGTTAGTGTCTTCTTTAATTTCTCTCATGAGTGTCTTACAGTTTTCAGGGTATAGGTCTTTCACCTCCTTAGTCAGGTTTATTCCAGGTATTTTATTCTTTCTGATGCAATCGTAAATGGAATTGTTTTCCTGATTTTTCTTCCTCCTAGTTCATCAATAATATATAGGAATAGTTGGTAACTATTTTATCCACATTGTTAGGTATCAAATATGAGCCAGGATGGAAGAAATTTCAAATCTGAAAAGGAGTAAAAGTAGGATATTTCTTTAATAATAAATAAAACATTCAAAACCTATTAGGGAATATATGTTCTTTGTAAAAAAACAAACAAACCTAAAAGATACAGAAAAGTATACAAAATTTAAAAATCCCCTGTAATACTATGATCTAGAGATGAGATACTGTTTTTTTGCATTTACTTATGCATGTCTTATATCCACACATAAGATATATATATATATTTAAAGGAAACAAAAAGAATCTTCTATCTGCTTTATATTATTGTGAACACTTTGTTAGGTCATTCATCTTTTACAACATACTTTATTGACTGCACAGCATTTTAATATGACTGCACATGGATAAACTTTGATTTGTTTAACAGTTTTCCTGTCTGTGGACATTAAGGTTGTTTCCAATTGTTATAAACAATATTATAATTAAGGTCTTGGAAGCTGAATCTCTGTGCATGTTCTTAGGTATGGTATTTCCTTGAGAAATGGACCAGTGATTATGCACCTTTTAGACTTCGCTAGGTACTGCTTACTGTCCTCTGGAAAGGCATTCAGTGCTGCCAACTCATACTGCTGTAGCAGTGTAGGAGTGCCAATACGGGCAATGTATCATTTTGAAAATCTTTGCCAGTTTTCTAAAGTAAAAATGGTATCCGGAAGAGTTATATTTAGCATTTTAAGACTGTGTGTTGCAGACAGATGGTAATCTGTAGTTTTTTACTATTAGTCTTCTGATCTCACACTTTACATTTGGCAGGCAGCACTGGTAGCATGCACGGGACAGGAAATTCAGTGGGGAGCCAGGAATAGCCTTAGAGAGGAAATGCTCTTCTCCATACCCGCGTGAGGCCCATGGCATCACCACGGTGTAGATCGGTTTTCACCTGTGGCACGTAGAAGGAGACATAATGATTTGGAACATTTTGGTGGACATATAGTGAACTTAGGAAAAGGTGTTTGTGATAAAACAGGATAGATTTGATGTGAAAAGTTTTCAGTTTGGAATGGGTTGTATTATGCCAAGTGATAAGAGATTTTGCTGTATTTACCTTATAATCTGTGCTTACATTAGCAGATATAGGCAAACAAGGAGGTAGGCCCCCTGTGATCCTTGTACCCAGAGATAACCTAGTAATGTTTTAGTCCATTTGCTAGTGGCGTTTTCTATGGGTGTGCTTGTTGCACTTGGTTTTCTACTCTGCTTGTTTACTTAATATAGCTTGACAACCTTTCTACACCATTACATTTTATAACCTCATATCTATATATGTATTTTTTCATTTCCTCTTAATGTTGAGGTTGTTCCACTATTTCACTATTCTTGCAGCCAGATCCTTGTGCTCATGGACCAGGTTTGTTAATCAAGGTTAGACTGGGCGGCTCAGTCACGGTCTGCATGGAGTACTGGCATAGCGCTGAGTCTGAGACAGGAGACAAGTCTGGTGATGGCACTTAAACTGTGTGTCTCTGGATAAGTCACTATGCATCTCTGGATGTCACTTGCATCTGGGGAAGCTTGGTGTTATGGGGAGGTTGGAGTCATGCTGAGCTGACCCCAGGGAAGACAGGGCTGTCCCAGCTTCTCTCTGCTGGAGCCCCTCATTTCAACCCCATGGCAGTCAGTGTCAGTGAGACCTATCCACCATCACACGAATCCACTACCAGAGCAGGAGAAGACTGCGCAGCAGATCTGGTCAGAGCTGCTCTGACCAGTTTCAGTAAAAAGTTTCAGTAAAAAGTGGCAGATCTTCTGGCCTGGGGGTAATGATTGACCTAAACTATGAAAATCCTGGCTTGTATTTCCAGTTTTCTTCAGGTTGGTAGTTCTTGGCCAGAGAGACAGTTGGTTGTGCTTCTCCATGTGTTTCTGGTTGTCCTTTCACAGTGATGGCTTTGGAGGAGGTAGGTGTGTGTGGACATGCATGTGTGTGTGTCAGAGAGAGGAGAGAGGCTGGCTGGCTAACATATGTAGGCTGCTAGTTGCCTGAATGAGGGCTTCTCATGGCTGTGGCTGACCTGGTGCCAAAAAGTTAACAAGGGTGGGAATGAAGATTAGATTTTGACAGCTGTTACCACCATCATGGATGGGCCCTGAGACACACCCTGGGTAAGAAGCACCATTTTCTCAGTCGACACTGGATGCTAGCTTGGCCCTGCATAGGGTGGCCATGGCTGTGCCTGAGCCCCCAGCCTTTCTATGAACTAGATCAGCCCCTGAGGTAGGAAGCAAAGTACTCTTAAAGTGGCACACAGATGCAACGGTGGCAGTGTGCACCTAAGGGCCCCACAGGCTATCTTCTTGGACATATTTAATTCCAAACCCACCTAACAAATGCAACCCGGAAGACTCTCTAATCCTGTGCCAGCACTCCCCAAGAAAGCCCAAACCAAACCAACTCAAAGTCTGTCTATGCATAGAGTATACACACACATTTTTAGCCACTGAGTTTACATATGCAATTATACATTCTGCTTTGTTAAAATTCTCTTTGTTGCACATATATAATATTGTCCATCTTGGGGGATACCTCCAGAATTTGGTCAGAAATTCTGAGGGGGTTGCATACTTGGCACTTTGGATGGCTGCTTGTGATGGTCAGTCCAGGTGAGTTTTAGGTTGTCAGAAATGGGGGAGAGTGGGCTCTGCTTCTGTTTCAGTCTTGAGGAGCCTGGAACAGTGGCACTCAGATTGTTTGTGGCAACTGTGGCATCACAGAAAACTGGCCTTTCAGGCTTTTTCCTTGGTGACACTGTGACAGTGTGTGTGTGTGTGTTAGGAAGTGCCCTTGGGGCGTGAGCTAGTCACTCCTTTTCTTGTTCTGTTTGTTCGTTCTTGGGGATGCCAAGTGGCCTCTGTCTCTTGTTTTTCCAACTGATTGTAAAGTCACCAATAGGCAGTTGTTTCAGCCTGGAACAACCCAGAGTCCAGTACTTCTTCACCCAAAGGGCTGCCTTGTTTTGCCTTCCAGAAACTCCAGGAGGAGGAGAGCAGTACCACCAGTAAAGCCCCCACCAGTGTGTCTGAGGAGCATCTCTGAGAGAAAAAGGGGGTGGTGACTCAGGGACCCTGGAGAACACGCCCCACCTCTTCAGTCAGCGCGACTCCCACCGCCAGCACCGAGGGCTTCGCTGGAGCAGCTTTTGGAGGAAACCGGCGGGAATATCTGTGGCTTGGACGGCAGTGCCTCTGCCCTCTGGAACCCTCTCAAGAGCTTAGCTTGCATGGTCTGCTTGGGGAAACTCGCGCCTTCCACCACCTGCGGAGTCCGTTCCTGCCCCTCCCCCTTGTAGGTTCCGGGAGCTGGTGTTGGGAGAGGCCAGTGGAGACCAATGGAGTCGGTCCTGGCTTGGTGCCTTCCCTTCCCTCTTCACTTCCATCCCTCGTGAAGAAAGTCTGCGAAATTACCACAAAAGAAAGCTCATTCAAGATATTAACTTTTTCTAGTGTCTTAAAGACTCTTAGAAGCCCAATTCTAAGGCGTGTCAGCTGCTGTGGATGAGGGTCACTCCTGGGTCATCAGACTGATGGGCTCGAGTTCTGTAGGAGAGAAAGCGCCTCAGGACAAACCCTCCAGAACCCTGGGCCTCAGTTCTCCTGGCCTAATGGTGGCGTCTTGTCTCAACCCTCTTCCTAAGAGCCGATCAAACCAAACATCAATAAACTTGACAAAAACTTTGTTGTGCCCACAGTGGAGAAAACGGTTTGGGAGAGTTAACCACCTGGGTGTGTGATGTGGTAGCTTGATTTGGGAATGGGAAGTTCTTTCCTACAAAAGAAGTCCTTGCCCGGGGACTTGTGTGTGTGTCATGGTTGCCTCTGATGCCTTCACATGGACACTTGACCCTGAGAAACTCAGCCATTGGTGTAACTGTTTTTTTTGGAGGGAGGGAAATCCCAGCCAACTTCCTGTAACCTTCAGTGAAAACGAACCTTAATTCCAGCAGATGCCATTCCCACTTGGTGGGCCACCTCTACATCTGCCCCTTTCCTCTCCTCTCAGAAGCAGCTTTGGATTTCTCAGGGTGGAATCAATCAAAAGTGTGTCCCATCTCTGGTGGGGACAGTAGTTGTATACTCAACCCCTCTCCGCACCCCCTTCTGCAATCTTTCATCAAACATTCTAAACTTGAAGGGATTCCCTTTAAGCCAACCTGAGCTGAACTCTCTTGCCTAGACTCTTGTCTGGCTCTACTCAAAGGCTTGGGGAATATGTCCTGAAAATAAGACATTTTGCTAATTTCTGCTGTGCGTTGAGCAGCTATGATCATGACCACCGTGCTGTTGGCTGTGGCCGCTGCCCTGGCCTCAGGATACTGGAGCAGCCTGCGCTGGCAGCAGGGCTCAGGGGCTTGGGCCACTGCCTGACGGGAGCAAGGGTGTGTGTGTGTGTATACAGACAAGAACTTTCTGTATGTATGAAAAGAAGTTCACGCTTCTGGTGGGGGAAATGAGTTAGAGGTGTTAGAGGTGGAAAAGTCTTATTTTTTGAAAATGAGAAAAATGTTTACTCTTAAAGCCCCTTAAAATGTGTCAACAAAATGTTTACCAAATCCATTGCTTTATTTTAAAAATAATTTGTATTTCCTATTTGAATGTTTTAAGGCAATGAACAATTCTAAGAGGACTGCCTTATCATTTCCTGGGGCAGAGATGGTATAGTCCCCATGAGATTATCAGAGCATATTTCTGAGGACAGTGACGGTGTGGGGAAGGGATGCTGCAGCAGCTTTTGTGTCCATCTGTAGAAGTGGCCCTCTGTTGACACAGATTCCCTACACTAGTGCCTTGCTTTTTAAAGAGAAGGCTGTGAAGGTTCCTGCTGGCCCACGTCAGGGACTGCTCTCCATGCCCAGCATGTGACCCTGCCCTGTTTCCTGGGCTGTGTACACGTGGAGTCACCTGTGTGTGACTGCTTTTGAGAGCACACTGTGGTTCTGGCTCTGCCTCAAAGGGCGGCTCAAGTGTTTGCTCTCAGATCATCCCAGCGACGTGCTGGCTTACTCTGGCCAGAGTCCACATTCTCAGTATCTGCAGCTCCGGGCACCTTTTTGTTCTGAACTGTCCTGTTTACTGACATTGCTCCATTCCTGACCACATTCATCCTATGTCCACTGCTTGGATATGCTGCTGCTGTCAGCTTTCTGTACATTTCTTTTCCTAGAGAGTTACACCGGGCCTGTGGCATTCTGGCACCCTATCTGTTGGCAATTATTAGCTGGAGACAACATTACAAATTCTACTTTAAATGTGGGAAGGGAGCTAAGTCTGGGCTGTTAAATCCAATATTCAGATTGTCTGCTGAACACTGTATACCATCTCTTTAGGTCCTTGGGGATCTTGCTGTTACTTACCTGGACTATTTCCATGGTACATGCCTTGAGATTCCAAATCCTCTATGCTTTCATCTATTCCTTTCTTAGGTGGGCTTCATGTGGATCTGTGCTCAAAGTGTTATCTCTCTGTAAGATCATTGCTTTTCTTACTACCTCCTTACAGGAGTTGGTGAGTAAAGCAAAGACACTTCATATTCTTGAGCTTCTGTTCTAGGGGCAGTATTGTGGGAATGCAAGGCCTGGAATTGCTGCACCATAAAAAGAAAGCCAGCCTGAGGATGAGGCTAACACAGGACAGAGCTGAAACAATCAGAGATGGAGCTGAGTTCTGATCAAACCATTCCTGAAGCCTGTCTTCCTCTTTTCAGTTTTGTGAGCCAATGTTGTCTTTGTTGTTTAAGCTAGTTTCAAGGGGATTTGTTCCTTTCCCTTAAAGAGCCTTAACTGATAATTTCCAATGCAAATGCGTCTCAGTATCAATTTTAAGCTTCCTGTCAATGCCCTGACAAGTCTCCTGCCTCCCTTTCTGACCTATTTCCTACCTTCCACTTCCTCCCTTCACCATACTGTAGTTACACAGATCTTACTCCTTGAACAGGATGGGGTCCTGCCTCCCAGCTGCTGCTCCCTCTGCCCTGAATGCCTGCCTTGTATCTGACGAAATCTGCTGCCAGGGCAGTCAGGACTCAGCTTGACCCCCACCTCCTCAGGGAGGCTTTTCCTGATCATCTAAGTTCTTGATCTCAATACCTGTTTTCTAGAGTTCTTATCACTGTCTGAAGTTGTTCTTTCAAAGGCTGGCTGGCTTGATCATGTTTCCTTGACTACAGTGTAAGGGCCACAGGAGCAGGGATATTGCCTGGGCGGGTCATTTCTCTCTCCTTAGTGTCTGGCATGGAGTATGTGTTCATTAAATACTTGCGAAATAAATGAATGGGCTCCTGAGTCTGTACACTGTGTGTGAGGGCACAGGGAGCACAGAGCCCCTCGGGGTTGTGCTGGAGGCAGCCACCCCCTCCAGCACATTATCTGTCCCTGGTGTTCAGTGTTCTCCTTTTCATGGTCATGCAGCTGGCATGTTTTCTGCCTCTGCTTTCTCAAGAATCTTTCTTCCTTAGGAAGAAAACAAGAAAGGGTCCTGACTATTCAGTTGGGAACTCAGAATCTTGAAGGTGGGGAAGGAGAGGAGGAAGATATGCTTTCAAGAGACAGGAACGAGTGACAGACAGCGCTGAGGGCAGCCAGACTTGTCTGGGTCTTGAGCTGTTCTCCCTGCCCTGGCCCACTGGATGGGATTCTCCTGTGCGAGGGCTCCGAGGAAGGCAGGAGTGCTCCTGGCTTAGAGGAGGTCAAAGTACAAGAACTGATCAGAGCAGAGGGTTTTTCTATTTATTACAAAATTTGTTACACAAATACAGCTGACCAGAAGGTCTAAAAACAGCCCAGACTCTTCCAACCCTGATCAATCTGTAGATACAAGGATTTTTGAGTCATGCTCACTCACAGGGGAGCCCTTCTTTGAAGAACTCCCTGTCCCTCGGATGGTTCAGAGTCTTGGGTCCAGCAGCAGAGAGGAGCCCCAGTGGGGTGGACGACCCCTTGAAGCAGCCCTTGGTGGAAGCTGCTCTGGGTGAGGCAGCAGCTTTGTTTCACAGTTCACATGTTCCCACCGCACAAGTCAAATCAAGGGATAAAAATAAAAGGAAAAAAGCAGGAGGCTGGAGAAGGGATCCAGCAGGAGGCTGCCGGGGAAGGGCACACTGAGGGCTTCGGAGGTGCTGGCAATTTCTTGATCTGGATGGGAGTACAGAGTATTCACTTTTAAATGGTTCTTTAGATTGTACATACACATACATGTTATATACTTTTCTGTATACATGTCTTATCTTCAAAATTCTTAAACGAAAAAAAAAAGTAAAAGGCTAGAAGTGGATAAGGAAGCTGACGATGGAGCATAAAAGAAATGAAAGAGCAGAGAGGAAAAAGGAAAAGGACAGCCAAGGTGGAAGATGATGTCTTGGGGGTAGTAATTTTGGCCTCAGTTTCTCTTCTGTCTGGATACGGGTTCTGCTTCTAGGTACCGGAGCCCGACTAGCATACCCAGGATTGAGAAACCTTAAACACAGAGGGAAGATTAGTGGCTGACATAAACACAAAACCTTCTTGACCCCTTGGATGTCGGCCCTTGTGCATGACCCGAGGGCTTAGACAGTTCCCGTGGGGGAGCTGGGGCGGCTGGGTGCTTACTTGCCACCATCAGGGGTGCCAGGACGCCAATCGTGGGAGCCGCAGTCCCATATACAAACAACTCAGAGAGGAAGTGCCCCAGGGCGAGCAGGAAGGTCCATAGTGTGACGTGGTAGAGCCTGCAGGGGAGCAGACAGACGGCACCTGAAGGGACTGCTCAGTGCAGAGAGAAAGCAGCAGGCAGGCTCCGTACATACAAGTACAAACCCAGGAAATGAGTGGTAAAGCAAAAGGGGACTTGGTTCTGAGAAAGACCTGTCTGCTTGATCACATCACTTTATTCTCTACCCGGGCAAAACTGATGGTTTCTAGTGCTAACCTGGAGACAGGGCCCAAGCCATTCCAAGCCTAGTCCATCTATAGATACAAGGATACATGAGTCTTGCTCACTCACAGGGGAACCCTTCTTAGAAGAACTGCCTGTCCCTTGGATGGTTCAGAGTCTTGGGTCCAGCAGCAAAGAGGAGCCCTAATCGGGTGGACAACCCCTTGAGGTGGCCCTTCATGGTTCTCCAAGTCTCAGCAAGGTGGTGAAGCCAGCTCTAACAAAGCAGACTCCTAGGTGGCATAGGCGTTTGGATCAGTCATGCTTATGGATTCTACTTACTCAAACTGGCTTGACTCTGTAGTTCCAAGCCCACCTGGCAGGTGTTTGGCCAGGGGCTGGTCAGTGCTCATATGATCGATGCCACAGAATGAAGGGCCTGAACAGGGAAGGAGCAGCAAGGACATCTCTGGGGCTTTTAGATGTTCTTTCAACGTGGGTGGGTTATTTTGTGTCTTAGCCTAGGAAAACTGTCAGATGGAATACACAGTGACAACCTCCTGTGAAGAGAATCTGTTCCTCAGCTTTGACAAAGAGGTGGAGAAGAGGAAAGTTACAGGATGACTGACTACTTGGATTGGGGATAGCTCTTTTTTTTTTAACTATGAGAAATTTTAAATTATGAAATACTTCAAACATACAAAAAAATATAGATAGTACTATAATTTACCCCTATGCAACTATCAAATCTGAACATTTTTGACATTTTTGCTTCAGAGCTTTTCTACAATATAAAATATTACAGCTATCAGTTAAAGCATCCTTATCCCACCCTGACCCCATTCTCCTGCCATCACCTCCACAGAAGGGAACCCTATCTTAAATGTGGTTTTTACATAGTGAATAAATGGGAGTTGATTATGAGCTTCTAGATAGGGAAAGAATAGAAGCGGAGTGCACATCAGTAATGTATGAACCAAAGTCCCAGGCTAAAAAATAGTTGGCAACTGAAGTCAGCATTTGCAGCTGTCCTGTGTTGGGAGAAGGGGAAATGAATGGATCATAGAGGTAAAGGTAAGTCTGAACTGTCTTTGCTCATTCCAAAAGCAGAGCAAATGAAAGAAAGACCTTTTATGCCTATGCACAATCCTTCATTATGGTAAGTCTTTAAAATGATTATTCAATCCTTATTCACTCCCAGTCACCCTGAGGGGTAGAACAGATGGACTAGCCTCACTTTACACATGGAGAGACTGAGGTGTAGACAAGGTACAATGCACCGGCTGCTATGATGCTAGTTACCAACAGAACTGAGGCTAGAGCTCATTTTCTTGTTTTTATTTTTGAGGCCCAGCCTATTTACACTAAACCACACTGCTTCCAAATATACATGTCAATCTAAAACAAGTAAACCAAAGTTCCAAGTGTAAAAAAATAAAAAAAATAAAAATGGAGATCTGAGATAGCCCTGCTTCAATTTCCACAGAGTCAGTCTTCTTAGATTGAATTAACTGGGTCTCTAATACATAGATCTGCAAGATCACAATGAAAATCACTACCTCCCAGAGCTGCTAGACTTAATTAAGGTCATGTAGATGAAAGCTCTTGGCATAATAAAAGGGGCCCAATAAATATCACTATATCCTCTTTTCCCCAGATGCTGAAAGCTCAGATAAGACAGGGAAATATTTTAGTGTGAAGTTGGCATTTTGATGGTCTCACCCACTGACCTGAACTAACTTTTCACCGTGATTGTTGAGAAGGAAGCTCGAGTCCCCTCCAGTGGCCACCACCAGTTACTGCACTATGTAGACAAGAGGCTCTGACTGTGATAGTCTGCAATTGTTGCCCTCTAGTCCTGAGTACACTATAGAGGCAGAATACAGGAGTCCTGGGTTCTCTTACACCCTCACCTACTGATTCTGCATAAGCATACAACAGTTTACTTGTGTTTCTTTTTTCATGGATTGTGATTTCTGTTCATTCCTGCTTCCTAAGGAGGAATGTGAGAAGAAGGTATGTGTGGGTGGCTGCTCTAAAAAGAGCACACTAGTCTACTTCTTTAGTAGAAGAAAGGCTGATTCTTTAGTAAAGGAGTGGAGGGATATGATGCAAGCCACTGGATCATTTGCCATTCATTTCCAAAGAATTTCCAAACTTTAAAGTCCTGTCAGGCCTATTATGTTTTTTAGGCCTGGAAGGAATGAAATCAATAACCTTTTATTATCCACATTCTAGGCTAATGTATCAAAATTAACAGGTCTCCAAGGGGAGGACCACAGTGTGTGTGCCTAGCACCCCATTTCCAACAAAAGGATGCTGAAGGTCTTCCTTCCCTTACATACGTCTTGTTGTGGATGTCTATGGCACAGAGGCAGCGGATCACTGATGAGAGCAGCGTCCAGATCCCAAAGGTCCGAGCTTGGAGGCCATTCACTGTGTAGAAGACAGAAGCAAGAATGTTGGGAGGGCAGGGTCAGGGTTCCCTCCAAACTCCACGCAGGGAGCTGAGGCTGAACTCCCTTTGGCTAGGCAGAGTAGAGGCTCTGGTGCTGCACATGGAAGCCAGAAGGAATTCCAGAATGAGAACTGTTCAGCTCCTCTTCAAATGTTTACAGTTGCGGTGAGGGGAATATGCGTTCCACAGGTAGAAACCAAACAAAGAGCCCACTTAGGCAGTTACTCTGGGATATAGTAATTTATGCCTCTGCTCTAGAAGCCACACTGGTGGTGGTAAAAAGCCCAGGAAGTCTGGGATGGGGACAGATTTGGGAGAATGTTTCAGAGAGTGGTCTTTCAATACAAGATGCCTAGCAGGTCAGTAGTCTTTCAAGGCTGATGCAGGGGAGAATTCAGAATACTGGCACCTATCTAGATGCTCACATCTGGGCTTTAAGAGACCTGAGTCTTTTCCTGAATCCAGATCTCTATTATTTGAACAAAGCCCAAGTTGGGTTGGTTTTCCACACACTTGGTAGTGGAACAAAGCACTGCTTCTTTGATGTTGGCCAAGGCCACCCTGCTCTTAGTGGCTTTGTTTTAACACTGCTGTTACTAAACATCTTGTCCTGAAAGTGTGGTTCATACTCCACCATAACAGTGCTTCTTGACCCTGGGTGTTTATTAAAATAACTGAAAAAGTTTTATAAAATTACCACAACCTAGGTACTAGACCAATTAAATCATACTCTTTGGAGGTGGGCCCTGGGATAAATATTTTTTTAAAACTCCCTTTCTGAGTGATTGTAATGTACAGCTATTGATCTAAGGTATCCTATAGTCAGGAATGCCCAAACAGTGAAAGTAAAGACACTTCCTTTGCTGGTCTATTGAGTAAGAGAAAATTCAAAGGAGAAGACTGACGACTGATAGGTCTATTAATGTTTACTTGGCCTTTAAGGATTTCCCATCCTTTGTAAAACCGGTGATACCAATTTCACAATCTTTGGATGGTAGTAAAGTGAGAAAAAATTCCATATATCCAGCAGTGAGCCCCAGAAGACTACATTCCTTATAAACCAACTTGATAGCTTTTCTAATGAAAAGACTGAGGACATTTCTCCAGTTAGTGGGATGTGAAAGTGGAAATATTTCATCAACCCTAACCAGATGAGACATCAGGTGAAATTCTATGGTATGCTGTGGAACACTGCTGTGATCAGCACAGGAACACGGTGGCCCCCACATCACAAGGGAGGAGGCAGCGCGCGTGCGCACGCACACACACACACACACACACACACACACACACACACACGCATGCACGCACACACTTCTGCTCAGCTGTATGTCCTTTAGCACATCAGTGACTGACACCTGGACGGACACACACACACCACTTCTGCTCAGCTGTATGTCCTTTAGCACGTCAGTGACTGACCCCTGGGCTTTTCTGTCTCAACTTTAAATTTGAATGGCTAGACCAGATAACCTCTCAAATCCTGTGAATCTCTACACAGTTCCTGGATCATCTGAGCTCAGGCAGCATTTGAAGGTGTAAAGTAGAACTGTCCTGCCCACTTTTCCAGGTTTTTTACTAGTATTGTTATCTGAGCTTTGTTCAAAATTAGCCTTAGCCTACTTAGTTTCATTTTATACCCAAATGTTGCAGAAAAATGAGCTAGGTCAGAGCCTGAATCTGGGTTAGCTATAAATGTGACACAAATTGTCAGCTGCTGTGAAAGGTGCTGCAGCTCAAGCTATCCCACACAGCAGTGCACGGAAGTGCAAGTAGAAATGTGAAACTACTCTTAGCAGAAGGCTCAGAAACTGGGCAAGGCTACCATGGGCCTTCTAAGTTTCATTTTGGAAGACCAATTTGGCGAGATCTTGGATATTTTCTCAGGGACTGTGCCAGAGTTTGGGAAGACCTTGGATTAAAAACTTCATCTGCAACATAGAATATAAACCATGTGTGGCATGACATGATTTCAGAAGAAGGTTGAGATAATATGAAAATCTTTGTAGCTTTTTAATGGGGCATCACAGGGTCACCAAGTAACTACTTCCTCACTTGCCCTTGTCCCGTGTTTTGTATAGGCTAATTGCCTAGGGCCATGTAAAATGAATGAAAAAGCACTCAGAGAAGCTTGGAGGAAGACGGGCCAAGGGGCTATCCATAGTCTATTCTTTCAGTGGCTGCTTAAGGCTAGATCAGGCAGTGCTAGAATCATCTGGGAGGTGATTAAAACACATGTTCCTGGGCCCCATGATGGGGATGAAAGTTTCAGTAATTAAATTCGGAGAAGGAAAAGGGCACCTGTTCTTTGTTTTTAAGTTTCCTGGGTTCCTGAGATGCACAGCCTGGCCTAGGAACCGAGGCCACTGCTACCCAGGATACAGTTGTGGGACTTCTTACCAAGGTTTGGCTTGCCGGTGTAGAGTTTTTCATAGAGAAACGTGTGGTCTCGGAAGCTCTGCAGTGTGTTCCCCATGGCTATGATGGACACCATAACCAGCCAGCTTCGTAACACATTCAGGAAACGGCTCATGACTTCTCTCAAACCTGAGAGGGCTTTTTGCCTTGGAAACAAAGGCCACAACAGGAGTCAACAGGCAGTCAGTCCACTTCAACCACAAGTTCTCTTATTTCTGTAGTTAACCTGTGAACCACTCCTCAGTGCTGTACTAAGCTTATTGGGTCAACCACTAATTCCTCTCCAGTCCACTAGGATTCTCTGCCCCCAAGTTATCTTAACACACTACTCTTACTTCACAGGGTTAGTGCACTGCCTTTGAATCTTTACCCTAAACCAAAGTGTGCTGACCTTTACTCAGGGTGAAAGAGGCTAAACAATGCAATGGGTGGAAATGACAAACCCAGCAGGAGAACTGAAGAGAAGAAAGGGAACAAAAGGTGTACAAAATAATAATGAAGTAGTAAATATACTAATATTTATGCAGTAATAAATTTATAAAGCAATAAATAGAGCAATATTTAATTTATAAAATAAAGTAATAAAGTAATAAAATGGATCTGTGTAAGACTTGCAGAGACTGGTCTCCGTATTTAGTCATGCTAATAGTGGTGAATTATACACAACAGTATACTTTGCAGGAAGTGGCACAGTACTTACTTTTGTCTGATTTTTCTAAAATAGTAGACTGAACCAGAACTCTTTTCTCTTGGCTGGAATCAGTCCTCATATGTTTACTTCTAGCCTGGTTTTTTAATTCATTGCTTTGTAATGAAAGTGGCTCAGAGGTGGTTATAAATCTAACAGACACCTATCTGGCTGTCGAGAACAGATCCTTCCAAGTGCACAGATGCCTTATACATTTGCATGGAATCTATGGTGTGAGGGCAGTATTTACATCTTCAGATTTTCTCTACTCTGGTTCTCAGGTATACCATGCTCCATAAACTAGAAGACAATCTAAAAGTTAAAAATAAACTACTGTGACCTAAGAACTAGCAAGAAAATCATATGGAGAAGGAAACAGTGATACTGGTGTTGGGTTACAAGAGAAATCATAGTAGCTAACAGTTATTGGGCACTTGTACATGCCATGCACTGACCAAGCACCTAACATAATGTCATTTAATCCTTGAACCAGGTAGGTCAGCACTATTACTATCTCCATTTACAGATGAGGATTGGCACAGAGGGTTAAGTGATTTGCTTGAGGTTGCACACCATATACATAGCAATGCTGAGATATGAACCGCAGTCTGGTGTACTTTGTATTGCAGTATGTCTTACTCTTTGATGAAGTTTCCATTTTTGAGGAAAACAAGCATATCATATCCACTTCTGTCTTCAAGTTCTATACAAAATACAATTACATAGGCCCTTTTTGTTTAACAAAAAAAGCTTAGATCAACCCTTGCAGAGCAGTGATCTCAATAAACTTGATTTAAATAAAACCCATGAAGCTAATAATGAAATTACTTCTTCCTATCTTTATTATGGTTTTTTGGCCTATGGTTTATCTGTTATCAGGCTGACTTCTTGGGCCTGAAAGGATGATCCCTTCCTTTGTCACTATAGCAGAAGTTTCAGCATGGCCCTACACTATCCAGCTGAAATCAGTATTAAAGTCAGCGATGGCCCAAGACAGTGTTAAGCACCAAAACAAACGAAAGAGAGCTCTAGAGGAAGGGTGAATCCCTCAGGAGATGGTGAATCACAATGGACTTTGTTGAAGTCCGGAGAGAACAGGGCTCTGGTAGACATGGCAAGCAGTTACAGCATGGGCTTAAGTCCCCCCATCCTTCACTTTATTTTTTCATCCTCCCTCATGGGAGACACAGGCTCTCTTCTCCCAGGATCAGAAAACCTGCACAAATAGTGGCCCCTTTCCAGAATTCACACCCATTTCACAGAAGCTTTCAGAAATCTCAACAGACAGCTGCTGATGGCAGAGCCTGAGCACTTTTCTGAATTGCTCTACCAATCTCTCAACCCCATTTCCCTAAAGTAGGGCCTCCTAAATTAGCCAACATCTATTCTTAAATTATGTTCTGGCCTTGCCCAGCAAAGGTGTGTAATTAAAATCACAGTCAGGAGAAAGAGGTTCCTATCCTGGCCCTACTATTCAGTAGCTGTGTGACCCTGGACAAGTCATTTACACCTTACAGTCCAGGTTTCTCACTTGCAAAATGGGGGATTTAAAAAATACTATCTCAAGGGTTATTGTAAGAACTACACGATAAAGTTAAGGTTCCTTGCCCCATGCTAGGTTCATAGTAGCCGCTCATTAGTTCATTCATTCATTCGTTCCCCGAACCTACCAAGCCGTGTTCATTTTCCTAGTCCTACCATCCCCGGCTTACGGTCTCTCGAACCCCTTGACCCCCAAATGGTTGCCTCCCAGGTACCTTCCTTCCATCCCACCTCCATTTTTCCAGACTCCCCGAGTCCTCTCAATCAGATGCCACACGGACACCTACCTCTCTTTTCTCCCCACCACTCTGCTTATCTGGAGACCAGACCCGAAGCACAGCAGCCCTGGCGGCTTACAAACTCTCCAAGACAGTTGAGGCCCAGGGTCCACGTGAGCCATTTGTTCCCGCCCACGCCCTCAGCCCGGCTCCAGGATTGGGTCATTTACATCAGTCCTCTCTCTGATTGGTTGTTCCGGTTCTGGTCGAGCTGGAGATGGGGCGTGAACCCCTTTACTGCCAATCAGGGGTTGCCGCTCCCCAAGCCCCATCCTCTGCACGCAGCTCGCGCAGTGAACCCTCCTGTTGAGCGGGGCGGAAGAACCCTGGATTCGGAGTCAACCTTTTATGGGCGGAGGATAAAAGAGAGGAAAAAACTCAAGGTTTCTGCCGAGAGCGGGACTCTGCGCGCTGCGCCGCAGTGACGACATTCGTCCGCGCCCTAAGCCGAGCGTTGTCCACTCCGGGCGGCAAGCGCCTGCGCAGTGGCTCCGAGCGGGCGGTTGCTTATTGGTTGTTGTAGTAACGGGGGAAGCAGCCGTCTGCGGCGGCAGTGAGCCTGGCAGGGGAGGAGGAGCGAGGTAGGCGCAGAGCGCGGTGCCCGCCTGCCTGCCCCGAGCCAGGGGAAGATGAGACAGGTAACCGCCCGCGCCGGCGCGCTCCCTGCCCGAGGGAGGTGAGCTCCCGCATCCGGGCGGCGCCCTCCGCTGCACTTTCCTGCGTCCGGGAACCGCTGTGGCTTCCGGGCGCGCCGAGCTGAGTCTCCCCTGTCCTTCCCGTAGGGAGCATCTGACGACCTACCCGGGATTGGGGCTAGTCGGAGGTGGGGCAGAGAGGTGATCCCTTAAGGGCGAGAACGTTTCTGGGGTGAGTGTCCTTAATCTTCTTCCGACCGCCCTGTCTCTTGCTCTGCCGGCAGCCTCGGACAGTTTGGCATCTGTCTCTTCCTTGCTTGGAGGTTTTGTTTGTTTTCACATAAAGGACTTCCCAGCATTTGGGGAAAGATAGAGAAATCCCATTGGCAATCCTCGAAAGAACGCCTTTGAGGTTGTTAGATATTGTCCATTTCGCTGAAGATCCATTAGGGATTTGCTTTTTTTTTTTTGGTCCTATGACCTTATCATATGTATGAATGCATAGAAATATACGCTTTGAAAAGATTGACATCAAATGATTGAGTAATGGGACTATGGTCACTTAGACATTTTATTTATGTGTAATTTCTATTCCATCCTCACACACACAACAAACAAGTACTTTTTTTCCTTATGAAAAATATTTTACATTAGAAGTAACCTAACTTTAATGTCTGAGATTCAGATCATTGTGATTTTTAGTAAGGGGTAATAATTTTTTGAGAGTGTTTAGAAGAACAGCGTTTTGTTTCCCCAGCTGTTTATGACCTTGATTCAGGAGAATGTATTAGTCTTTTGGTTCAGTTGTTGAAATGTTTTAGTGGAAACATGAGGGTATTTTACCTGTGTTTCTCATAGTGTAAAGAAATATTTGCAAGGATCTTAAATCTTGAGTTTTTGTTTTTAGTCCAGGTTAGGTTTTTCTAGCAAGAAATCTATGTTTTAGGCAGTCAACCACCTACCTCAGACTTTACAAAAAGTTAAGTAATTTTACCCATTTGGTGCATGTTAGATAAGTATATAAAAGTAAATTAGAAATTATAATAACAGCTTTTCAAATACAAGGAGGACAGACAGGATTTTTTTAAAAGATCTTGATTTTTGTGGCATCTGTGAGGTGCTGTGATACAAAGTAGGCTTTTTGAGGTTAGGCAGCATTTAGGTGAATATTCATTTTCATTACTTGTAAAATCACAGAAATAATAAATCAGCAACAGCATTTGGCTTTTTTGCAGGAATCTGTGCCACCCAAAGTGTTTGATCCAGTGAATCTGCAAGGAAAGATCTCTCAGGCACCCATCTGCTGACTGCATGACAAGCCCTAAAGGAAATGCCAGTTGTGATGGCCCAGGACCTGGAGGAAACAGCATCATCCTCAGAGGATGAGGAGGTGGTAAGCCAAGAGTAAGTAATAGCAAGCCTGCTTTTGACCTTTTTCCTTTAAGATGGAAAATAGTTTCCTTTTACTCATATCCCCTTTTACCCAGTATCCTTGCTTTGATATTGTCTGACTCTGGTGTTAGTTTTTATCCATGATCTAATTCAAGATCTTATTATTCTGTTGCCCTCAGCTATCTCAACAGAGATAACTCTGTTTCTGGGCTCTGAGTGAACACTGAGTGAATATTGGCTTAAGATTTTGTAGGTAGTAGCTCTTAGTGAACTCTTGATCAGAGTTCCTAGTGCGGGAGATTATGAGATTTGTAGGTATTGAAGAAAAGTGGGTTTCCAAACTGTTGACTTTGGTTATGTTATTTTCTCAAAAGCCTTACAGTGATAGAATGATGATAATATAGAGGTGTCAAATAACTTACCAGAGTAACTGTGGGGCAGGACATTAGGATTCTATAGCCTGTGCTGTGTCTATTGAACCGCATTGCTTTCTTGAGCCCTTTTAGGTAAGAGTCAAGTTTCTTGATTGCTGGATTCTCACAATATTAAAATTAATGATAATAAGTATAACTGCAATAGATGATGGTAAGGGCCTTAACTGCTGTATCTCATTTAACCTGAAGATGTTATTACTCCCACTTTATTAAGCTCAGCCTCACAAATATCAAAGAACTCCTCAGGGAGACATGAAGAGGAAGTGATGGATTGAGATTCATACCTAGTTTTCCTGGATTTTGAAGCACTTTGCTCTTTTGCCTCTTTCAACATTATTACTTGACACAGAGAACAAAGAGTCTGCCTTAAAAGTTAAAATTAGTTTTTAAGATTCTCTGTTAGTCCTCTTGGATATGTGTGTGCTATGCAACTGAAAAGTGGAAATACTATCTCCCAGGCTTGGGAGTATGGTTAGGATCAAGTTCAATGATATGTAGGATATTACTTTAAAATGACTAAGTGCCATACAAATGTTAAGGCATTATTCTTACTGGCTTTAATATTGAATTTAAAATGCATTTCTTACTATAAAGTAGATTGCATTAATATACTTTGAAAAAACATATTGAAGCAATAATAAGGGTTTAGGGAAAGTCTTCTCATCACTGTTAGGTCAAAGAAAATAATAGAGATTTGGCATTGTATTTGGGTCATTCTTGTTCACGATAATTAAATGGATAATTCTCTCTGGTCATTGCTTTCTTGTGTCTTTTTGCTTTCTGTGTGCTGCCTCATACCCATTTCACAACAATTTTAACTTCTGCCCCAAGCATAAATTAAACATGGGTCTTTCTGATTTCAAAATCACTCTTTTATTCCATGACTATTTCTTTTATTAATGAGCTTATAGGTTGGGCCCAACAAGTATTAAGTTGAACTATGTGAAGTTGTCATTTTGGTAGGTGAAAAACAGTCAAATATTGACAATTTCAGATGGGTCAACCTTATGTTATAGGAGGTACTCAGTAAATAGTTGCTAACTGAATGACTGACTGAATGAATAAATGGAGACTTTATGCTTTTAGATCACCTTTAATCAGGAGTTCTTAACCTTTTTCATACTGTGGATCCCTTAGAATATTTTAAGTGCTTAGAGTAAAATACATATCATTACAAGGATGCCAATTACTTTGAAATGCAGTTACTAAAAACTGAAGGAACCAAACTTGTGATATAGTAATATGTGCTTTTTAAAATTTAATACATTAAATAGCAAGATCGTGCATGTAAAACATGGGAAAGTTAAATTTTATTTTCTAAAGACAGCAGCATGAAGACTGTTTTTGCTTAGTTTGCGTAAGACCATCACACTGTGGGGTGGTCTTTGATTAACACTTATAAGTGGGGAACATTGGGAAAATCATAGATGTCTGGATCCCTGCTGTGAGATGTCCCATTTGGTAGCTGAATGATTGCTTGGGGGAAGCATTGCCAAATCATCCAGCCTCATCAGGTGAGATGAAGAAGACTGTGATCACAGGTGATCGAGTGGCAAGTTTAATAATTATAACTACCATAACTTAGAAGTAGTGATAAATGTAAATGATTTTTTGAGACAGCCGCAACAACTAATGTGGTGTAAAAAAAATTTGTAATTGCAGATAGAGTCAATGGCACAGATAATGCTAAAACTGTGCTTTGTTGCCTCTATTTGTAATTAAGAAACACAAAATTTCTAGTAGAAGTTAGTGAAAATACAGGGGTTATTCCGCCTCCCTTGCTCCAATCCAAATTTATGGACCTTTTGCCCTTTGTCCTCTCAAACTCCTACTGTTGATTTTGACTTTTAATGTTCCATCAGCTTGTGTCTTGTCTACCAGATACTTGTTTCATAATTAGGAACCTTAAGTCAATCTTGTCTACAGTTGGAGTAATATGCTTACATTTCTAAAGTTTTGGAAGTTAGAACTCCTTAAATCATATAAGGTTGTTGATTTGATTCAAAAATGTATATTTATGGATATCAGCTAGATCTGCTCAGATCCCAAGGCTGGTTTAAAGTAGGAATGACTTTTAATCCTTGAAATAGGATTGGAAACTGTCCAGGCAGTCCTTGTTTTGCATGGTATTACTTCAAATTGTAAATGTAAAGGGGTTCTTTTTCTGTATTTTGCTTGGGGATATTATGTACAAAATTATACATTGATGTAGAAACTTTAATAAAACAATTTGATCCAAGGTTTCTTTAGTCACTAAAAAAACAGTAACTTTAATTCCTATCATGAAAGTTGGCTTTATAACAATTAAAAGGATCATCAACAAATACACAGGGAAAAAAAAGGTCAACAAATGATTCTACAGTGGTGCCACAGGAGTTCAGAGAAGGAAGGCATTGCTTTGGGCTGGAGGAGCTGGGGATGCTCCAGGGAGGTGGTGAGAGCCGCTGGCGCTTGGAGAGTGGGATTAAATGAACAGAGAGAAGTGGGGAAGGCATTGCCAGCAGGGGCCCTCGTATGAGTAAGGCATAGAAGCTTTGAGTCGTGTAGGCTGGATCCCAGGAGTAAATAATACATATTTCTTATGAAATTGCTTCTTAAGAATCAAAATGTTCTTAGGTTTTCAATAAAATGAACCATAAAACTGATCTACTTCAGTAATGAATCTCCCAATTCCATTGCTCTTTCATGCCTTATAAAAGCATATTTTCTGGTAACATACCGGTTTCTGGTATGAATGAAAATTTCAAGTCCCAGTTTTTCAGTTTCCTAATCCTTTTGAATCTTTTCCCTTTAGCACCACCTGGTGAGAGCATGCTCTTAATGACAACGTGGCATCTGCCTTAAGAGCTTTTTAGCTGAACCAATAACTTGCCACCTCTTTTCTCTCATAGGTGGTAAATGAAAAGATTTCTGTGTCAGGGCTTTGGCTCCCCACAGATGGTGTAGTTAGGGCCTTGATTTCTCTCAGCTGTGCATCTGTCTATTGTGTTGCCGACTTGTCAGGCATTTTTAACTCGGAGCATTAATCCATTGTTTGTAAGTGCTAAAGCACAGTGGTGCCAGTTTGTAGCTAGTGCTAGATTGACAAGGAACTTTGGATAGTTTCCAAAGTTTCTGTCTACGGCTTTGTAGTTTAGGCTGCCAATTTTTTCCTCTACCCTCTTACTTAGCGATATGGTAGAAAAATTAAATTGTAATTGCTCATAGGAATCATCAGGCCCCATGCCCACATTTCACAGATGTTTAAGATTAAAAAACAAGCAAACCATAAAAAAATCCTCCTTGCTACAAAATGCACCTATAAACACCATTTCTCACAAATGGGCACCACCATCCAACTCAGAGAGAAAGAACAGTAAGCATCCATGTCTTGCCAATGGGTTTCAGCTCCAGACAAGTTCACTATGGATTCAATATGACCAAAGAAATGACAGTAGAACATTCTTGGGGTGAAAGGATACCCAACTTTATTTCCACAGTGGCAGGTCAATCCCTAAAATCCCGTCCACTCAGAGCAAGTGTGTACGGCAGGCTGGTCTCGGCCTCTGGGCCTCTGTCCTCGGCTCTGTTCTCCATGCCACTGTGTTGCGCAGAGTGCTGGGCGGAGCTCTTATATAGAGTCAGTAACAACGTGTTGTCCACACGTGTGTAATGAGCTAGCCGACCAGGGCCAGGTGAGAATCCTGGCCACAGGAACCTTCACTTTATCCACAATTCATGTTTCATTTGTAGAAATCAGGAAATGAACCTAGGTATGGTATTCTTTGATTTTCTTAATACAATGCTTTTGGCAACTCACCCCAAGTCTAAAAGGCTGCCTTACTTCTAAGATTGGTAGTCTGGCAGCCTGTGCATTCAAATGTGGGTCTTTTTAAACTTCGGTTGGGAGGGTGTGACTTGGCCCTGAGATTTGTGGTATGGCCTTTGTTAAGAGGTGTGGTCATGAGAACCTTTGAGAGCAGTCTGAATCTTGGCTAAATGGATCTTATTCCATTTAAGGAAATGATTAGTTTATGTTTCCAAAGGGTTGAGTTTAAGGTGTTCCATATACAAAACGTCACTGAAATGTGATTAGGAAGATGGAAGGAGCACAGACACTTAGTTCAAAGACCTATTCCTTTACTTAACTGCTGTATGACCTTGAGTAAGCTACTTATCCTCTCTGAGACATCTCTTCAGTTCATAGTGTGGAAAGAGGATTGAAATAACATGTGAAAGCTCTTTGTTTTATTCCTAGCACACAGTAGGGAACTCAGGTCACTTCCTTCTCTTTCTACCTCCCTTCACTAAGGAGGTTGAAGATTTTCCTAATCTGTGAGTAAATATATGTCTGTTTGAGGTTGATTAAACAGAAACTTCCTGAGGATAAGGAAAGGGAATAAAGTCAGATCCTTTTCTGGAGGAAAATATCTATTGTTCCATTTAGTATAGGCTTGTTTTACAATACAGTGATTTTAGTTGGAGTACTTGTGTTAATTTAGGGTTCCTAGCTCAGAATTTTAGGGCGAGTCATCAAACTGGGTTAAAAGGGGACTGCCGGGTGTAAAAGGTGTATAAATTATTGTGAATATATTAGTTAGGATTCTTTATGTGTGCTGGGGACTAAAACAAAATTTCCTAAATAAAGGGAATTTATTAATCATGTTTAGTAAAGCCTTGATTTTGCAACTCCGTGTTTGCCGCTCAGGATCTCATTTTTCTCATTCTGTCTGTCAGGCTCCCACTGACTTCCTCCCTTTCCCCACAGCTCCAGGCTTTCCTCTCACAATTGTACTTCCAGACCTTATTCTCTTATACCATCAAAGGCAAGAGGCTCTCTCTCCTCCTGTAGCTGTTACAACAGAAGAGAAAGAAAGCATCCCTTTCTCAGAGGGTCTCATAACATATCTCCTGACACTCACTGGTTCCAGCTGGGTTATGTACTCCTCCCTGAACCAGTAAGTGGGGGATAGAAGGCCCTGATTGGCTAAAGCCTGGAGCAGGGAGGAAATTAATCTTAAATAGACCACATGGCTAGGAATGGGAGACTAATAGTTTCCCAGAGGACATTTGGGATTCTTGTTCTAGAAGGAGGGGAAAGTTGCTAAGCAGCAAACCACAGTAATCTGCTTCAGTCATTAGTTCAGATTTTGAGCTGTAAGTTAATGAAGCCTTTTGTTGCCATTGTAGGGACCACCCCTGTATCATGTGGACTGGAGGCTGCAGGAGAATTCCAGTTTTGGTATTCCATGCTGAGGCTATTCTGACAAAGGACAACAATATTCGAGTAATTGGAGGTAGGTGTGACCTTCCCCTTAGAGGGCAGGGCTGGTCATGGCCCAGATAACCTCGTCTTGCAGAAATCATCACATTTAGATAGGGAAATGGCCTTCATCATGAGAAAAATATATTGATATTTTTGTACTTGAAAGGATTGTTTGATTTCTTAAACTGTTTTCTGTGTATTGTTATTTTCCTCTAAATTCTTTTTTCAGAATTATGTGTACATGTATTTATTAGTTTTTGAATTGTAAAATACACGTAATAGAATTTACCATTTTAACCATTTTAGAGTGTACAGCTGGTGGCATTTAGTATATTAACAGTGTTGTGCAACCATCACCACAATCTAGTTCCAGAACATTTTCATCATCTTAAACTGTGTACCCATCAAGCAGTCACTTCCTATGCCTTCTTAGCCCAACTTCTGGTGACCATTGATCTAGTTTCTGTCTTAAGGATTTGCCTAAACTGGATATGCCATGTAAATGCACTTATACAATATGTAGCCTTTTGTGTTTGGCTTCTTTCACTTACAGTAATGTTTTCAAGGTTCATCCATTTTGTAGTCTACGTCAGTACTTGATTTCTTTTTGTCACTGAACAATATCCTCTTGTATGGATATACCACATTCTGTTTATCCAGTCTTCAGTTGATAGATGGTTGTTTCCACCTTATGGCTGTTGTGAATAGTGCTGCTATGAACATTCATGTACAAGTTTTTAGATAGGGAACACCTGTTTTCATTTCTTTTGGTACATGCCTAGGAATGGAATTGATAGGTCATATGGTAGTTCTGTGTTTAACTTATTATGAAACTGCCAAAGGATTTTCCACAGTGACTGCATAATTTTACATTCCCACCAACAATGTGTGAGAGTTCCAATTTCTCCATCCTCATGAAAACATTTGTTGTCTTTTGTTTTTTAGGTGATAGCATATTAATGGGTGTGAAGTAGTATCTTAGGGTGGTTTTGATTTGCATTTCTCTAGGACTCATGACATTGAGCATCTTTTCATGTGTTTCTTGGCCATTTGCATATCTTCTTTGGAGAATTGTCTATTCAAGGCCTTTGCCTATTTTTCAATATGTTTACTTGCCTTTTTGTTGTTGAGTTGTAAGAATTCTTTATTCATTCTGGATACTAGGCCCTTATCAGACATATGATTTCCAAATACTTTTTCCTGTTCTTTGTCTTTTCACTCTCTTGATAGTATTCTTTCATGAGCAGAGTTGTTTATTTTGGTGACATCCAGTTTATCTGTTTTTTCTTTTGTTGCTTATGCTTTTGGTATCATACCTAAGAAACCATTGCCTAACCCAAGGTCATGATCCCTGTGCTTTTTTCTAGGAGTTTTATAGTTTAACCTCTTATATTTATGGTCTTTGATCCATTTTAAGTTTTTTATGTAATGTGAGATAAGGGTCCCCTTTCACTCGTTTGCATGTGGGTATACAGTTGTCCCAGCATGATTGGTTGAAGAGACTATTCTTTTCCTATTGAATAATCTTTGGCACTGTTGTTGAAAAATAAGTTGACCCTAGATGTATGGGTTTATTTCTGGGATCTTAATATTCCATTGATCTGTACATTTATCTTTATGCAAGTACCGTATTGTTTTGGTTACTGTATCTTTATACTAATGTATAAAATTGAGAAGTGTGAGTTCTTTAATTTTGTTCTTCTTTTTCAAAATTCATTTGGCTATTCAGGGTCCCTTGCAATTTCATATGAATTTTGGATTAGCTTTTTCATTTCTGCAAAAAAAGGCTGTTCAGATTGTGGTAGGAAGTATATTAAATCAGTAAATCTCTTTTGAAAGTATTGCCGTCTCAGTGTTAAGGCTTCTGGTCCATGAACATGGGATGTCTTTCCATTATTTAGCTCTTCTTTAATGTCTTTAGCAAAGTTTTTTAGTTTTCAGTGTACAAGTATTGTAGCTCCTTGGTTAACTTTGTTCCTGAATATTTTATTTTATTCTTTTGGACACTATTATAAATGGAATTGTTTCCTCAACTCCATTTTTGGGTTGTTCATTGCCAGTGTATATAAATACAATTGATTTTTGTATATTGATCTTGTATCCTGAAACCTTGCTGAACTAATTTATTAGCTCTGTAGTTTTTGTGTATGTGTGTGTGTATTCTTTGGATTGTCTATAAACAAAATCATATCATCTACAAATAGACATTTTACTTCTCCCTCTCCAACATGGATGCCTTTTATTTCTTTTTCTTGCCTAATTGCTCTGGCTAGAACTTCCAGTGCAATTTTTAATAGAAGTAGTGAAAGTGGGCATTTTAGGGGGAAAGTTTTCAGTCTTTCACTGTTCAGTATGATGTTATCTGTGGGTTTTTCATTAATGCCCTTTATTATGTTGAGGATAGTCCCTCCTATTCTTTTGTTGAGTGTTTTTATTATGCAAGGGTGTTGAATTTTATCAAATGCTTTTTCTCCATCAATTGAGATGATTCTGTGTTTTTCTTCATTCTATAGGTTGGTGTATTACATTGATTGACTTTTATATATTGAAATACCCATGCGTACCTGAGGTAAATCTCATTTGGTCATGGTATTTAACCCTTCTAATATGCTGCTGGATTTGGTTTGCTGGTATTTGTTGAGGATGTTTGTATCTATATTCATAAGGGATATTGGTCTGTAGTTTTCTTGTGATGCTTTTATCTCGCTTTACAGAGCAATGCTGGCCTCATGGAATAAGATCCCTCTTCTGGAAGCATTAGAGAAGGATTAGTGTTAATTCTTTAAATGTTTGATAGAACTCACCAGTGAAGCCATCAAGGCCTTTTTTGTTGGGAGTTTTTGATTATTGATTCAACCTGTAATTGTTACAGGTCTATTCATTTTCTATTTCTAATTAAGTCAGTTTTGGTACTTTGTATGTTTTTAGGTTTTTGTCCATTTTATTTAGTTTATCTGATTTGTTGGCATACATTTTATTCATTGTATTCTTTTATAATCCTTTTTATTTCTGTAAGGTCAGTAGTAATGTCCCCACTTTCATTTCTGATTTTAGTAACTGGAATCTTTCCTCTTTTTCCTTAGTCAATTTAGCTAAAGTTTGTCAATTTTGATGATTGCTTTAGAGAGCCAACTCTTAATTTTCCTTATTTTCTCTATTGCTTTTCTATTCTCAGTTTCATTTCTCTCCACGTCTCTGATTTTAAGCAGTGCTCTGAATCCTGGAGTTAGCCCGTAACTATCTTCAGAGGTTATAGTACTGCCATGGGATATAGTGGAAAGAACCTGTCCATGAGTTCTCAGCCATTGGTTCAAATCCCAGCCTTAGCATTTGCTAGCTGTGAATGTTGGGCTAATCACTTGAACTGTTTTAACCCATTTTATTGTAGAAAATAGAGATAATAGCTACCTTACAGGCATCGTGAGAATTAAATGAGATCATTTAGTGATTGGCATATAGTAGGCAATCAAAACGTGTACTGTTTACTTGTTGAACAGGATCAGCTGTACTTTGAATATACTTTAAGGTCTTCCCTTGCCCCATAATAAGCCAGGAGTTGAGAGGACTGTGAGCACCTGCTTCTGGGATTGAATCCTCCTCCATCCCCAAGGGTTCTTGTGTTCTAATCCCCTCAGCAAGTTGTTAGGTTACCACTTGAAGGGAAATGGCTCATTCATGTTTTCTGAAGCCTGAGTAACTGGAGATCTGCTAACATTTGTGGATAAACTCCCTCTAAATATGATTGGAGTCAAACATTCAATGTGGGTAAAAGCAACAGAAGTAAATAATCTCTCCCAAAACATACTTCTATTGGTATGCTTGTCATATAATCTATGTTGCAGTCCCTTCTTTTTTAGAATGCCTAACATTTATTGGAAATTGATATCCATCAATATAAGCACCCCATTATTTAAACAATCATTATTTTAAGGTTTTTTTTCCTTTACAAATTCCTACGAATAAAGAAAAAGCAACTAACTTTTTCCTTAAACTCTGTTTTTGAATTTTCTGTTATCTTCCCAATTCCTTGAGGTTTAATGATTTCCTTCACCTTCCTTTATAAAAAGAACAATTTAAATAAGTTTTTCTAGTTGCTGCTTCAGATTTTTATTCTGAATTGTTCGACACTCTTGGTCTATTTTTTTTTTTTTTTTGGCTGTCTTAAATAGCTGACATAGATCTGCTCAGATCATAATCCTATGATTAAATCCCCTTGAGAAGAGTTTCTGGGGCATTAGCTCTCTTCTGTTGATCCTAGAATGTTAGATGCCAACCTTGTTTTTTCTGTTATCTATTAAATGTTTCATTGAATTCACTGTTTATATATTACTTCATCTGTATTATTTGAGAAATATTCCAGGAACATTTTTTTCCTCACTAAAAACATGTTTTTTTTTTTCAGAATTGTATATACTTCAAACATGTAAATGAGATTATATTCTAGAGGCAGCAGAGGTATTTTCATTTTAAAGTAATCTTTTCCTAGAATGAAGTATCATTTTATAATTTGCCTCTGAATGTGTCAGTTTCATAAGTTTGCATTTGTATAGACTAGCACTGTCCAATAGAAATATGATACAAGCTATATATGTAAATTTTCCAGTAGCCTTAAAAAAAGTAAACAGAAAAAGGTGAATTTGGTTTTAATACTGTATTTTGTTTAATCCAAAATACCATTTCCACATTTACTCAATATAGAAAAATCATTAAGACATTTTACATCCAGTATGTATTTCAGTTAGAGCACATCTCTATTATGGTATAAAATTTTCATTGGAAGTGTTTGATCAGTATTTAAATTTCATAAAATGTTACAGTTGAAAAAGTAAGTACATACACTCAAGTTGTTCCAAACAAGTTTTCCAATAACTGAATCTAGTATCAGTTTTAAAATTTTAATTTAAATTAATTAAAGTTAAATGAAATAAAAACTTCAATTCTTCTGTCACATTAGTCACATTTCAAGTGCTTAGTAGTTAAATGAGGCTAGTGGTCACCATATGCATCAGAACAGGTATAGACCTCATTTTCTGACAGTAAAGCTATACTGCATTTGCCATTGAAATGGTTATTCTTGTATTCTGCAAGTCAAAAACATCAGTTTTATCTTCATTCTAGTTTCCCATGCTATTTTTGATCAAACCTCTTATGGCGTGTCAGCACTCCCTATGTGCTTCTGTGCTGACAGTTAGATTATTGGTTCCTTGTTTTTATTACTCTGCTACTGTCAGTCCTGGAACTTGCCAGGGATCTTAGCACTTCAGATTGCCTCCTGAGATACACGTGAGTGGTTGGAGAAGAAGAAATTCTGCAGTCTCATGGTAGAGTTGATGCGACGCTTATTCAGAGGCTCAGGCATAGGATGTTGGGTAGTTTGCTAGTAGGACCATGTCCTGCCTCTTGTTTTTATTTGGAAGGAAACATGGATAGGGTGGTTTTCTTTCTTGGGCAGCTGGGCAGGTTCAGTTTACAGTTGCAAGTCTCCATTTAATTCTTGCCATGGGACAGCAAGCCAAGGGTTGCTAGATTTTTCAAGAGAAGCCCAGTAATCTAGGTTTTTATATGACTTGTTTAAATTTTAAAAGGTTAGCAACTAACTCAATTTTATGTTTAAAATACCATAGGGAATGAACAGACCATGTCTGCAGGCCGGATTTGGCCCTTGGAGTACTAATTTATGACCTGTGGTCTAACACACTGATAATCAGCACTATTGGACACAGGCTGTTGGACACAAAACATGAATGTGAATTATAATCTTCAGCAGTTATACTTGCTTTATGTTATTTCACCATGCCTTTCTTGTATTCCCCTTTTGGAACTTGTTCAATGTATCTGCACTGGGTTATAGTTAGTTGATACAGATTAGAAGTAGCTGGTCACTGCTTATTGCTTGCATTCTATAAGAATCAGGTCTGCCACTGAGCACAGTGGTAATTACATTTTTCTTTTATATTGGAGAAGTAGAAGAAAGTGTTAATAGCATTTTTATTTCTTAATTTGCTTATATAAAATGCATAATTCACTATGTATACTATGTATTAATATTTTACTATGTATTTACTTTTTTACTAAATGAAAATTTTTACTGTGTATCAACAAGTGTTCTAAAAGCTTTACATGTATTAACCCATTTAGTGCTGACAACACCCCTATGAGGTAAGTACCTTTATTTTCACCCCCATTTTGCAGGTGGGGAAACTAAGCATAGAGAAATCGAGTAACTTGTTTGTGATTACAAGCAGGAGGTGTAGAGCCAGGATTTTAACCCTGGCAGTTCTGCTCCAGAGACATGCTCTTTCTCTACTATTGCCCCTGCTCCCTCAGCCCCCAGGTAATCACTGTGTAATCATTCCCTATGGCCTGGTGCTGCGAAACCAGCACAGGGGAAGGCCAGGCAGAGCATGGCTATAACCCTGGTCTCCAGTAGCCAATGATGCTTTGGCTTTTGCACGCGCCAAAACAGAGATTTCAGTGATCACAGTTATCATAACAAAAAGCCCTGACTTTCTTTCCATATTCTGAACATTCGATTTAGAAAACTTAAAAACCTTCTGACAACTTGTAAGAACAGTACAATGAATGCATGTATATTTTTTCCCTATATTATTAGGTGATTATTAGCATTTTGTCAAATTTGCTTCTCTCTTTCTCTGAACCATTTGAGAATTTATGTTTAAATATTTATTCAACATATATCTCCTAAGAATAAGGGCATCCTCTGTGTAACTACAGTACAGTGATGACACACAAGAATCTGTCATTGGTAACATACTCTGAACTAATACAAAGTCCCCATACATATTTCCCTAATTGTTCCAATTTTGTCCTTGTCCTTTATAGCTGCTTTTTAAAAAATCCAGGATTCAAAGACTATATTTAATTGTCATATTTCTTTAGTGTCTTTTAATCTACAACTATTTCCCAGACTTATTTTGCCTGTGTCTTTCTTGATCCTGACATCTTTAAAGATTCCAGCCTAGTTGCTTTGCAGATATCCTTAAGTTTGGGCTTGTCTGATTGTTTCTGCATGTTTAGATTCAGGTTTAAACATTTTGCAGGAATATCATTTAGTGAGATTGTGTCCCAGTGTAGCATGTTAGAAAGCATGTGAAGTCATTATATTGCATTATTGGTGATAGCAAATTTGATCATTTGGTAAAGATAGTGTTCACCAGATTTCTAATCAGCTGACCTTAAGATAAGGAGATTCTCCATGTGGGCCCCGTGTACTCACAAGGGTCCTTGAAAGTAGAAGAAAGAGACAGAAGAGGAATTGGACTGATGCTCTGTGAGAAGGGTCAGACCTATCTTTCCCAGCTTGGAAGAAAGGGGAAGGTGAACACAAGCCAAGGAATGGGGGTGGCCTCTAGAAGCTGGAAAAGAAAGGGAAGTAGACCTACCCAGTCTGTAGAAAAGAACCTGTTGGTACCTTGATTAGACCTCTGACCTACAGAACTATCAGACGATACATTTGTGTTGTTTAAGCTGCTCTGTGTGTGATAATTTGTTACAGCAGCAATAGCAAACCAGTATTCTGTCTGTGTGGATTCACGGACTCTCTTCATAAGGGAGTTATAATCTACCTCTGTCATACGTATCTTTATTCACAAATTGTCTTAAATTTGGCCATTGGGGGTACCCCTTCAAGATCCTTGTGACATGTCCCCAGTCAGTATTTGAATACTTTACTCTTTTTTGGCATAACAGGATATTCAAGGCCTATCTTGTGCTTTACCACCCCAACTTGGAATCAGAACACACACTCTTAAGCTATGTACTATACTGCTTCTTACGTTATACTCTGCACCAGAGTGAACCCACATGACTGTTTCTTTTATAACAATATTTCAAAGACAATATGATAGTGATTGACTATTGGGAAAAACCCGATGACCCGGCTTTAAAAGGTTGACAAGAATGAGAAGTATGGAGTGTTTGGCCTTTTCATTCCAGTCCTCCTGTGCTTTGCATGGCACTTCTGCCAGGACTGGGCTAGTAGCAGGCATTTATGAATATTTTCACATGAATTCCAAAAGAGAAGTGGTTATCTTTGACTATAGAGGATGAATTTTGTTCTAAAGTCTGTTGGTCAGTTTCTATATTATATTCATTCAGAAATCGTTGAACATGCAGTTGTAATGATGCATAGAAAGAGATTGAATTTAATGGGCCAGAGCAAATGTTAGTCTTTGGGGAATATATAGAAATCTCACATGATCACAGACTTTCCTCTTAGGGATCACAAGCGCAGAATTCTTACAGGGGCCTGCCCAGAGGAAAGAATGAGTGAAGCAGCTGGGTGGGGACTGTGCTGAAGTGGACAGTGTGCGCCTGTCCTGCAGAGAGAGAGTTTGCACCTCTCTAGTTGACTCTCGCCATGGCAGGGGGAGAGAGAGAGAGAGAGAGAGAGAGAGACCTACCACACTTGTCTGGGTTTTCAAGAGAAGCCCAGAAATCTAGATTTTTATATGGATTCCTCCAATTTCAAAAGGTTAGCAATTAATTCAGTTTCATTTTTACAGCACTTTGAGAGACAGACAAACCATGTCTTCTGATTGATTCTGGCCCTTGGGCCGCCCATTTCTAACCTCTGGCCTAAGATATACTGGTAACCAGCATTATTGCACACAGGGCTATCTAGAGTGGGGGTTCTTAACCTTTTTGGTGCAGTGGACTGAATGTGCAATGGGAGTGTGGAGAAGCCTATGGATCTTAGAATAATGTATTTGATGTGTATAAAAGGAAATATATATGATTACAAAGAAAATCAATTGCATTGAAATACAGTTATCAAAGTATTTTTGAAAAACTAAATTTGTGATATGTATGCTTTCTCGTTAGTGCCTTAAGTAACATGATCTATGGTGCATCTGTTAACTACAAATAATTTTCAAATGCTGTGAGAATAATTACTATTTTGTGATAACTATAACAACTGTAAAATAATCTTAGAATCCCTGTTGTCCATTGGTGGCAGGGTCATGGGTACTGCTCAGACTACTGCACTGTGTTGCCTACATTCCTAATTGAAGGTAATGTTAAATTTCAAGTAGAAGTCATTGAAAACAATGATGTTTTTTTTCCCCCATCCATGTTTAATAACCCCCAATAAATGTCAGGTTAAGAACCTTTGGTCCAGAATAATCCATAACCTTGACAGTAGCATACAAGGAAGCAGTGTAATGTTATTGAGTATAATTAAACAAGCCACCAACTTACAGCTTATTTCTGTCTCTCAGTGAACTTTCTGGTTACTGAACTTGATCCTGTGTTTTTCCTTAGAACGTTATCATTTGTCTTACAAGATTGTGCGAACAGACAGTCGCCTGGTACGCAGCATTCTGACAGCCCATGGATTTCATGAAGTAAGCTCACTTCTGCTTCCTCACCTGATCTGTTCAAAAGCTGAAGATCCTAGCTACCTAATTGACTGCAAATTAACAGGGCCAGCTTTAGAAAGTACATGGGACCAGTGCTTAGTGGTGTAGCAGAACTTGCACTGAATTTCTGAGTGGCTTTAGCAGTTTTTCCTTGAAATACATAGAAAGCATTTCCACAAGATTTTTCGTTTTCTTTTTTTTTGGCAAAGAAAACAAACCCCAAACATTGTTTTCTTATTAGGCTTTTAAAGCTTGGGCTGGACTCATAGTTGTCCTTGAGGAAACTGTCTGATAATAAACAACAGAAACAGACACTGCCTAACTTTAAAAGGGATTTGTAGGAAAAGTTTATACAGGGTGGCATAATCAGAGGAAAGGCTGAAAAGGCATACCTTTGGAAGGAGAGACCAGGCCAGCCCTGGGGATCTGGGAACAGGAATTTTCAGGACCATCTCCTCAAGGTACTGCTATGGAGGTGACTCAACTCCATTTGTTGTCATTGTACCTTTCTCTCTTCACGAGTTACACTTTGGATCAGATTGGGTCACGGATCCATTCCTTGGTGGAAGGGAGGGTGGGTGATTAGCAGTCCTTTAAAACCATGAAGTATGTTCTTCCTAAAGGAAATTGGGAAAATTGGGATGTTGACCTCAAAAGGGACAGGCAAAAATGCTGGACAGACTTCCACTGAGTTATTTTGAGACAATTGATACAAGTCTGTTTGCTAGCTCTTTATCCTAGGTTGACGTCTGCCAAAGATGTTTTGAGGAAGATCTGGTACCAGTTTATGTCCTGTCTTATTGCTGTTTTATCTCCAGGGCTTCACATGGTACCTTATCACATCATAGGTACAAACTACATAATTGTTGAATGAATGGACAAATGAATTCTTAGGAATGAATGAATGGATTCTAAGATGGTTTGCTATTATAAGGTTTTAGTTCTGATCAGTACTTTATACCCAGCATCTGCAAGGACATACGACATTCTGAGAAGGGAGTTTCGAAGTTGGGTCCTTGTCTCATACTTTGAGTATTAATGCAGAAAGCAAGAATATTAAGAGACACTATGGATTTCTGTAGAAGGGTTAACTTATTCTATCTACTCTTTGCATTTGGGATTTGGCCAACTCTCCCATTCTTTAAACTTGATTATCTCCATATTTTGTTTACTCAGTTTTTGTCTTACTAGGCTCTCATATTAACTGGGCCACCTCTGAGGGCCCTGTGACAAAAAATCTTCATAGCCTTCTCTGCCAGCACTCTTTCTGGAGAGGGCCTGTGTCTGATGGTTCTTGTCCTGTCTTTTTACCTGCTCTCAGGTTCACCCAAGCAGCACTGACTATAATCTAATGTGGACCGGCTCCCACCTGAAGCCCTTCTTACTTCGCACCCTCTCTGAAGCACAAAAGGTTAATCACTTTCCCAGGTAATGCACTTGTAGTTACCACTTAGAGGTATCTGACGTTGGCCATGTAGCCAGTAGAGATACTTAATGTCTTTAAAAAAAAAGTCTGCGATATAGCGCAGCAGTCTGCATATCCAGCTAAAGTGTTCATATCCCTGAGCAAAGGGGAAGCCTTTCCAAGGACCCTGTAGACATAGATGGTTTTAAAGGAGGCTGTTTCTGGACTGCAAATCCCGTAAGTTCTGTTTCCTGAAATTGAGCTGCTTGATAGCCCTTCGTGTGGGTGCGTTCTCCCTTCTCACGTCCTTTTTCAGAGTCACTCTTTTCCTCCTCTATAAAGAATGGCCCACCTAGAACCTTAATATGATACATTGTCCTTGGGTGTAAAAATTTCCATGGTTCCAAACAAGGGTACAAAAAAATCGATGTTTAATTGAGTTCTAATAATAGCCTAACATACCCTTTTTGCTTTCCAAATGATAGTGATTTCCATTTTTTTTTTTTTGCTGTTAACAGAATTAATTATAGGAGGACATAAGCTGTCAGCTGATCATTAAATACAGTTTTTCATGATAGATAATCTTGTGACTTGTGACATAAAATTAGGAAAGAGTGCAAAGAATTGCGGGTCATTGCTATAGAAAACACCTTCTAGTCACATTTGTTAATGGCAGCCTAGAGAGGCATTATTGCCTGGTGGCTAGAAGCACAAGTCTTATTGCCAGTTACTTGGGCCTGGATCCCACTCTGCTGAGAGATGTTGGACAAATGACTTTTCTAAGCATCAGTTTCCTCCTTGGTAAAAAGAGGGTGCTAATGACAGACACATACTTCCTAGGACTGTTGTGAGGGCTTAATACATTCAGATGCAGAGTGCTCTTAGTGCCTATCTGTCACATAGTAAACAATAGGTAAGTGCTGGCTGTTGTTTTTGTGAACAAGGTTTCTTAGTTTTTACATCTGTAAAAAAGAAAATAGGAATAAAATTGATGCTGAACATTCTAGCAGTATGTAATATTCAGCTATGGAAAGATACATGACGTAAAGGAGAAGGCATAAACTAATCTCATCTATCTAATGGATGCAAATCCAGTTACATTTCATTTTATTTCCAAGACTTATGACCCAGTTATTCACTTGTGCTAGCAAGTTTTATTTTCAATTACCTCATAGCATTTTCTCATTTTCATGAAGTTTCTTTCTTGATTTTTGAATTCTGTTGTCTTCTACCCGATCACTCTGTATAAATCCCTGGCCTATGCTATTTTTATTGTCAAATAGTTTCTCATAATCTTAGATAAATGTGTATTTTGAGTCTTCATAATAAGTTCTAGTTTTATTTCATGTCTGAGCTTCACTAGCAGCAAGTAATTTCAACCTTATTTTCTTCCTGAATGCCTGGAAAATGTAGGTTTGCTTTTTAAAATGTGTGACTGGATGCTTGATGTGAATCAGATGCACCTATTTTAAACAGGCATTTAAATGGTCTTTAAAATAGCCCACACTGTTCCTAATTCATGTTACTAGTGTATTATTTATTTCAATAGTTCTTGAAACATTCCTGTAGGGTTATAGAAATTCTATCTCAATTTAGACTCAGTATTAGTAAGTTCTAACCCATATTTTCTTGTCTACTGTTTGAATGTGTTGTCTTGTATCTTTGAGAACATTAATAATCTGTTATCTAAATGCAGTATACTTTGTGGTTTCTGCTGCTATTTCGTGTTTTCAATCCAAAGACTTCCAACTCACATGCAAGAGCAACTCGAGCACTCCAAGTGTTTCCAATATTATTGTGAACTCTTTCTTAATATATTTTGTTAACTTTTTATTTTTAAGTAATTTTAGGCTTATAGAAAAGTTGCAAAAATAATATAGAGAGTTGCTGCATAGCCTTTACTGAGTTCTCTTGATGTTAACATCAGTTCTAACTGTAGAATAATTACCAAAATGGAGAAATTAACACTGATATAACATACATTTTTATCAAAATTTGTTAATATTTATAGTGTTTTGATGAACTAATTTTTGCAGTGATAATCAGTTCAGTTTAAATAGTTAAAACCTTTTGACCACAGGAAATTTAAAAATATTACATATTAATTCATATGCATATTTTTGTTGAGGAGAAGGTAAGATATAATGTAAAAGACTTAAGATCATTAAATATGTTCTGTTAGGTTAAGCTGTCCTTTGGGGAAAATGGAATGGAAGAAGTAAAAAAAACAAGGTTGACTGGGGGACAATGTCTAGGTGGGAGTATGAGGGAGGTTTTGGGGGTGTTGGCAATGTTCTCCACTGAATCTGAGTGGTAGTCACACAGGTGACAAAAATTTATTCTGATCTTCATTTGTGATTTGTGTCCTTTTATATATATATGTTACCTTTGGTAAAAAGTGTATTTAAAAAAGTGAAGAATTTGCTGACAAAAGATCTTTTTCTTTAATAATATTTTTTAAATGTATAGTAGCTGTTGAAGTTAGTTAGTTTCCCTGAATATAATTTTAAAAGATAGTGTTACAGTTTTATTTTAAAATGGTATTTGCCATGTGCTGGATCCTTGGGAACAATTTAACTTTATGATGAAAAATCTTAGATGCCAACTAAAAGAATATGCGGTTTCCCAAAATTTATATAGGGAATATCAAGCCAAAAAGTTTAGAGACCACCAATATTGGGCATCCACAGGAGAATTCATTCCTTTTCTTACTCTCTGGCTCAGTTTTTCTAATTCCTTAATGATCAACATCACTGGGGATACTTTTCAAAAATACACATTCACAGGCCCCATTGCAATGTCATGGAATCACCATGTCCACGGAAGGTGTATATTTAAAAAGCACCTTCTAAATGCTTAATCTTTCTAGGTAAATATATACCTAAAAAACTATATATAAGTAAAAAGCAATGAAATGATTTTTATCTAGGAAGTTCAGAAATTACTTTTCTAGACTAACTCAGTGTTACAATGTGGCCTCTGGATCATCTGTACCAAAATCACTGGGGGGTATTCCTTTCAAATGCAGAATTCTAGACTTAATCCCAGAATTTTGAGAGATTGGGCCCAGGAACATTTTTAAGAAAATTTCTGGGAATTCTTAAATGTACACTAAAATCTAAGGACCTGTGTTTTAGAGTTCTGAAGAGGACAGTGGGTAAAAGAAGTGTTTGTGATACCTAGATTTGGCAAAGCAACCTTTGAATTTGAGAAATCGTAGTAAAAAATTTGAACTGAAGAACAGATGGGATAAGTTTTTAATGGTCACAGCAAAGATTCTGAGATGATTTTTAAATAGTGGAACAAAGCACAGACTCGTGAGTCCAGTTGAGGCTAACTGAAATGCCTTTTTGTAGTACTCCAGAATGTACTCCCTGATAGGTAACAATTACTGCCCTCGTTTTAAGGTGATCATTTCCTTGCTTTTCATTAAAATTTTACCTCTTGCATATCCATCTTCAATGACAGAGTTTAGTTTTCAGTGGGTTTCTTAATTTAGTGACCTGGGACTTCACCAATAGGATCATTGTGGTCTAAAATTAAGGTCTGTCTTGGGCCCTATGCAGGAGAAGCCTCTCAGACCCTTGGTACCTTTATTACTAGCAATGCTACAAGCTCCATGTAGTTATTTGGGAGTTTGAGCAATTAGTGCTAGGGCATTAGGCCTATAAATATGGATAAGATAGTCACATGTTTTATTTTCATGGATAGTCCTCTTTTCAAATATGCTAACCTTTTTTCTAAAAACAAATTTCTCAGAATTTCTTGTATTTTAGTATCTTAATCAGTCTGCATCTCCATTTGGAATTAACTCAGCAATTTTTTGTCAGACCATGTTTCTCAGCAGATGACATCCTCTGGATACCTGTTGCATAAAACAATCCCAGGATGCCTTGGGTTTGGAACTTGTTACTTGGAGTACAAGTGTTCTTCCTTTCTTTGGGTAATCCAGACTATTTTGTACTGTGAAAGAACTGTGATTCAAAATAAAACACATAGTATTCCTAAAATATTCTGTAATGATTTGTAGTAGTGAATAGTTATAGACTATTTATGAGGCTAGAATTTATTTGATGATTTGGTTTCCAGACCCTGAAAGTTTGAAAATGTTTATCAAAAGTCAAACTTAGAACATATTCTTCTTTGGTTGTTTTAGATTAGCTTTTATACTTGTAAATCAATTTTTAAAAACCCATTTGGCAAAAATAATCAGACTTAAAGATTTCTTAGCTGTATAAATGCACAATCTGTAAGAAAAAAACTGATAAAGTGGACTTCATCAAAATGTAAAATGTCTTCTCTTTGAAAGACACTGCTAATAAAATGAAAAGATAAGTGACAGACTGGAACAAAACATTTCCAAAACTCATATCTGATAAAGAATTTGTATCTAGAATATATAATAAACTCTCAAAACTCAATAATAAACAACCCTTTTTTCAACTGGGCCAAATATTTGAACAGATACTTCACCAAAGAAGACATGAAAAGATGACATGAAAAGTTCAATAGTTATCAAAGGAAGGAAATTAAAACCACATGAGGTATTACTACATATCTATTATAATGGCCAAAAACAAAACAAAAAAGTGCTAGTCAGGACACGGTACACTAAAACTTTGGTGATGGGATATGCAAAATGGTATAGGCACTTTGCATAACAAGTTGGCAGTTTCTTACAAAGTTCAAAATATACTTATATGGGGGTTTTAAAATGTGCCTACAAATTCCTCAACGTTGTCTCCAAAAGGTTATGCTTAATCTCTGTGTTCATGGGTGTGGGCTGGACTTAGTGACTTACTTCCAGAATAGAATGTGGCAGAAATGACTGTCATTTCTGAGACTAGGTCATAGAAGACATTGCAGCTTCTTTGTTCTCTTTCTCTCTTGGATCACTTATGCGCATGAGGAGAAACTGAGGCTTCCTGCCAACAATCAGCCCCATATGTGAGAGCCACCTGGAAAGTGGGTCTTCCCACCCCAGTCAAGTCTGATGACTACAGCTCTACTCAACATCTTGCCTATGACCTCATGAGAGACCCCAAGACAACTACCAAGCCCTGTCACTTGCACATTCCTGACCCATAGAATCTATGTGAGATAGAAAATGTTTATTATTTTAAGCTGTGATGTTTTGGAGTAATTTATTATTTATCTGCAGCAGTAGACAACTTTTACTAAGTGATTTTACTAAGCCCAGTGATCCCATTCCTAGAGAGATGAAAACAGATGTTCACACAAAAAGTTATATTCATATAAAATCTGTATGCAAATGCTTATTGAAACTTTATAATCTTCAAAAAGTAGAAACCCCTCATAAGTCCTCTAGCTGGTGAATGGACAAATTGTAGTACACCCAAACAATTTACTACTGAGCCATACATAAAAAAGGAGTTAAATACTGATACATGTAACAATAAGAGTAAGTCACAATTGTGTTATGCTCAGTGAAAGAAGCCAGTCTTAAAAGGGTATGTCCCATATGATTCCATTTATTTGACTTTCTGGAAAGGCATAATTATAGGGCCAGAAAACAAACAAATGTTTGCCAGGGCCTGGAGGTGATTATCAGGGTTGCCTACGAAGGGACTTAAGGTGACTTTTCATGATATTGGAACTGTCCTATATCTTGATTGTGGTGGTAGTTACATAATTGCCTGTGTGTTTAAACTCACAGAAGTACACACTAAAAAGGGCAACTCTTACTGTACATAAGTTATGTCTTAATGAATAAATCTGACCAAAGGAATCCAGTTTGTGGAAGTGATTAATAACCACTGGGGTTGACAAAGTAATTTGGGATATAGTACTATCTTCAGGAACTTTTTAGAATGTGGTAACACAGGAAAACCTCTGAGTCAAAGTTTAGTGAAATGGAAATACTTTTACAATTTTTAGGTCATATGAACTAACCCGGAAGGACCGTCTGTACAAAAACATCATTCGAATGCAGCATACACATGGATTCAAGGCTTTTCACATCCTCCCTCAGACCTTCCTGCTGCCAGCTGAGTATGCAGAATTCTGTAGTAAGTGCTTGACTGAGAACGCCCCAGTCTTTAGTGACTGAACTGGAGGCAGACTCACTGCTGGGCTTACCCCTTAATCAGTGAGGACTTGTCACTTCCTTAAAAAGTTGTGTTTCTTTAGTAAAACAGCTGAGGGATAACTTTAAACCTGTTTTTATTCTGAATTGTGTACCTGTAGGTTTATTTTTAGTAAGCTTGTTAGTGTGCTTTATATAAGGACACATTCGTGTCATATACATGTGCCCCTGTCTCATACAAAGAGTCTCTTCTCTTGATTGATCCTTAGTGCCTTTGTAAGGGTTATTCCTGTCACCTGGATTTATGTTTTTGGGGTTGTAAGCATCATGCATCTTTTGGTGTTAAAGTTTAATCATATTCTCTTTCCTTAGAGTTCAGGCTAATTGAAAAATACATGTGGGAGCCAGGTAGGGGTCTCAGTGTTAGCTCTGTCGCTGGCAAAGCTAGATAGGAACGTGTGGCCTGCATCCATTAGTCTTCACGGGCTTCTTATTTCTTTGATCATTAAGCAAATTTAGCTCCCCAGATCCAAGCAGTGGAAGCTTTTCTCCATGGCGGCAGAGCCTGAGTCAGTAGGCTTAGTGTACTGATGAGGCATGAGACAGAAGTGTGAGGCAGGTCTTTTGTTTGTGAGAGTTTAAACAGTAATAATAATAGCTAACACGTGATGAACATTTCCTTCCTATTGGGCCCTCTTCTAAGCGGCACCTCTACTCTGAGGTAGGTACTATTATTATTCCTGGTTTCACAGATTGGTAGACTAAGGTACAGAGAGGTTAAGAAGCTTACCATAAACTATGCAGCTTGAGAATGGTGGAATTAGGATTCTGAAGTTTGGCTTCAGAAGCCATGCTCTTTACCACTATGCTTTACTGCTAAAGACACTGGGTCATATGCCAACAATTTCCTAATATCGCCAATGAGAGAATTCACTTCTGTGAGGAGGATCAGGTAAGACACAGAGAGGACAGACATACAGATAGTTTTCTACACAATGAGTCCTAGACACTATGCCTATCTTATGGGTACAGGAAACTTGGAGAGAGGAAGAGAAAGTTCTCTCTAGATTTCCCAGCTTTTGATTCTTTTAACCTGTTAGACTTAGCAGTCTGCTTGGTGACCCAGTGGGGTGCTCATCCTCTGGGACTTTCATCATCAGGGGTGTTCATCAAGATCTCTTGCTCCCACCTTGGCAAGGCCATTTCTTTGATAGCACTTGTGCTCCAGCTGGGACCATTGGTTGGCACTGTGTCCATGGAAGGCTCTGAAAATGGGTGAGAAGAGAATATTAATCAGATGAAGCCATAGTGCACTCAAAGCTGAAAGTTTGTAGTTAAAAATTTTTGTTACGGGACATTAGCCAAGTTGCTTCAAGCTGTCTGTGCATTAGCTTCCTCTTCTATAGGATAGGACTAGTACTAGTACTGACCTTGCAGTATTAGAATGTTTGGACAGGTTAGCACATGGAAAGCTCTTGGGATGGTGCCAGGTAGGTACTTAATAAATGTTCGACATGATTTCCAATTTCAAGTTATGTTGAGCTGTGTTCTTATGTAATAAAAGTAAAAAGTTATGGACTAAGCCAGTATGATAGCATAGAAATGCTTCAACTAACATGTCATCAACATAAAAGGGTTCCAGATTGAAACTCCTGTTGTTGAACTCCTAACAGGAAATTCAAGTCCAGAATGATTCCCTGTTAAAGTCTAAAAGAATCTAAGCTACACATTCCCCGTCTGCTCTCTAGGCAGTTTCTTTCTCTGCTGTTCTCCCCAACCTTTGGAGGCAGGTTGGGCAGTGGGGATGCTCAGTCAGATGATTGGTAGAGTTAGGTGTCCTCCCTCAAGTGTAACCTGTCTTCAGTAGAAGAGCCTTTTCCAGCATTTTAGTCAAACTCTTGTATGTTCTATTCTTTAACAAGAATGAATTCAAAAGGTCAGTAGAGCACAGACTTCACACCCAAAAGGTACAGCAACCACATTGAGCCCCTGGGAAGTTGATCCAGGCAAATGGTGTTCCTCAGTGACCCAGAAAAATCACTTATTGATTGCCACCAGGCACAAGTAGCAGGGACCTAACCATGCTTGTGGAAAAGCAGTGCAGGGACTACATGATAGTGAAGAGGAATCTTCTTGGTTTCAGTCTGGCCAGGATGCCAGTCATTCTTTGCCAGATGTCCAGAGTTCCTGACCCCTTAGCTGAAATCCATCTGGGAGAAATCCAGCATCATTAGGTTAGCTCTGTTGCTAAGGTAATATATTAGAGGATAATCCTATCTATTTCTACCGGTTCCTCTTTCAAAGAGACATTCTTCTTCGAAAAGTCTGTTTTAAATTCTGCTCTTCCTTTGGGGTCCACGTAGCATATTATAACTTGAAAATTCCATTTTCTCCATGACTCTTGTTTGCCTGACCCTCCATTTCTTAGTAGGCAATAGGAGATTTTTGAGAAGGAAAGCGACAGGAACAGGCTAGCCTTTAGAAAAGTAACTTCATGAAATGAATTGCAGGGAGCAAGGAATACAAGCACAGTGGTGACTTTGAAGGGTGTTTCAGTAACCCAGATAAAGCGTAGATGCCCTGAACTGGGTAGTGGAATGGAAGAGGAGGAGGAGGAAGAACAGTAGAATCAACAAAATTTACTAATTGGCTGTGAGTAGAGAGGCAGGAGCTGAAGCTGTCTTCAGGTGTGAGTCTGAGAAGCTAGGGGATTGTCGGGTATTTAACTAGAGAGTGTCACAAGGGCCTGAAAGGAAGAGCTGTTCAAGGGCATGAGGAGGGTTAAACTTTGGGCCAGATACGGGTTTGAGGTGCCTGCAGGCTTCCATATGTGGTGATGTGGTGACGTTTTGCAGGCAGTTGTAAAGGCGGTGCTGAGTCCTGGCCAGAGACAGAGATCCTGGAAGTTGCAGTGTGCACATGGGTGTGAGTAATAACCAAGTGAGAGAGAAAGGAAGCGGCAGCACCCCAGGGAAGTTGGAGGGGAGAGAGCTTGAAGATACGGGCAAGGGAGTCGCGCCCCAGAGGAGGCAGCGGAGCTTTCAGTCAGGAGCGTGGGTGGAAGGGTCAGCTGTAGGAAGGAGGTGGGCACGTCTCTCCACCAACGGAGAGAAGGACGAAGGCCAAGTGGTGACTCAGATGAAGTTTTTGATGGTGAGAAAGCAGGAGATGGGTTCATGTTCATCAATCCTCAGCCTGCTTGGTGAGGATGGTGATGAGGACATGTGCCAAGACCGAGGGGCTTAAGGATGGGTTTGGGTGTTTGAGAGGGGCAGAAAGGGTTAGGAACGGACATGAGGACTGCCTAAAGACGTGCAAGAGACCAGCCAAGGCGTATCTCATGAATTTATGGCTTTTGGTTCAAGTAAGAGAAAACCTTAAATCCATCTCTGTAGAGATTTACCCCAGAGACCAATCACTCGAGATATGAAAGCTTGGATACTGCCAAACTGTTTCCAGTAATTAGACTTGGTGGGGGGGGGGGGGGGGAATAAATGGCATAGATCTTTCTAGACTCCTGGTGTCTCTGTTGGTAGTTACACTGTGTAGTAGAATTGGAGGTCTGTGACTCTGAGGAACCTAACTCAGAATCTCTTGCCAGCTGCAGCCATTTCCCCACAGTGGACAACTTTCTAATGGGGAAGAGGGAAACAACAAGGAATATAGGATGGTGTCAGTATCAGCAAAGCAAAACTTCCCCCAGAACCCCAGCAGATTCTCCTTACTTCTAATTGGCCAAAATTGCATCCTTTGGCCATCTTTAGCTACAGGAGAATCTGAGAAATAATTTTAAGGAATGTTTTGATGTTCATTAGTTAATTGCAAATGGCTAGGTTTCAAAGCAATCAGCAAAGTTATAGAATCATGATACTAGAATTATAAGAGATCTTAGCAAAATAGACTAAACCTCTTATTTTAAAGATAAGACTGGGTATTTTAAGCAAATTATCCATGGTGTAAACACCAGAATTAGAACTCAGATCCTTCTACTTCTGGCTCAGTGTTTTCTTTCCATTAGACCAAGTATGCTGCCATTGTAAGACCTGGAAGACACTAGAAAGAATTACAGATCCTGACTGGTACATCTTTATCCTGATAGACTGCTGGACTCTTTGCCCGACCTTTGCCTCTGGTTTTTCCTGCTTCCTACCCATGTTTTTAGAACCTGTGGAAAAACCCAATCCTTGTTCTGAGATATAATAAATCAAGGAGGAAAACCTAGCATGAAAGACAAGTTTTTGATATTTAAAATTTCCACAACAGATAAAAGTGAAGAAGCAGAAGAAGTAGAAACTTCCAATAAGGTAGTTCACGAAGTAAGGCTTATTAAACATGTTAGGTGGGAAAATTGCATTTAGCTAGATTTTCCCTTTCCTGGAAAGGAGAGTGTCCTACATCACCTGATCACTGTAGAGCGTACTGGCTCCACACAAGTTGAGTGATTTTTTTGGGCATTCCTGTAGAAGCCTCCACTTGTACAACATCAGTCTTTTCTGCTAGGCTGATGTCTGTGAGGGCAAAGAGTACCTTTCTTCACTGTTGCATTGCTCCTCACCTAACAAGCTAATTGACATAGAGATTAGGTACTTACAAGTGTGTGAGGAAGGAAGTTCAGAAAATTTTGGAATTTTTTGTTTTCTTTTACTATTAACATCTCTTTCTGTGCTCAGTCAATCCATTGTGTCCTCAGAATATGAGGAAAATGGAAAAATGGAAAAAATGTATGAATTCTGTATGTATACATGTATTAGTCAGTGACTTCACTTCCTAGAGATTTAATTTGTCATGTACAACTATAAATGTCATCTATATTATATTTTTCAAAGGTATTATATTCCCATGGCACCAAAAAAATACAAAGCAATAATCAGTGAAAAGCCGCCTCTCTCCTCCTCATCCTCAGTCATTCAGTTCTCCTCCTCAGAGGTGATCAATGTGAATAGTTTTTTTTTTACACAACAGGATGTTCTCTGCATTACATGGCACATAGCTCGTATGTATTTATGTGAACAGATGGGAGCATGTGGTACACATTGCCATACATTTTCTTTTTTTTCACAAAACATTATGTCTTTGAGATTATTGCTTATCTGTTCATTAATAACATTCTTGCTTTGTGACTTTGCTTAATATTCCATTTTATAGATCATGTGTCTGCAAACTACAGCTTTTGAGTCAAATCCAGTCCTCTGCCTGTTTTTGTATATCCTACAAGTTAGAAATGGTTTCTACATTGTAACAGCCAGAAAACATCAAAAGAAGAATAAAATTTGTGCATTTTGAAATCATTGGAAATTCAGTGTCCATAAATAAAGTTTTATTGGAACACAGCCATACCTTTGTTTATATATTGTTTATGGCTGCTTTGAAGCTACAAGGACAAAGTTAAATAGTAGCAACAGAAATTTGCATGATCTACAAAGCCTAAAATATTTGTGATCTGGTTTTTTACAAAAAAAGTTTGCTGGCCCTTCATATAGATGCAATGTAATGTATTTAATTGATGGACATCTTTTGCTATTAAAACGCAGCATTGAATGGTCTTGTACATACATTTCGCAAGTGTGAGTAAAACTAAAGGATACATTTCTGGAAGTGGAATTGCTCATAGAGTTTTAAATTGTATGTGGCCTAGTACTTTTTCTAATTCTGTTAAGTTGCATCAAGGGAAAAGGCAGGGGAAGATGTGGAAGAGTAGAGGAGATCTTCTTTTTCTCCTGGTGAAGTAGTTTTTGGCACAAAGTCAAGTTCCTGTTGGGAGTCCTTGAAAAGAATTTGGTTCCTGTAACAGGGAGAGTCCCTTGTCCCTACTTCTCTCTCATGTCTCTGGCCTTCCTTAAGTAGAGGGCAGAGCCATCTGCAAGCCTCTGTGAGGCTTAGTGTCAGCTGTCTGGTTTCTCTTTCTGTGATCCAAAGCTGGCAAAGGAATAACAGGAAAGCATACCTTTTAATCACTTATAAATTATTGTCCTCCCTCTTCACGTGTGCATGGCTTTATTCAAGGCATTTTTTTCTTATAAGCTAAGAGATATTGCTTAAGGAAAGGAACTGTTTTAGGAGACCTAGCATTTGATTTACCTTGTCACTGTGGTGTGAGCCTCTGGTGGTCCTTGAGTTAAGGGAGGTGAGGATCTCAAAGATTCATAAAGTAGTTGACACAGTAATAGACAAACATCCAGATTGTTGCCCTATTTTGTTTTCATCCTCTCATTCAAGACAGAGGGGAAATGGTGGCAGAAATGCATTATGTAAGTTTGCTGCCTTCTCCCTCCTCTTCCCTCTTCCACCCCACTGTGTGTCCGTTTTCATTTTTAAGGCTATTCCAAAAATACGGGTTATTTTAGTCACTGCCCTCCACTTAGAAATTTGGAAAATTCCTTGGGTACCTGAGTAAATAACCATTGTTGAAATTTAAGATAATAAACTCATGTCCCTTCTTTCTCTTTGTCTCTCTCTCCCCCTTTTTCTCTCCCAATATATATATATATTTTTTTATCTCCCAATATTTTGAGCAGATTCCTATTCAAAGGACCGGGGACCTTGGATAGTAAAACCAGTGGCCTCTTCTAGGGGGCGGGGCGTCTACCTGATCAGCAATGTAAGTATGCAGCCGAGGGCATCTCTCTCCTTGTTGCTTCTTCTCTGCTGCTCCCTTTTATCCAGCTGCTAACCTGGTTCCTTCCCACTGGGAGCAGGTGTTCCCTTCTGAAATCTGCACTCAGAAGTGTGAATTGAGGGTGATATGAGTCGGCTGCTGTTCATCTTTCTGGCAGTAAACTCCTCTCACGCCAGCAGTTACTATATGGCTAAAAAGAGACTTGATCAAATTTTAGGGGAGGGCATCCTTTGGTGTCAGCAGAGAGAGGCACACTGTCATGTTGATTTCCCAGTGCTAAGCATTAACTGTCAGCTATACTGTACATTCAGTTTTTACCATGAGCCCAGAAGATCATGAAGGAAATTAATTTGGTGCGGCATCCTTGCTGCTCTTCCTTCCTTCCTTCTCTCCTCCCCTTTCCTCCTCATCCTCTAATTTTTTCCAAAAGTCATTCATATCTTGATGCTTTGCAAAATCCACATTAAAAGTTGCTTTTAAATCAAGTACATATACACAGTAAATAAAATCCCAACCACAGGCCCACTCTCTAGAACAGTGGTAAGTGATCTGATATAGTTGTTTGGTTTCTTTTTTTCTTAACTTTGCTCTGTGTTTGTGAATTCCCAAACATTTAATTGTTGCTTAATGGTTGCAGTTTGCCTGCTGGTCTTTTTGAGGATCCCCACTGAGATTTTAAAAGTTCTTTTCTGATCCATTAATTTTCTTTGGATTGTCTTTTTTTCATGCTGATGGGTTTTCTCAATTTCCATGACTTTGGGTGTTGAGTTATGTTTATGAACAAAAGATTACACCAAAATGGCCAGCTAGCCAGCTGACCTGGGTTTCCCCTCCTGTTGTGCAGGACTGATTCCCTAAACAGCTTCTCCCTGGACTGAGTGTGAGTTTTGCACGAGGACAAGCACATTGACTATTGGGCTGCACCTTAGGTGGATGAGGGTGAGGAGTGTGCCTCTTCCTTGCCCTTTGCCAAAAAGGCCTTATTGTGAATATAGAGGAAGATGTGGGTGATTTCCCTTGTGGGTAATGCTGCCTTTCCTCCCCTTTGTGTCTGTTGTAGGGGCGGAGTGGCCCCAAGTTCTACTCTTTGGTCTGATCTTTGCAATCACACAAAATGTCCTCCCCCAGAGTGTCATCATTCAGTTTTATCCTGAGGCTGAAGCTTGGGGTGTTGGAGGAGGCCACTGGCCTCCCTGTTCCCAGTGCTGTTTGTGCATTAAGGATCTGGTTCTTGTTCTTTGGCCCACTTCTGCCCCTCAGGTTTGTTCACTACCAGCTTGGGACTTCTCCGAGGCCTCCTTGGGAAGTGCACCCTCATCTCGGATGTTTTGGGCTGAGGCTTCCTCTGCTGCCTTCTCTCAACCTGATCCCATCTGCTTGCTATCTTTCGGGATTTCCATACACTTTTGATCTGTTGTTGGCTCCTTTAACTGTTTTCTAGCCTTATTGTCATTCATTCTTTTAAAAATATCTTCTGTGCCCTTACACTGGGACTCTGAAAGGGAAGAGAGGGAGGTAGATATGTTGTGTGTGTGGTCAGTACTCCAACCTTAAATTCCCCAATTCTCTTTTTACATGGTCTGAGCTGTGTTCTATACATGCAGAAACTAACTTTCTCAAAGGTCTTTCATACTGGAAACATCCTTAAGTTCAATCTGGACCAAGAACTGTACAGTAAACACTGATGGCCAGACCTTTTGTGCTGAAATCTAGGATCTGCTTCTGATACAGCAACTACTACAGCCCCAGACCCAGGCTACAAGTCCTGGTACCTGGCTCTGGGTCACCCTGGAGGCCTTTTGCCCTGGGACTCTTGTGACACTAGGCCTTGGTCATATGCCTTGGATCTCTCTTGTCTGTGTTCTGACCTTGGCATGGATGCTCCTGTCCAACAGCTTTTCCTTCAGCTCCATGCCAGCAGCTCCAGTGTTGTTTGAATCTCATAGACGGCACTAGTTTGGGTTGCATTTCAGCTGCCAAATGGAATTGCTATTGAAAGTCATCTGTGGTACAAGTTTGCTTTTTATTTTCTTAGACATGAGTCAAAAAGAATAGGATCTATTCCCAGCTCATCTGGGACTTTTTTCTTTTGGAATGCTCTTTTGCCATAGTGATTTGTTATTTTGAAACCGACAACTTAAAGAAAAGAAAAGCTAAACTTTCCTCATTGGGACTGAGAACCCCATGCTCTAACTCTTCCCTGGATGCCGAGTCTCATAAAGGGGGTGACAAGTCTTTAGAGAATGCACTTGGCAGGCCCCCCTTCTCCCTCCCACCTCTCCCTGGCTGAATCCCTAGAGACCCCCTGCATAGATCAAAGTACTTGGCAGGACCCTTTGCCTCCCTCCTTCCCCTCAGTGGAGCTTTGGAATGACTCTGATTCTTTGAGGTATTTGGTGGAGGTGCCAGACAGAAGCCTGGGAAGATGCCAGCAGGCACCAGGGGAGCTGGCAGCATGTGGGCATAATGGGAAAATATTCCCATTTCACTCCAAAACTGGCATTTTATCACCTTTTACCCAGACCTACAAACCGTGTAGTTAATTCTCTCCTCTCCCTCCTTTTACAAAAGGCCTAGCCATCCCCTCTTTTCCATACCTGGATCCTTTCCCATGGAATATGTGACCCATTAGCCAACTGGATGAAGTAACTCTTTCCGAGGCTGACGCCTGCTTTCCTTTTAGGTTTGAGGGGCAGGGGGAGGAGAGCTCAGATGGAGGGTCTGTGAGTAGCACTGATGTGAGGGGGTGAGGTACACTGGGGGGGTGGGCAGAGTTAGGTGTGGGGGCCAAATGAAAACATCTTTCCCTGTCTTTCCCTTGGGAGTAAGAGAGCCCTTATTAAAAATACCTAGTAACAGTCATGACCTTTTGGAAAATATCTCGCAAATAGCAACTTTTACCATTACACGAACAGGAGAAAGGATAGGAAAAGCATCACTTTTATGTAATACTAAAGAGAGAAGTGTGAGAATAATGGAAGCATCTAGACTGATTGACTAGCGTGGTCCCTTAATAATGTGCTCTTTAGAAATAGCGCATCTGAGCATAAAGGAACAAAGTTGTGGTTGCTCCAGTTCCTTCAGTAACCGTGACTAAATGCCATATTTTCCCAATTTGGTATATTCACATCAAGGAGGGGAAAGATCTGGTGTCTTCTGATGAAGGTATGAATTTGATTATGGGAGTCAAATTTAGGCATCCTTGTCTTGCACATTATCCATGGTAAAAACAGTATTTTCCCTGAGATTTTGAAGTACCAGAAGAGTATTTAGGTCACTCTATTCACTCCCCATATCTGTGAGCATAATTCTATATAGTTGTCTTGTTCTTCTTTGTTTATATGTTGTTATCTATGGGCTCTCTATTTTTTTCTCATTTTCAACAAATACTGAGGAGGGTGTCCCTGCTGTGTGCCAGGTGCTGCCACTCTTTGAAACCTTTTGAGGAATAGGGACTATCTCCTAATTCTTTCATGTCCTCATCCTAACAGTGCACTGCCCCGAATACAGTGGCATGTGGCATGCCATGATGAATGCTGAGCTGTGGAACAAAGTATATAGCACCACATAGATGCTGTTGAGTTTGCTGTAATAATAACTGTTCTTTCTCAAGTGTTTAATATGTGCCTTCCAAATATAAACTAATTTAGCCTTTATAAGAACCCATGAGATGGTTACCATTTTTCATTATTTCCTTAGTGGTAAAGAATTTAACTCAGGTCTCACTGATTCTAGAGCATACACTTTTAACCATTGTGCCACTCTACTTTACAGTAGTGCTTCAGATACTATGAACTTTAATCTTAAAGTCCAGTTAGAAAAATGGATGTGTTTCCAACTTTTCCAACAATTCAGACTCTTGCTTTAGCACCCTTTGGAGGGCAATTTGACCTTGAAATTGAAATCATTTAAACTGAGTCAATTGTGGATTGATGTAAAGGAAATAGACTTAAAGATATCAAACAGCCTTCATTATTTGCTATGGTAAGAAACTGTACCCAACGATTCTTTTCTTCTATGAACTTACAATTTAATTCTTCATACAGGTACAGGTAGAAAATGAGAGGTACAGACCATTGAACAAATATTAAAGTTACCTAAATAATGTAAGAGATTATGTTATACATAATTTAAAGGACAGATGTGTATGATGAGGAAGGGAAGAGAGGAAATGGGCAAGGACGTTAGGTGTGTCATGGAGTGAAGACCGTTACCAGTGTTTTCTGGGTCAAAGGAAAGCTGGGTAGTCATTTATCTATGGTAGCCTGTAGGTGTTACTCAGTAGGAAGAGACTGTAATTGTTTAATTTTAGGTTTGAAACACAGCCTCCAACTTTGTACTGTGATTGCATCCATTCTTTCACACTAAGCTGACTCAAATGGGAGATAGTACTTGTGAGAAACTAGTTGAGAACTCTAAGGGAGTCAGGAAATGGTGTGGGTGATCAAGGCCATGAGTATGCATCAGTCCTGATGTCATCATGCCCATGTGATGCATAGAGATGGAGTGGGAAAGTTGTGCTGTGAGTTTGAGATAGTAACAGTGGGAAATGAGAGGAGAATCTCATTATCTTGATTCTGAAATTGCGCATTGTGGTCGTGTATAATGTTATGGGTCACAAAATTAACCTTGTTTTATGATAACTGTAGTGTTTGGGATAACAAATGCAGTTTTATAAAAACACCTTTTGAATTAGGGGGACAATTTCTGTAGGTCAGAACTTTGGGGAAGGATATGAATAGTGCTTAAGAGTTAAAAGCCTCTGATGCAGACTGCCCAGGCTTAAATGCTGTTCTATCATTTATTCTATGTGTGACTTTGAGCAGATTCCTAACCCTCTCTGACCCTCCTCATTTATAATATTTGGATGGTGATATACCTATCTCATGGAGTTAGGTAAGGATTAAATGAGAGTTAAAACAGTACTTCGCATGTAACAAATGTTCAGTATATTTATTAAATTTTATTTTTTTCAGCAAATGTTAGTTTTTTCTGTTGCTATTACTGTAGCTATTATCATCACAGTTACTGTTATAGACACTTCTCTTTTGGGGTCCTTTTGTCCTGTGTGGGTTATGGTGACTTCCAGCTGATTTCTCTGTCTAAATCTAATCTCACATAGTCTTGTTCTAGGCCATATATTTTAATCTTACTATTTACTTAATCAAGAATTCACACTAATTTCCTGCTTCCCACCATGTTCAGTCTAAACTCCCCTTGCCAGGGGTTCAGATCCCTTCGCCAGTGGGGTGTCTCCCTCCTGATGGCCTAATCATACCCTTCTTTATTTACCAGTTCAGTCTTTTAGCCCCAGGTCAATGAATCTGCCTGCTTTCCTTTCTACTGGGCTTGCTGCTGTCTTCCTCCACCTGCCTCCTGTCCTTTCTGCCATGTGCTCGATAGCTTTCAGTGCTCACTCCTCACCTACTTTTCTAGGACAAGCCTTTCCTGACCGGACCCTGCCAACTGGTCTGCAGTGCTTTGTGACGTCACATCTTGTACTCGCGGATAGGCTGCTTTGTTTTCTTTTAAATTATATATTTTACTGTCCCTCTACCTAAATAGTGAATTCTTGGGAGTTGGGACTGACTTAGGCTCTGTGCGGGCAGGGATTGTATCTGTTTTCCTCATCACTGTATTCCCGGTGCCTTCTGTATTATCCAACAATACGCATAATTATTTATTGTGGCAGCAACATTTTTTATTGAAAAAAATCTTAAAAGATTTAGTTAAGTCTTTACATACGACGGCATAACAAGTACCATGGAGTGAAACAATGAAATATCTACCCCTTTTCACTTGGGAAATGCTAGGATCCATTGCAGAAAGATCTGGAAGTTCTCTAAGCAACTTGATGAAACCTTCATTTAAGAATAATAGCAGTATTTAAAAATTTCTATCATACTTTATATTTGGGAGGAAGCAAGTTTTAATTTATTTTTTAAGTGGCTTTTATTTTCTTGGAATGTATTTAGTGTCATGTACAAAATGATATGTAAAAGTAGTTAATGACTAAAGATGTTTAGGTCTCTTTATTATGTGAGAGGTACTGTGTAAATTAATTTTCACCCCCTTTGTAATTGGATACCCACAGTGTTTATTGTAGGGGGATGTTATGTGGTCAATTGAATATATGGGTGGCTCAGAGGGAAATTTTTCTTAGAGTTTTAGTTTTCTGCATCATTATTCCTAAAAGGTTAAGAATTTTGCTCCCTTATTGTAAGTTAGGATTCCTTTGCATTCCTGTCCCTTGATTCTTTCTCTTTACTTAATAGCCAAACCAGATTTCCCTGGAAGAGAACATCCTGGTCTCCCGTTACATTAACAACCCCCTGCTCATAGATGGTGAGTTATGATAAGGCTCTTGACTGGATTGGGTTAGATCTTGCTAATTTTGAAACATTTTCATAGTCTTCTCTAGTAAGCCTTTATTAAGCTAGTGTGAAATTCTTGATAACCAGAGATGAGGCTGTTTCCTTATCCACCGGAAAATGAAATTTTGAAGATGAAATGAGATAATAAAAAAGTGTTGTACAGGTTTTACAATGTGTATAACAGCTGTAGAGAGTACATATATATAAATTCTCTCTTCCTCTCTTATTACATATATTACATATGTCTTTGAAATGTGTAATTATTATTTATCCTCAAAGGCAAGATGTGTGGGCAGTGTGTCTTTTGCGGGGAGAGGACTGTTCCTTCTTTCATGTTTCTTTGTTACATTGTCTTGTTCATTCATAACAGAAAACAAATGAATTTAGTTTACCCTGTGAATCCATTTTTTTCCTCTAGATTTCAAGTTTGATGTGCGCCTCTATGTGCTTGTAACTTCCTATGATCCTCTTGTCATCTATCTCTATGAAGAAGGATTGGCTAGGTAAGAGGCTTTTGGTAGAGGGAGTATTATTAGCATGGACCCACTAAGTGTGTTTACATCAGGCCGTTTTTTCTGTTATGTTCAACTCAGGAAAACAGAGTGCACAGAGATGGGCTGCAGATTGCAGAAACCAGTCTCACTTGTATGTCCATACATATGAACAAGCAGTGAGTGCGAACACCCACCTTTCCCAGCAGGGACCCATGATCACATTGTATTTTCATGCAGTGGCAATTATTAGGAAGATGCTAAGGTATTAAGATAATTTGCCATTGTTCATCACAGTTGATCTAGAAAGAAAGAACAAAAAAATTCCCATTTATTTACCTGTTACATACAAGACATTAATTTTAATGCTCACAACAACCTTATAGAGTTGATGGACTTTGCAACTGAGGAGACTGAGGCTCAGAGAGGTAAGGGAACTTGTGGTCACTTTTCTGAGCTGTCCAGCTGGCTGCTCATGGAGTGGGAATGTGACCTCAAGGATCTGACTCCAGAGCGCAAGCCTGAGCTGTTTCCTGTTCTCTTGTATTTAGGAGACATTAGTGGCTTCTTTTCTTCTTTTTCACCTGCAAGTAATATACTTTATGATAGTCATATATACATGATTCTTTGTTTTCTTGGGGTACTTTATAAGTTCTAAAGTAATGTGACATTTACAAAATTAAGATTGAGTTATAAACAATTTGACATTTCCTTTCCCATATCCACAGAATTTTATAGGTGACAATGTTTTGCATAGACCCTTTAACTTGTTTCAAATAAGTAACCTTGCTGTTGCTTGTGTTCTTCCCCCCTCCAAAATATACATACATACATGCATATATATATATATATATATATATATGTATATATGTTAAACCAACTAGCTCATCCTTATGTTCCTTTCATGTACAATGGCCTTATAAAGCATGGCAGTGTAGGAGGTGGTTTGTATCTAAGCAGTAATGACAAGCTAAAAAGCATGGTCTGCATGTTTCTGTGTTTTAGAAAATGCACATTGAAGACAGGAAATACCAAAGTTAAAAGAAGCCTACCTATTTAAGTTTAGGTGCTTTGACACATTTTGTACTCTGATGACTGTTATTTCAGAATATTATTTCATATACCTAAATTTTTTGACGCATCCTGTGACTAACATCAGAGGGTGAGATAGGGCTAGCCAGATCCTAGCTGGTTGAGCTGTGCCTTCCCTGCACCTCTAGGTGGCAGCGACAGCATTTATAAGCCTTATTATATTCTTAACTAAGGTTTATAAATTTGAGTTTGAATCCTTGGAGCACCAGAGGATACTGAAGCCCCCTTATTCTGGCATCTTGTTCCTTGAACATTAAGAAGGGGAAAATTAAAACATTTTTCAGTTTTTAGGTAAAGTAGTGAACCAGGCATCTGAGCACAAATTAACTGCTAGCTCTAATCAGATTTCTGCACTGTTTGTAGACGATGTGCTCTCATACTTTGAGGTACAGGTTTAAAAGCCATATAGTACCTCAAAGAAAAGGAAGGTAAAATATACTCCTTACTTCTGCTTGGCTGTATCCAGTGCTGAGGGGTCTCCATTTTGTAATTTGAGGTGTGAACTTACCCTCTTGTGTATGGCGAGCCTCTCCGTTCTCCTTCCCTCATATTCACCCACACTTGTCTCCTGTGACCCTCTCAGGACTCATTATGCCCTGTAACACAATGGACCTCTCGCACGGGGAAAAGACTTTAGGGTTACACTCCCTGTTTCTTAAAGATGTCATACCAGCATGTTTTGCACATTATTCCAAAGACATTACACCTACGATATTAGTAGCCCTCTCTGTTGGTAAAATTTAGCTTGGTTTTAAGACCTCAGTGGTTCAGACATGAAATGAGAGCAATACTAGTTCTTATTATAGAATTTACTACAGATATGCAAGTGCTTTTGCTACTGGAAGTTAAAATCCCCTGAAGTGACTAACTCTATTTTCTTGTCTTCAGCAGGAACCAAGTATGTATGTATCTTAAAAAGGATGCTTTTTGTCAGAATAATTTGGAAAATAGCTTTTTAAAAACTCAGGACAAAAAAAAATGTGAATTTTCAGGGCCTTCAGACCAATATAGGTGGATATAAAAACTTTACAAAAGGACTGTACATCATGACAGGCTATTAGCCAGAGTCCCACGAGGGTACATGGCTCCGCACAATAACTTCCATGTGCCCAAGTTCCTGTGTCTTAACTCACTGTGTATCTTGGCATTCATCTGCTTCTTTTTAATCCTCAGAATCCACTCAACTGTGTCACTACGTTCAACAATAGTCTGTAGCCCCTCCAGATCTGCAGCCTCTTGTAATCTTGGATCAAGTGTGTTTTATGTAGACGTTACTGAAGATAATCAGTTTGGGATGATATCACTAGGCCATTTTATTTTGATGCTCAACAAGGAAAACCATGGTCTTTCCTAAAGAGACAGAACTGGCAGCAAATATAATTGGTTTCTTTCTTTAGAAAAGAAGTGTCTGTTCCTGTTTCACTTCTATTTTGGTCCTTAAATTAATACTTAGGTGACAGAAAGATGAAGTTCATTTCAGAAGACAGTTTTATGAAATAAATATTTTGTGTAAATTCTTTACCTTCTTAAACTTCCTAAAGAAGAGGACCTCTTAAATAGTTGCTTTCTAGATTAGTAATTTCAGTGTCTTTGTTGTTTTATTAACATAGGAAGTAGGAAAACTCTTATTTTCCTTACATGTGGACAAAATATTGAGACGTTTAAAAAAATTCTTTCTGGTATTTGGGGTCCAGCGTTTTGCCCCAGAGGTCCACCCAACTTTTGAGTTTTATGGGTATGTTGCTACTTTGCACCAGCAGGGGACACTCAGTATCCAGAAAGGGGTATCGTCCTCTACCAAAATGGTGTAGATTCTTTTTCCTCTCAGAGGTAGAATCCAAAAAGACTTTGTCCTGGATTTTACAGTTTTAGGTGGATCCAATATGTGGTCTGAATGATTTGACGAGGCCTTTTTGAGACGGAGCTAATAGCCAAATGTTCACTGAAACAGGAAAAATAAAAAGTTAAAAAAAAATTGAGCTAAAAACCAAATGCATTGTCAAAGACCCAAGGTAGGTAGCTCTAGCAACGCCGGGGAAATGAAGATGCCCATCCAGGGACCTGGGAGAGCTCCACCCACACCGTGGAGGTGGAGGGAGGACCCTGAGGTCCCCGGCAGGGCCTGCCTTTTTTCTGTCTCAGCCGTATTGCTCAGTGGAAATTCAGAAGACCCCAAAGTGTGTGCAAGGCTTTCCCTCCCTCCCCAACCCCCATTCCTTCTTCAGTAGCCTTCCTTGCTAATTAACACTGGCTCCGCAGGGATATTTACCTTTTCTCTGCTGGATTCCTGCGGTTTTGAAGGAATTCAGGTACTTGTTGGTTGCCAAGGAATTTAGATTACCTCACAGGCTGCACACTGTCCAGAATCTGCCGCAGCAGCAAGAGGCGGGGAAGAGACACCAACAAGGGGTAGTAAACCCTCTCCAGCCTCATTGTCACCCTCCCTGGCAGGCCTTTGCTGTTTGTGAGGTTTGAGTCATTTCTGGCTCTAAAGACAGGGGATCAGGCTGGTAATCCCCTCCCAGACGGCTCTGTAAGGCGCTGCCTAGTCACTGCAGCACTTGGGCAGTCTCCCGGCTGCAGCTGGTTGACAGCAGATCAGAGAGCTCTTGGGCCTCTTGTTCTCTTCCCTAAGCTTTTTCTGGGTCAGGCGAGGATGAAACCCGGTGGCTCCTGGCACAGCTGCCTGAGGTGCTGTCTCTTCATCCTCTAGGCTTTTCTGGCTTTGAATGGCTACACCTGCTAAAGATAACTCACGTGCCACAGCCAGGGTATCTTCAGGACTGGCCTCTTCCCTCTGCATGTAGGTTTGTAGTGAATGTAAGAATCAAAGTGGGGGCGGGGAGAGCAATTGTCCTTCTCTGGGCTATCTGTGACTCTGACCAAGGTGTCCTCACGTTAGAAGAACAAAATAGTTTTTGGTTGAGGAAGAAGAATTTAAAAGATCCCAATGACTCTCTGTGCTTTCCTTCCCATTTTATTTCCTTGTTGGTGAAGTGGCTGGAAAAGTAACTCGGTACAGCTTCCTGTAGTCCTTATCAAGCACCTACTTACTATATGTCTAACACCAGAATCCTTCCTTCACACAGACACTCAAGAATTTTAGACAGATTATTACCATTGTCTTGATTCTCATGAGAAGCTTTAGACAGCAAAAAGGAAATGTAGCTTTTAAGAATTTATTGTTAGACTAAAGATACTCCATATATGTTTCAGTGTGGTTAAAAAAAATAAAGGGCATATAGTTCTGTATTCATCAGGCTGCAAAATAGTACCTAGCATTTCAGATTTGGCAAAGAAAGTGGAGCCCTCCTCTTTTTTTTGGCTTTAAAGTCAAGGCTATGAAATTCTGTCGTGAGAGCTTTTCCTAAATCTTGATTTCATTAAGAGGAAGGTTCAAGACTCAGTTCATCACGTAAATTTCAGTATGGGTTAAGATAAGTACTTACAAACTTTGTGCTGGGGGTACATAACAGAGAATCAGCTCTTTCGGGTTGTTTCTAATAAATAAATTATGGTGGGTAGTTAGGGGATAGGTGAAACAGGTGAAGGGGATGAAGAGGTACAAGCTTCCAGTTATAAAATAAATAAGTCATGGGGATGAAGGGCACAGCATAGGAAATATAGTCAATAATATAGTAAGTTGGTACGGTTGCAGAGGATAACTACACTTAGCATAGTGAGCATTTTGTAGTGCATATTACAGGTCGAATGACCATGTTATACACCTGAAACTATTATGCTGTATGTCAATGATACTTCAATTAAAAATATATATATTGTGTTGAAGGTTTCAGACCTACGTAAGTTGAAATTTGATATGTGAAGGTCTAAAGAGTCACAAACTTCAATGCCTTCAAGGACATTCACTGAAGAAGCAGGCCAGGTGGAGACTAGAGAACTGGTGATAACATGTCCCACATAAAGGGCATTAAGTATTCAGTGCTAGCAAGTCACTGATACTTGCTGGTATTAGGGTCTGAATGTCTGTGTCCCCCGCAAGTTCATCTGTTGATATCCTAACCCCCAAGGTGATGGTATTAAGAGGTGTGGCCTGAGGGGTGATTAAGTGATGAGGTTAGAGCCCTCATGAATGGCCCTTTTGTAAAAAAGAACCCAGAGAGATTCCTCACCCCTTCCACCATTTGAGGACACAGCAAGAAGGTACCATCTATCTGTCTGCATCTTGATCTTGGACTCCTGAACTGTGAGAAATAAATTTCTCTTGTCTAAAAGCTGCGCACTTTATGGTATTTTTTATTATAGCAGCCCAAATGGACTAAGACAGCTGGTATTGCCAGATCTTCTGGTTTTTGGAGAGAGGCTGAAATCTAGAATTTTTATTAAGAAACTTACCTTTGTTTTTAGACTTAATTTTGAAGCCATTTCACACATATAGGAAAGCTGTAAAAACAGTATGAAGATTTGCCTTTTACCTTTCATCTAGAGACTTGCATTCAAATTTTGCCAATTGTCCAAATAATATTTTTGTAACAAAAAGGATCCGATCCAGGATCTGCATGTTATATTTAGTTATGTCTCTTTAGTCTCCTTCAGTCTGGAACATTTCCTCAGTCTTCCTTTGGTTTCATGACCGTAGCACTTTTGAAGATTATAGGACAGTCATTTTATAGACTGTCCCTCGGTTTGTCTGATATTTTCTTATGATTAGACTCAGGTAATGTATTTTGGCCAGAATGCCACAGAAGTGATGCTGGATTCTCACTGCATTGTATCTTATGGCACCTGATAACTTTTGAGTGGTGTTTGACCACTTGATTAAGGTGGTATCTGCCACATTTTTCCCCTGTAAAGTTACTTCAGTATCTTATGAGGAGATACTTTGAGACCATGTAAAAATCTCAATCCTCATCTCATTTTTAATCAACAATTTTAATATCCATTGGTGTTTCTTTTCTGAATGAATTACTGCTATGATGGTTGCTGAATGATGATTTTCTAATTCCATTATTCCTTTTAATTTTTATTATTTGGCATTTTATTTCAAGGAAGAACTTCCTCTTCTTTCCATTTATTTATTTATTTGTTTGTTTATACCAATGTGGATTTAAGAATTCCTATCTTATTTAATAGGCTATAATTCTATAGTACCATGATTTATTTTGATGCTTACATTGTCCCAGATTTGGCCAAGGGAGCCCTTTTAAGCTGGCTCTTATGTCCCTTCAACTTTCCCTTCATTTTTGAGCACAAAATGTTTCAGGTTCGTCTTGTTTTCCCTTTGCCCCAGCCCTGGCATCAACCATTCTCTCCTAGGAGTGTGGGTTGTTTTTAATGGAGAATAGTGTTTAGAAATCAAGATCCAGGTGCTAGAGGTGCTCATTGTTCAGGTGTGTCTGTGTTCTCAGGTCCTGGCAATGGATAGACCTAGAAACTGTGTGTATGTACTTGCACATACACATTTACCTGTATTTATTTCTATCTCTATATCCCTATAGTGAAAAGGAGGAGTTCATCTAATACCTCCAATTCTAGTTCAAAACTACAGGGTTCATTCTAGCCTTTTCCCTTCCATATTTTTCATCTCTCTTTTCCAACAGTGAGAAATCTGACTCCCATTATCTTCAACATATTCATTTGTTTACTCAGTTCCCTTGTATGTAGCCAATCTCCTGACCTCCCAGGCCAGCGCCTTACTCAGATACCCTTCTTGTGTGGACTTTGACCCCACAAAGAGGTCAAAATTTTAAATACTGGCCGCCACCCTGCTTGGATAACCTCCTTGTAGAGTCTCTGGGCTGCCTTTCCATCCTGTCCACCATCTTCCTCACATGGACCCTAGTTTTCGCTGGGCCGCTGGGAAGAATGTTTAAATGTTGGCCAATAATTCAAGTTTTAAAAAAATACCTTTGCGGGTTAATCTGAACTTGGTAATAGGCTAGATCTGAAACTAATGTGACCTCTGGTCTAGACCATAAAAAGAAAACGTTGGAAAATGGTGATCCAGAGATGAATATGGTCTGTTTGATATGGATTTTTGTGAGAACTGTAATACCTCCCTGGATTAGGAGGAAAATGAGCATAGCAACTACTTTTCCTCTACGTGGTCTTCTACATATCCTGCTGGGCTCAGTGAAATAAAGAGTGCAGCCCTTTGGGTAATTTTTCCATTGAGCTTGAATTTTTTGTTGTTTTCTCTAATTCTCACTTCTTGCTGCTGCTTATGCTCTTATCGAAACCCCCTCTTTGATGTTAATAAGCTTGTCCAAGCTAATGTTCAAAATATAAATTCTCTAGCAAAAAGGAAGATTAGGGAGAAGAAAGCTTATTTTTGACAGGCACAGGCCTATTGAAAAAAGGAGCATAGGAATGACAAATGCATTGGGTTACAGTTAACCACCAGGTTTTTGTCAGTCTCATGTTGTTGACCATCTTAGATCAGGTACTCATATTTAGGAAAGATGGAAAACCTCTTTCTCCGAAGCAGAACCTTTCCCCTCCCTCTAAATCATTATTCTTTTGAGGAGAGGATGGCAGGAGGTATGTCACTGTTAGGTCATGTCTGAGATAGGCCGTGTCTGTGGGCCAGCGTGGGCTCCCTTAGCATTTCACAAGAATTCAAAGAATGATACTCCTACTTGCTTGGAGTATCTCTGTGGAAGGAACATTTGGATATATAGGCAAGATTTACTCACCATGGAGTGACCTGGCTAGAAGTTAAGTGATAACTACTAGAAGTTTCTAGAAAATTTGAGGTCCCTCTCATGCATAGACAGAATGCTCATCACACTCTTGTCCTTAGCCACATATACCTGGTCAACATTTTCTCTTTTCTCTTTGTCCACATCCTTCTTCCTGATCTCATGTTTGTTTATTTAATTTGGGTTTTTTCCTTTTTGTTGAGTTGGCTGGTGGGGGGTGGGTGTTCATTTTTTTTCTTCTTTGGCTCTTCTGTATTTCCAGTGCAGGGAATTAGGGAGTGGAGATAGTGGGTGGGTGAGAAGAAATAGAGAAGAGGAAAAAAATTTTAAAGCTGTCCTTTAATGTGGTAAAAATTCATGTTGACTTCATAGTCTGAGTAAGCATATGTAAATAATTTGTAAATCATATGAAAATAAACTTGCGGCTTTCCAGGATTTTTTTTCACACACTTGAAGTGCCTCTTGGGAAAACCACTTTAGTGAAGGGTGATATGGTTATAGAGGTATGTAAACAGAGGCTGATATTTACCATGACCATTCGACTCAAGTGTCCTTTTGTTGATGTAGAGCATCACTGGAAAGTTTTCTTTCCCTGGTTACTTCCTTCAGCGGTATATATATTTTATACTTAAGTCTTCTTTTGACTGTAGTCCAGGATATCACATTGCTGCCCTGTTTTCAGTGGGCTCCATGTTAAATCCCTCTGTCTTTTGCCTTCATTCCAAATTCAGGAATTAGTCCCTGTATGTTGCTCATATTTATGCTGTTCTGCAGACATAGGCTTTGTCTGCTGTCAATGCTGCCATTATTGTTTCCATATCATGAACTTTATAGATCAGTTCTGTTATCTTTGTGGTTGTGAGTTCTGTGCATTGTTCTGTTGTTCTTTTTTCCTTGGAGAATATTAAGCACATGTTAAGTGCTATAATACAGGCACTGTACAGGCACCCAGTGGGTGTTTCTTGACATCCTGCACACAATTTCCCATGTTGTGGTTAACTCTATTTTTGTTTTTTATCCTTCCTATCACTCTATAGAAGATAAGCAGCATCCTGTGGCTAAGAACATAGGTTTTGAGTGTGATTTGGGGCAAGTTACTTAATCTTACTAGTCATATTTTAGTTTTCATATCTATTTTTAAAATTGGATATTCACAGAATTGCCTTAAGGATTGAGTTAAATGTGATAGTATATATGAAATACTAAGCATGAGAGTTGGCGAGTTGGCACTTACTAAGTACTCAGTATTTACTAATGATGTCATCCTCCCTTTATTAATATCTCTTTCGGAGTTCTTGACTACATTTCTTGGAAACCCCATTCCTGGCATTTTACCTGTGTCCTTTCTATCAGGTTTGCAACTGTGCGGTATGATCAAGGAACCAAGAACATTAGGAACCAGTTCATGCACCTGACAAACTACAGCGTGAATAAGAAGAGTGGAGACTATGTCAGGTACTGGCTGCGTCTGAGCTGGGAGCCGGAGAAGTCAGTCTCAGGCGTGGGTGTTATGGAAGTGCAAAGTCACCATGTGCACTGGAGGAAAACTTGACATGTATATCCATCTAATTTACGGAAGGCTTCAGAGTCGTTTGACATAGTTTTGAGGCATATCTGCTGCTGCTTCTCCATTGCTTGCCCAGTTACAGTGTCCCCTTTCTCTACTAAATATGCCTTCCCACGTTTCATCTTTCTCATTGTCTTCCCTCCCTTAGCTCAGGGGTGGGAATTTAATAGGCATGTGGAACTTTTTAGAAGTGAAGAAATGAGGCCATTTCAGCACTTGGCAAAATGTATCAAAAGCTCTAAAAATATTTGTACCCTTTGACCCAGCAATTCCATTTCTAGGAACTTAACCTTAAGAAATAATGAAGGATGTGTACATAAGGTCAGAGAGAAGGATTCTCATGACTCTACATTGTCAGGTGGAAAACTCAGTTACCAGACACTACATGTAATTTAGTTTCCTTTAAAATATAATTCAAACTTTTATTTTTGCGGAAGGGGGAAAATGGAAACTAGAAGGATATATGAAATTTTAACAGTTTAACTGTAGTTGATGGGATTATAGGTGGGTGATTTCTAGTTTCTTCTCTATGCTTTTACATATTTCCTAAATTGTTCTGAACTAAATGCTTGTATGATGGGGAAGAAAAAAAGTTAGAAATAAAGTAAGTAAAGAAAGAAATGAGGCCATTTCAGGAAATGATTTACTGGAAGGGAGTACCAACCCAACTGTGTGGAAATAGTCTTTCTGCTCTGTTTTCTTTCATCCTGATAATTTCACCAGAAAGTGGAAAAATAAAAAAGAAACCCAAACAGTTACTTTCTACTAAGACTAAAAATAGGTGCCTAGAAGGTCCAAGGGAAGAAAGGAATCTGGAAGTGGCAGCATCTTTACTGAAGCTATGTAGATTTCATTGAGGGTCGTGGGATGAGGGTTTGGAATTGGTCAGAGATATATCATATCCTTCACTTTGGAAGAGGAGCAAAGATGCATCTGGTCAGTGGTGGGTGGTGGTAGGGAATGAGGGGGCAGCTGCAGAACCCAAGCTCCAGATTGCATGGCCCTTCCAGCCGTCATGAAGGTGAGTCGACTCCGGTTGCGGGTTTGCTGCTGTAGTGGTGGTGTGACTTCATCACTTGCTATTGCTCTAGCACATTCTCCCTTCAGTAATACCTCAAAAGGTGGCCAAAAAAAGCTGTGTTTACCACCAGAGAGGAGGGAGCACGCTTCAGACGCTAAAGCAGTTCTTTGCTGGGCCAGCTCATTAAAATGCTACTCTGGATTAGCTCACTTAGCCCATCCAGACTCAATTCTGGCTGGAAAGTGGCATCAGAAGTTGTTTTGTGGGTTCATGAGACATTTACCTCAAAGGCTAGGTTTGTACGCCCAAACATTTTGATCCATTAATGTATTGTAACCACTCTAAAATTTGTTGACATTCTTTCACACATTTCTTCCACTCTTTCATGATGCATAATTGTTTGGTTAAGGAAGAATTTGCCACCTTCTCTCCGCACCCCCCCAAGAAGCAAAGCTAAATCCATTTTCATTTCAGTGGAAGAAATTGGTACAAAGGGATATGTGACAGAAAGGATCTAGGAAAAGTGGGGGAGTGGAAGTCAGCAAAGGGAATGCTTTTCTGAAGTCTTCAAAGGACAAGAAGACTATTTGTGAAAAATCTTGTTTCTATAGCCAGGCCTAGTTGCATATGTGACCTTGACCCATTGATTTGTTTTAGTTGTGATGATCCAGAAGTGGAGGATTATGGGAACAAATGGAGCATGAGTGCTATGCTTAGATATCTGAAACAAGAAGGCAGAGATACAACTGGTGAGTACCAAGGGTTTTTCCTTTTTGACATCTCTTCTTGGTATAACTTTACCATTGTCTGTTACCAGGAGTAGTTCTCTCTGATTGTAATGGTGTTGCTGAGATGAATAATGGGGTCATTGTTCTTGGTGTTAATTTTTTCTGCGCTTTACAAGATGGAGAACAGACTTTCCATGACCCCCCAGATCTCATTTCTTGTTTCTGGTTTGGAAGACATAACTTTTTCCTTTGATCTTTAATGAATTTATCCTTCTTGAATGTTGAACTGCTAACTAAAATATTGTCATTTTATATAACAAGTTGTCTCCATATTGGCCCTGAGCTCAAATTTTTCTGTTACCTCTCATTTATGTTGCTGAGTTGGAGAATAGGTTGTGTCGTTTGGTGTCAAGCTGGACACTGTTGCTGAGAGCCTTGAGCAGAATGGGAAGTGAGCCAAAAGGCCCTGCTCAGTCCATTACAGTTAACCACCAGGTTTTTGTCAGTCTCATGTTGTTGACCATCTTAGATCAGGTACTCATATTTAGGAAAGATGGAAAACCTCTTTCTCCGAAGCAGAACCTTTCCCCTCCCTCTAAATCATTATTCTTTTGAGGAGAGGATGGCAGGAGGTATGTCACTGTGAGGTCATGTCTGAGATAGGCCGTGTCTGTGGGCCAGCGTGGGCTCCCTTAGCATTTCACAAGAATTCAAAGAATGATACTCCTACTTGCTTGGAGTATCTCTGTGGAAGGAACATTTGGATATATAGGCAAGATTTACTCACCATGGAGTGACCTGGCTAGAAGTTAAGTGATAACTACTAGAAGTTTCTAGAAAATTTGAGGTCCCTCTCATGCATAGACAGAATGCTCATCACACTCTTGTCCTTAGCCACATATACCTGGTCAACATTTTCTCTTTTCTCTTTGTCCACATCCTTCTTCCTGATCTCATGTTTGTTTATTTAATTTGGGTTTTTTCCTTTTTGTTGAGTTGGCTGGTGGGGGGTGGGTGTTCATTTTTTTTCTTCTTTGGCTCTTCTGTATTTCCAGTGCAGGGAATTAGGGAGTGGAGATAGTGGGTGGGTGAGAAGAAATAGAGAAGAGGAAAAAAATTTTAAAGCTGTCCTTTAATGTGGTAAAAATTCATGTTGACTTCATAGTCTGAGTAAGCATATGTAAATAATTTGTAAATCATATGAAAATAAACTTGCGGCTTTCCAGGATTTTTTTTCACACACTTGAAGTGCCTCTTGGGAAAACCACTTTAGTGAAGGGTGATATGGTTATAGAGGTATGTAAACAGAGGCTGATATTTACCATGACCATTCGACTCAAGTGTCCTTTTGTTGATGTAGAGCATCACTGGAAAGTTTTCTTTCCCTGGTTACTTCCTTCAGCGGTATATATATTTTATACTTAAGTCTTCTTTTGACTGTAGTCCAGGATATCACATTGCTGCCCTGTTTTCAGTGGGCTCCATGTTAAATCCCTCTGTCTTTTGCCTTCATTCCAAATTCAGGAATTAGTCCCTGTATGTTGCTCATATTTATGCTGTTCTGCAGACATAGGCTTTGTCTGCTGTCAATGCTGCCATTATTGTTTCCATATCATGAACTTTATAGATCAGTTCTGTTATCTTTGTGGTTGTGAGTTCTGTGCATTGTTCTGTTGTTCTTTTTTCCTTGGAGAATATTAAGCACATGTTAAGTGCTATAATACAGGCACTGTACAGGCACCCAGTGGGTGTTTCTTGACATCCTGCACACAATTTCCCATGTTGTGGTTAACTCTATTTTTGTTTTTTATCCTTCCTATCACTCTATAGAAGATAAGCAGCATCCTGTGGCTAAGAACATAGGTTTTGAGTGTGATTTGGGGCAAGTTACTTAATCTTACTAGTCATATTTTAGTTTTCATATCTATTTTTAAAATTGGATATTCACAGAATTGCCTTAAGGATTGAGTTAAATGTGATAGTATATATGAAATACTAAGCATGAGAGTTGGCGAGTTGGCACTTACTAAGTACTCAGTATTTACTAATGATGTCATCCTCCCTTTATTAATATCTCTTTCGGAGTTCTTGACTACATTTCTTGGAAACCCCATTCCTGGCATTTTACCTGTGTCCTTTCTATCAGGTTTGCAACTGTGCGGTATGATCAAGGAACCAAGAACATTAGGAACCAGTTCATGCACCTGACAAACTACAGCGTGAATAAGAAGAGTGGAGACTATGTCAGGTACTGGCTGCGTCTGAGCTGGGAGCCGGAGAAGTCAGTCTCAGGCGTGGGTGTTATGGAAGTGCAAAGTCACCATGTGCACTGGAGGAAAACTTGACATGTATATCCATCTAATTTACGGAAGGCTTCAGAGTCGTTTGACATAGTTTTGAGGCATATCTGCTGCTGCTTCTCCATTGCTTGCCCAGTTACAGCGTCCCCTTTCTCTACTAAATATGCCTTCCCACGTTTCATCTTTCTCATTGTCTTCCCTCCCTTAGCTCAGGGGTGGGAATTTAATAGGCATGTGGAACTTTTTAGAAGTGAAGAAATGAGGCCATTTCAGCACTTGGCAAAATGTATCAAAAGCTCTAAAAATATTTGTACCCTTTGACCCAGCAATTCCATTTCTAGGAACTTAACCTTAAGAAATAATGAAGGATGTGTACATAAGGTCAGAGAGAAGGATTCTCATGACTCTACATTGTCAGGTGGAAAACTCAGTTACCAGACACTACATGTAATTTAGTTTCCTTTAAAATATAATTCAAACTTTTATTTTTGCGGAAGGGGGAAAATGGAAACTAGAAGGATATATGAAATTTTAACAGTTTAACTGTAGTTGATGGGATTATAGGTGGGTGATTTCTAGTTTCTTCTCTATGCTTTTACATATTTCCTAAATTGTTCTGAACTAAATGCTTGTATGATGGGGAAGAAAAAAAGTTAGAAATAAAGTAAGTAAAGAAAGAAATGAGGCCATTTCAGGAAATGATTTACTGGAAGGGAGTACCAACCCAACTGTGTGGAAATAGTCTTTCTCCTCTGTTTTCTTTCATCCTGATAATTTCACCAGAAAGTGGAAAAATAAAAAAGAAACCCAAACAGTTACTTTCTACTAAGACTAAAAATAGGTGCCTAGAAGGTCCAAGGGAAGAAAGGAATCTGGAAGTGGCAGCATCTTTACTGAAGCTATGTAGATTTCATTGAGGGTCGTGGGATGAGGGTTTGGAATTGGTCAGAGATATATCATATCCTTCACTTTGGAAGAGGAGCAAAGATGCATCTGGTCAGTTGTGGGTGGTGGTAGGGAATGAGGGGGCAGCTGCAGAACCCAAGCTCCAGATTGCATGGCCCTTCCAGCCGTCATGAAGGTGAGTCGACTCCGGTTGCGGGTTTGCTGCTGTAGTGGTGGTGTGACTTCATCACTTGCTATTGCTCTAGCACATTCTCCCTTCAGTAATACCTCAAAAGGTGGCCAAAAAAAGCTGTGTTTACCACCAGAGAGGAGGGAGCACGCTTCAGACGCTAAAGCAGTTCTTTGCTGGGCCAGCTCATTAAAATGCTACTCTGGATTAGCTCACTTAGCCCATCCAGACTCACTTCTGGCTGGAAAGTGGCATCAGAAGTTGTTTTGTGGGTTCATGAGACATTTACCTCAAAGGCTAGGTTTGTACGCCCAAACATTTTGATCCATTAATGTATTGTAACCACTCTAAAATTTGTTGACATTCTTTCACACATTTCTTCCACTCTTTCATGATGCATAATTGTTTGGTTAAGGAAGAATTTGCCACCTTCTCTCCGCACCCCCCCAAGAAGCAAAGCTAAATCCATTTTCATTTCAGTGGAAGAAATTGGTACAAAGGGATATGTGACAGAAAGGATCTAGGAAAAGTGGGGGAGTGGAAGTCAGCAAAGGGAATGCTTTTCTGAAGTCTTCAAAGGACAAGAAGACTATTTGTGAAAAATCTTGTTTCTATAGCCAGGCCTAGTTGCATATGTGACCTTGACCCATTGATTTGTTTTAGTTGTGATGATCCAGAAGTGGAGGATTATGGGAACAAATGGAGCATGAGTGCTATGCTTAGATATCTGAAACAAGAAGGCAGAGATACAACTGGTGAGTACCAAGGGTTTTTCCTTTTTGACATCTCTTCTTGGTATAACTTTACCATTGTCTGTTACCAGGAGTAGTTCTCTCTGATTGTAATGGTGTTGCTGAGATGAATAATGGGGTCATTGTTCTTGGTGTTAATTTTTTCTGCGCTTTACAAGATGGAGAACAGACTTTCCATGACCCCCCAGATCTCATTTCTTGTTTCTGGTTTGGAAGACATAACTTTTTCCTTTGATCTTTAATGAATTTATCCTTCTTGAATGTTGAACTGCTAACTAAAATATTGTCATTTTATATAATAAGTTGTCTCCATATTGGCCCTGAGCTCAAATTTTTCTGTTACCTCTCATTTATGTTGCTGAGTTGGAGAATAGGTTGTGTCGTTTGGTGTCAAGCTGGACACTGTTGCTGAGAGCCTTGAGCAGAATGGGAAGTGAGCCAAAAGGCCCTGCTCAGTCCACAAAAGGAAGGGTGATAGGAGAGGAGTGAGAAGGGGGAAGTAGGTTTCTTTTCTTTTGTGTCTGTCTTTTTTCATAGGAGGCCACTTGAATACACCCCCGAGCACCTACATCCTTGACTGTGTTGTCCTATTCACAGATCTGCCTTCTCCTAGAGTACCCATTTGCAAGACTGCCACATAGAAGCTTTTCTGAATGTACACACATGCTTTTATGATTGTATTGTGTTCTGCAATCTCGTCCTTCTAACCCATGTATGATAGTTTCTTCCTTCTTTCTTTTTTTTTTTCTGTAGCACTGATGGCCCATGTGGAAGACCTGATCATTAAGACTATAATCTCTGCTGAACTAGCTATTGCTACAGCCTGTAAAACTTTTGTTCCTCATCGCAGCAGTTGTTTTGGTAAGGAGACTCACAGAGCTTAACATGTTTTGTAAAAAGGCCTTGGGAAGTTGGGATGGGATCCTGGAATAGAGAGGCTTAGTGATTCTGCAGTAGTAAGAGGTACACAGTAAACTATTTCTTTTTAAGCTCATGGAGCATATGAAGATCCTACTAAGAGGCCAGTCATGAGCTTAGTTGGAGGTTCCCTGAGGACTAACTAGCTTTCTGTGTGGGAAGCAGAGATTGGAACTAAAGCATGGGTCTCTTTGTCCGAGTGCAATCAGAGAAAGTCTGCAACAGACTGTACAGGAATCCAGCTTTAACAAATATATTCCAGAGCTCTTTGGCAGCCAGACTGGGAACTGTTCCAGGAAGCTCTGGCTGGTACCAGTATGTGCTTTCTCCCGTTTTCCAATGACTCCTCCTTTTTGTTGTAGTCTTTTTTCTAATGGGTTCCTCCCCCTCCCACTTGTCTTCTTTTCTTCTCCTCCTCTTTCTCCTTCCTTCCCCATCCCTCCCACCCCTAATTCTCTGATTACACAGAGAAGGCGTAAGAAACCATTCACAACTACTGGATCAGGAAGGCTGTTGCCTACTGACCCACTAGCTGTGACTGTAGGACCAAGGGTGCCCGCATGCCTTTGCTTTCCGTGCAAATGAGAAGTCTTTAGTGATTGACAATGTAAGTGTCCCTAAAGTCCCATAGGTTTTCAGTAGCTGTTAGGCTTGTTTGTAAAACTCCCTGAGGTCATTGATGGGAGGGTCATTAAAATAATACTGTAGTAAGGATACAAGAGTCATGGCTTGCTTAGGAGGTAGGGTAACAGGAGAGCAAAGAACATGGAATTTAGAGGCATACAGAACAAGGTCAAAACCCATTTGCACCTCTTACTAGTTTTCTTATTTTCAGCAAAGTTTCTCTAATCCTGTTTCTGTAACTATGAAATGCGGTAATGATGGTCCTACCTCCTAAAAGTACCATAAAGATCACATGACATGATGTATGCAAAGCACTTGGCATGGCATCTGCCTCTCCATTTGTCCGCCATAAAATTTTTTTGGTTATTTTTATAATTACACATTATAATTCTTGATCTCTTTAGTGGCTAATCATAACAGTACTTGAGGGGCACTAAACAAAGGGATGTGTTGGGACTCTGAATAGAAGATTGTAGATAAACCAGGACCTAAAATTATATAGGAAAAGAGGAGTTTGTGGTACCTTTTTAAATGCAAATATGTTTGTATCTTCTAAAACCCTTAAATGGCTCCTTGGGCTTATGCTAGTAAATAGAAATTTGGTATGACTTAAAGGCTTCTAAGTATCTGACCCCAGCTGACTTTTCTAGAATTCCGTGTCCCCTCTAACACCTTATAATCCAATCATACCACTGAGCATTCCCTGCCTGTGCTTCGTGTAAATTCTCCTGTCCAACCAGGAAGCACTCCTCCTGTTTGCCTTGCACACCTTGCACACTGCTGTTTATATTCTAAGACTCCGCTTGACTTTGTCTCTTCTAGGAATCCTTGCTTAACAAAGTGCCCTGCTGTGTCTGGCTCCTCTCTCACACTGCTCAGAGATGACTGGGGAAATATATGTGGAAACAAAACATCACAACACAATAGCAAAAGAGTACAATGGAATAGTAATTTCCTATTGTATTGTGATGTTTTGTTTCCACCTACACTTCCCCAGTCCTCTGAGTTTATCTTCTTGAATTCTCGGTAGTCACTGTCTCTCCCCTTCCTCTCACCCTGTTTCTGCTCAGCCAAACCTTTCCCCATCTCCCTTGACCTCCCACATCCTTTCTTAACTCTTTGCCTTGCCCCTGCTTGATCTTGTGTGCAAAGTACCTTTCTCATGTTACTCTACCTACCAGATTACTGACATTTTTTGAAGATGAGGTCAAGTATCACTTTAGTGAAGTTTTTCCTAAGTCTTCCAGTCCGAGTCAGCCTCTCCCACTCCCAGCCCTCCATTCACAATCTGTAATGGTACCCGCTTGTCATCTGGTACCCATTTATGTGTCTGTCTTCCCTACTGGACTGAAAGCTCTTTGGAGACAGTGCCAATGACTTTCTAGTTTCTGCCCTTCCATATATAGCGGCATTTTTCTGCTCTTAGAGGATGTTGAAGAAATGTTTGTTGGAGGAATTATTGGTAGTTGGCTTTAATTGCCTTTGGGGAACTGACAATGGGCTTCTCAATAGATTTGGTTTGGTAAGGGCCCAGACCTCCAACAATTACTTTAAACTGAGGAGGGGGTGCAGGATCTATAACTCCAACTTCAGAAAGCATATTAGAGTAAAAAAATAAATAAAAGTTTCTTTCCCACATGTACTTGGCTCTTGATTTCTTGGTATAAAAACCTTTGTTCTAGAAAGCATCACAAGATTTTCTGAAAGTTTCCTTTTCTGTTTTGTGTTAGTACCTGATTGTCTTTGGAAACTTAAGAATTTCTTGAATTTAATGGCAATAGAAATTCTGATGTGAAATAAGCAGTGATTGTCTCTGACTCAGTCAAATCACCCCTGACTCCATTCATGAGTCATGGGTCTCCTTTCTCCCCTCCCTGCTTGTGTTCAATTTTAATGAAGTGAGTGCATCTGGAGTTTTTGAAGTTGACTGTCTTCTTGGCTTTTGCGGTTCTACTTCCCCTTCCTGTCAGCCCTGGGATTTTGGATTCTTCATTAACGGCCCCCTGTCAGATATGATTCTGTGTACATGTGTGTATTTATTTGTGTGAGTCTCTTTGCCTCTTGCTGACTTCTGACTTCCCCTGGGGTTTAACTTACAAGGAATAAGCTGGGTTTTTTCTTTCTTTTTTTATTTGTTTTAGAGTAAACAGGAATTGAGAGCTTCCCAAAAGAATTTGGCTTGAACAGAGCATTGATGCTTTTAGAAGAAGCCAACAGTCCAGTGATGGGGTTTGTTATATTCTTTTAGTTGTTGTTTCTGTCCTTTCATGTTATTGATCGTGGGCCAGAAGCATTCCATTATTATCTAAGTGTTTCTGTCCTATGATTTTTTTTCCCTACCCATCCACCTGTGAAGTCCAACTGTGTTTCTAGGTGCCTTCAATATTCTCATTTATATGTTTATTTATGCATTTAACTTTTTTTTTTTTCAGTTCATGCTTTGTGTACGGGGTGAGTTATAAGAGTTTGTTCCTCTCAAACCAAATTTTACATGGAATGGTTATACATATATTTGCATTGTGTTATTATCATTTAAGTATAGACTTAGGAATGTCCTACAAACTACCTGAAACTAAATTAAGCCATTTAATGCCTCCACATAGATCTGTATGTCTGGAAGGGACTCCTGAGAATCATTAACCTGTATAAAGAAATTGAGACCCTGAGAAATTAAGACCCCTGGGTTCTAGAGCTAGAGAGTGAAAGAACTCAGATGAAAGAGACTCAGCTTGGAGATCAGGAGTCAGAAGATGAGTTTTGGCAACCAAGTCATCTTGATCATAGGACTTCATAGAATTTTTTATGCCTCTCCCCCCAAAGAATTTCTTGACACTCTAATTTTTACTGCCTTCAAGATTGTAAAACTGTGATACCATGTGCAATGTATGCTTAAACAGCAACCCTTTAAGTATGCTTAGGAAATTGGCACTGTGAAATAACTGGCAATGAGAATAGCTTTTTTGACCAGTTGGAGAAAAGCAGCCAAAAACAACAGGATGTTAGCTATCTTTAAAGATGCTGCTGCTGGCAGTGGTTTTATCTGTGTGTGTGAAAATGGCTGAAGTGACAGGCTATGACCCTGGTCCTCTGCAGCCTGGGGTCATATGAATCAGCTGTCATGCCACTTGAAGGATTGATGAGACTGGCTTGTGTAGGTACATGCTCGGGACACCCCCCTTTGTTGATTGCTGATTTGGCCGTTCACTGCCATCATTCTAGACCATTCGCAGCATAAGCTGGCATTCTTAATGGGAGTCTGTCCGTAAATACTTCTTCAAGGAATGAAAGCAGGTAGCACACATTCTCCAATAATGTAAACTATTTGACCACCACCAACAAAAAAATAATGGAAGTCATCATCAAACAGTTCGCTTTTTGAGATAGTCTCTTTTACTGGTTCATCCCATGCTCCTATTTAGATGGGAAAGGAAGTTTCCTGTGGGTGTGACTTAGCAGGAAGTACCTGCTGTTTGTCAAGCACTCTCCATTGGTTATTTCCTTTAGTCCTCTTAAGAGTTTTGTTGGTATTTATTACTCATGTTTTATAGACAAGGAAAAAGATTCTGAAAGATTCAATAATTTGTCTTAGGCCATGCAGTTAATAAATGGCAAAGCCAAGTTTGGGAGCCAGATCTCTCTTGTTCTTTCTCCACTCGCATAAAGGCAAGTTCTGATGAGGCCACCACTTTTGCCATGCCAATATCCTGGGTTCTCCTCTACTCTCCTGTAACTGGATCTTAGGAAAAGTGATATCATCCTTTCTATCAGATCAGGCTTGAAAAAGGCAGTCTTTCTGCTCTAATCAACAGCACCTAGCCCTAGATACCCTTTTCAAATCTGCCTTTGCATATGGTAGCCAAATACCATATTGATTTATTGGATTAGTTAACAGATTGGCTCTGGGCTTTTTCTTTTATTTAGCTCATTTTCTTGTAGGCGCTCGATCTGCTTTTTTCCAAATTCTCCTTTTGGAGCCCAGATAAAGAAGTCCTCCTTAGGTTTTCAAATCGAAAGCCAAGGTTGAAAAGAATTCCCTGTATACCATAGCACTCAACTGACAGTGTGGACTGGTTCATGTCAGCACTCTCCACTGCCTCTGGGATTGCATTCTCAGCTGGGACTTCATTTTTGAGGAGGATTAGTGGATTGATTCCGAAATTAGTGGTGTGACATGTTTAGCAATCTCTTAGGCCTTGAGAGGCTATTATTATTTTCTCCATCAAATTTTTTTCCTCCCTTCCTATACCATCTTTTTTAAAAATATTTTGTTATCATTAATCTACAATTACATGAAGAACATTATGTTTACTAGGCTCCCC